ACATTGCCTATAGCTTGACAAAGTGACTTTAATTCCGAAGAGAAACGTTATACGGAAGTGTTCTGCAGTTGCCATGGCGTTTACGGTCACCAAGCATTTCGGATCGATTCGAACATTTCTTGCGAGGCTGGCAGAGTTCTAGAGAACATTCAAGCTAAACTTATTAAAGATGAAGTCATAAGGATTAATAATGTACATATGTACAAATGTATAGATTCAGCAAATATTTTGAGCTAGCACTGAGACGAGTATTTCAGTTCAAGATATCGTATGTCCTTAGATGACGTCCACTTGCCTGGTCTCTCTGCGACAAGAGCGACATCTGAAACAACCAAAATCATTTAAAAGCTTTTTTAATGCTTGTCTGTACTCTTGATTTAAATATCCATAAAGCAACCAGTTCATGGAAGAGTTGGCAAAAGTCAGCCACTTCACAATGCAATCGAAATAAAAACGATTGGGCAATACCATGAACCCGTCCAAGGCATGGAAAATTAGAAACGGCAGAAAGGCCAAGGCGAAGAAACCAACCAGCAGGCCCACGGTTTTGGCTGATTTCCTAGACACTCGTAAAGCATTAGTCTCACGGTTGACCCATCCTTGGGTTCTGATTATTCTTCTTGCTTGCTGTTGAGATATTTGAAATATCTTTGCATACGTTAAGACACAGATAGTGAAAGGTACCAAAAGATCAAAGACCATAAACAAAATAGAGCTCTCTATCGGAGCGTTGAACGCATGGCAGAAATTTTCGTATGGTTGCGTCCAGATGTGATAACTTGCAATTCCGCTAAAAAAAGCAAAGATCCATAGGAGGGTCAACGAGACAACTACGCTAAACGAAACGTCGCTGTAGTATTGGAAAGGACGTGAAATGGCCAACAAGCGATCTATGCCAATGGCGCACAGGTGACAGGCAGACGCGCCACCAAAAGCCACATATAGTGAACTCCAAACGTTGCAGCCGATTTCTCCAAGAGGCCAGTATGGATGACACGAGAAATGCACAATTTCTGAGGGCATGGCGAATACAGCGAACAGGACATCCGCGGTTACAAGACTTACGAAAAACAAGTTCGTCCTCGTACGCAAATTTTTGTTTAAAAGAAACGCACAATACACAAGGAAAGCGCCAAAAATCGTGAGAAGGATCAAAAGACATAATAGAAAACTTGCCCCAATAGCAACGATGAGAGATGGCGAAGTTTCGTTGTGAGGTGCGGACAGCATTACGGTTTTTTTGGGAGGGGCAGCCGGGAGATTAACAGCAACTACCTTAGCTTTTTAAAGTCGTGAAACTGAGTGGGTTTTTGTGGGACGTCTTGCAAATTTAAGCCCCTCCTTCCATCGCTGCAGGCTCGACTGGGATGAAGCTGTGGGTTTCTGAAAAAAAGTCTTCAAAACTGATGCGTTATATTTGTTCTTTTGTTTGCCGTGCAAAATAATCAAAAATTAATTATGTAGTAGACAGCAGCATTAACCGCGAAACAATTAATTTTACCTTTTTTGTTGATCTATGTCATTTATTTTATGACACTGAAAAGAACTTCATAAGCAGCTCCTCGATAAAACCCCATGCCTTTCTGAATAACCCTACCCGTTGTTTGCTTTCGCCGGTGATCCTAATTGAGTTTCGTGTCAACCATTGCCAATAGATAACCAGCACTACTGCAAAACAACATATCCGAATATGATTCTTCGCTTTTGTCAAGAACCTCTTTAAATTTCTCATCATGTTGCAATCTAAACAGAAGTTAGCGGAGACGGAGATTATTATCAACGGATAGAGCGTTGCGTCCGGTTAGTCGTAAAGGTCAGGGTTCCATTCCCGGTTAAGCCTGAACATTTTCAGGTTCTTTTTCAATCGCTTAGGTTGTTCCTACAAATGAACGGAATCATTCTCCTTTCGGCATATCTTCATTCGCAGATCACAACAACAACTTTATTGACTTTATCTTCGACATGAAGATTTCAGTACCAAACAGTCAATACAATGACAAATGAAACAAAGTAAAATAAAAGTTAAGTAAGAAAGAAAGGAACAACAACTATATATTGAATGTTATCATAAAAGAAAAATTACTTGGCTATGTACGGCTTCTACGCTACTCGTATGGTAAGAAAGTTTAATTAGAGTTCGGATTTATAACAATTTAGGATATTTTCATATACGAGGCACTAAGATTTATGATGTTTTCATCGCACATAGACACGATATATAAAAATAGTGCCTTGCAAATATGATATTATTAGTCGCAGACTGGATCTAGCCTGTTACAGTGAAGAGATCGCAAAAACTACAGCGAAAACTCACGGCCCTTCAGTTCTCCAGATCACGCGCGTCTTATTTTCGCTTGGCTCACAGGCTAATCCGGCCGATAAGGGACGATTTTCAGACGCTAATGTTGCAACAAAGGAAATAGGAGACGTCTGCAAGAAGGCAAGCGCTAATGGGCATCAAACAGAACATGTAATATAATTATCTTTACGTTAATACATCTTCGCTATCTTTCCTTTAAACATCAAACACTTACGTATTTCGATCTATTTACGTAGCTATAAGGACACAAAGTATACTTTTAAATGGATACTATGCGGATTTTCTTGTTATCGTTTTTAGTTCTACAATATGTGCATACTACGTATCCGAAATTTAAACTGGTCAATAAATTTTGCAAAGCATATTTTTCGTCTTCTAAACATGCGAATGTCCGCCCTATCGCGCGGCCAAATTGACAAGTATGACGTAGAATGATTTTCAAGAATGTAGAATAATTAACAAGATGGAGGAAAATACAAAGGATTGTCGTTGTCGGAACCTCTTCCTCCTCCCACCCAATCATCTTCAGAATCTTCATTTACTTAGCTATAGCTTCGTTAAAGTCAGTTACATTGCTTTAATTCCACACAGGACAAAGCGATGACCAGAATCGGAAACAAAGCCTGAGTAAACTAACTGACGTCACATGACGTCATCAGCCTTTCTTTGGTCTTTTACTCGTTCCCAGTCTCTGGAACATTTCTGACGGGGAAAAGCAGTTTTTGGATTGCCAAAATTCAAGAAGTTTTTTGGGAGATATACTTTCAAAGTTCACAATTGTTAATTAAACTTTAATTTCGTGTCATATACACTTAAATAGGGTCAGAAACCTGAGATGACATGTTAAAGGCTTCCTTTCGGGAAGAAGTTTCGGCTCAAGTGACTGTAATTCTTCTTCCTCTTTGTTTTAGATCTTGGTTTATTTTTTTTAAATCATCAACAACAGTACCTAAGATAATTCATCATTACAATATTCTTTGCCTTTAAGTCGACTTATTTTTTTTCTTGTAAAAGAAAATGCTTTTATTTTCTTTGTCATTGAATAATCACTATAGACCATTTTACGTTTCTGGGAAACTGCCTACCTACCCCTCCCCTAAGCCAACATGAACACTTACTTCTCAGTGAGGGCAAAGTGTTGGCTTAGGGGAGGGGTAGGTGGGCAGTTTGCCAGAAACGTATAATTATCCATTATTTTTTTTTACTGCAATACGGCAGTCTCAAATTGCACGATAATACGTCACAGTTCAGGCGTATGCTGAGGATGGGTAGGCGTTTAGAATGTTGTCTGTAATCCCCATATTTGACTTCAAAGGCAGTGGAAGACCCTCCCCATAGCAGACGTTAAGCGCTTGGTGCTTGCGGATTGCATAATTGCATGATTATTACGTAATTATGTGGATTTACAAGCCATATCTCCAGCACTGGCCATAGTGTTTGAGAATATGACCCCTGCGAACCAGGCATTCGTGTCTGTAAGACTGCAATATATACAAGGAGGAAATAACCTCTAACGCAGCCAGATATTTGCCCGTTACCTCATGAATTGTAAAGACTTGTATTGTCTCCACAGCAGGCTCATTGCGCTTGGTGCTTGCTGGTTGCATAATTGCTTATGTAATTATGCGGGATTACGCGTCATATCTCCTGCACTTTCGATAGTGTTTGAGAATATGACCCCTGTGAGCGACGCATTAATCTCCTTGGAAACAATCTCTAACGCAGAAGTATCAGGAATCCGATGTGTTTCATAGACAATCTTTTATGAGAGACATCACTTGGATTGAACACACGGCAGGCATCTTGCAATGCAAGAAGACCACATCAAGGGAGTTGTTCCAGACATTCCCCTTTTACCTCATGATTTGTACAGACTTGTATTGTCTTTTTTGAGATGCACTGGAGGCTTTTTACATACCAAGTTACTCCACACCTCCTTTGTCTTTCTTCTTTTTACTGCTTTTTGTTTCTGAGACATAAAACAAAGACAGACCATTTCCGAAGTGCCGCTAGCCTCAGTTTGAAAGCGATGCTAAGTGCAAAGCCATTGATATGAAGTTGATTTTTACTTCTTATGCAAGTAAAACTCATTTTCACAAAAAAATTTTGCACTTTGCCTCGTTTTGAAAAACAGTTTTTGGAAGTAGGAAATAGAGAGCAGGAATGTGACGTCACGTTACCATGGTAGCAAAATTTCTGAATCTCAACAATCTTTCTTGACAGAGACGGCCATTTGCATTGTCAAACGATGGATAAAACGTACAGGCTACAGTTTTGTTTTTCTAACATATTTTCAGAATCATGGTTTGTTGAGAGCCAGAAATTTTGCTACCATGGCAACGCGAAGTAACGACTCCTCCATTCTATCGCCTGTTAGAATGCAAATCAGGTAGACAACGGAGCCAGAGATTCTAGCCCTTGTGTTCTTCATTGTTTGAGTAATTAGTGTTCTTTTTTTTAATTTGTGATTACCGTTTTCTGTCAAAACGTTTTCAATTTTATAGTGTCTGATTTCTTTCTCTCGTTTTAATAGAGAGAAATCGAAAAACAAGGCAACAGAAAATAAAACGCGAACAACCAGGCACACCCTTTTTCTCGAAGCAATGACCTTTGCAGTGAGGGTAATGAAATCACCCTACCCATGCGAAGTCGGTCACTTAACTAACTTAATTGCCTTCAGTTAATTCTTACTTTTTTGAAGTCCTTTTCTTTTGACACTCGACGTAACAACGTCCATTTTATTCCAGACATCATCATCATCATTATCATCACTGTGTTCTTCCTGATCTGTTGTTCTTTTCAGAGACTTGTCTGATAAGGCAGCTGTAGAACCTTTAACCTCTGCACCTCGCAGGTTCTGTAACATACACAACAAACAACTATTTGGTTTAACCATCGTTAACTCATAAGATGGGCCTGTAAAACGCGGTTAAATTTCTTATAGAAATGTAACTGCAACATCGAGCATAGAAAATGTCGAGTTGGAAAGATAGATAGCAACCTTTATTTCAATAGGGTAACTCCTTCAGTTTTTGTACAAGATAAAAACTGTTATCCAAGGAGGCCCTACATATATCAAAAAATATATTGAAAGAAATAATAGTGATAATTAATTGCAATTAAAAATAGCTATAAAATGTTATATAAAGGACTTAAAAATTAAATTAAAAGTTTGATTAACTCTTCCCAAAGAACCAGGGAACCCCGGCTCAAACACGACCCATCATAGTTACCCGGAAGCAAATAAAATAGTTCAAATAGAATCAGAATCATTCTCAATAACGAAATGCGTGTAAGATAGCTATAATCAACCAAACCTTTTCTATTTCTCCGGCCGAAAGCAGTAAGCAGTTTAATGAAGACTTCAGATACACCTAGAATTGTAAATAAGCAGAGACAAATTTGAGAGGAATAGGCGAAACAAATGTTCCATTCGAAAACGCTGGATGTTACATACTGTACGAGACCACTGACTGGATTTTTTTCTCCCTTGTCCCGACGTCAAGACATCGGCCACGCTTGTAAACGGTCACCTGGATTGCCTCATGCCACTTATTGTAATTATACCAAGTGGCCATATAACGGTGAATCATTTCAGCTCAACTTCACTTTAAGCAGTTTGAAAAAACTATCATGCGAAATGCTATAGGGTATTTGAAGCCCATTTCAACAACACCTTTTCGGCAAATTTTGTTCCTGTGTTTCCGCTGTTTTACTAGAACTTTCAACGACTAATTTCATTCACCGTGGTAAAGACAACTGCGGCAGATGGCAAGACTTTTTTTTGTCAAAGTTGTTACCTATTCTTGGCCTTCGCATAACGGCCTCATACGATGGGTTTTCTATGTACAGTTTTAAGAGTACCTTATGAAGAAGTTTCCTGCTATGGAGATGATGTATTCTAAGAAACTTGTCCAGTCCACACGATGCAACCATCTGCTGCTTACTGAGACAGGAAATGCAGCGAATCCCACCAGCAAATCCTTTATAATGACCTTGAAGCTGACCTAAAAGAAAGGGAGTTAAATTAATATATAGATTTAGCCTGGGCTAAAAGCGAAGCTCTCGATAATGTTTATAGTTTGTTCAAACAAAATATAAAATCGTGTAATGCTAAGCGGCGAAGGCAACGCGGAGAACGGTGAAAAACAACAATAGGTCTAATTAGCAAAAAAGCAACTTTGCACGTGCAGCACACTTTTTTCGTACATTTCTTTGCCGTTCGTTGTTTTGCACGACCACAACGTGAAACTTCCAGAAACTTCTTAGACTTAAGGCCTGTTTACATGGAGGTGGGGGACCCCAGGTAGGTGAGGTAACCCGCTTAGGTGGGGTAACCCGCCTGTCCATATAATCTCTCATTTTCATTTGATCACGTTTACATGATAGGTGGGGTGACCCGCCAAGGCGGGTAGCCCGGTCTACCAGACCGGGTTACCCTCTCAGCCGGGGTCACTATTTGTCATGTAAACGTTTCAAGGTGGGGTAACCCGCCTGGCCGGGGTCGGATTCGTGATACATCAAATTCGCGCAAAATTCACTTTCGCGGTGTCTTTGCATTATGAGTAAAGTTAACAATAGAAAGCTATTGCACTGACGGGTTGCAGCAAGAGCAACAAGTGAGTGAAGAAGTGCATTAATCGCCAAAACTCGTGGTTTGCCAGCATTTTTCTTGCTTAGCGACCGTTCAATAATCTTGAGAAAGTGCACCCCGGGAAGGCGGGGTTGTAAGATTGCATGTAAAGGAGGGTTATTTTTTTACCTCACCTAAGCGGGTTACCTCACCTACCTGGGGTCCCCCACCTCCATGTAAACAGGCCCTTAGTTACACGTTTTATGGAGGAAATGTCGTACGTTTTCTCCTTCACTTTTTTTTACTGCCGCTCATTTTCACCTTGCATTGGTGGCCGCTAGCATTTCTCATTTTGTCACAGCTGCTACAAAATTTTCATGTTGTTCTTCCAACAAAAAAATGTCTCCTTTGTTTTTTATCTCTCGCTCTAGATCTCTGTCGTCTTTTTTCTCTTTGAGCTTCGCTGGCCTGCCACCTACTTTCTCTTTTTCTCTGTCTTTCTCTTGCTCTATATTCCAATTTGTGGACATGACAATTAATCTAAGCTTAATATTTTAGAAAACACGGATACAGAGACAATTTCCACTTTCCGTTTTCGTCTTCATTGACTCTTTAGTTGTTTCTGCTTTACAACACGCGCGTGGCTATGCGATTTCCCGTCAAAATAACCTCGAGTTGCATTTGGGTTGCCATACCTGTTGACTGGGTTATTTTACATTGGTATGCCTGATGGACAAACAGTCGGGCGGTCGGTCGGTCGGTCGGTGTACGGTCACTTGATTACCAAATTTTCTCGGATGAGTAGTTTACCGCATTTTCTTACCCATGGTGCTCGGCTGCGCGCACTTCGCGCACGAGAGCTCCGCTAAAAACAGAAACGTACATACTCTAGAAATGTTTTTGAGGAGCCTGTTAGCCCATTTCGTCTTAAAAGCATACTTAATGTGTGAAATCCTCATAATTATCATTTTTTAAAATATATGCAATACACGAACCTTTTGTAAAACAAAATAAAAATTTATTATAATACAAAAACAAAAAAAAAAATCCTCCGCTATTTTCTTCAGCTCTACACTGCCAAAAATAGCCCAGCTACCCTTCCTTGCGTCCCTTTTTCCTGCCGATATCAAGAAGATTGGCGTCAATCCTGTTCATATGGGCAAACATCATTCCAAATATAGTTAACGCTAGCTGGTCATGAGGAAGTAGACATGAGATTTAAGCCAATTACAAGTGGAGAAAGATAAAAGATTAGTGATAATTACTGACCACTGCATTGCTCTTACCCTTTCGCAAGTCTATCCTACCCATTGTTCCAACGGTATTTCCCACAATGACAATGCTAAATAAGAAAATACAGTACGTCAGAAATAAATAAATGAATACAATCGACTCTCTCTAACACCGACACCGCTGGGATCAGCACTATATGTGGGTCTTAAAACAACAGTTTGCCTTACTGTGTAGAGAGTCAAGGGTCTTTTATTATTGTACGGTATCGAATAAACAACGACAAAATAGCTGGATAAGACCAGTATTTACATGGCTGTAAGCTGGCGGTCACCAAATCGTATTCTCTGCTTGTCCTTCCTCCGTACTTTTTTCGGGACGCTTTTGCTCTTGTCTTCGACGGATGTTCATCACTAGGGCCATTTATAAGAGGAAAAATAAGACGCGTCTTACATAGGACGCGTCTTGAATAAGACGCGAACTTTCCGTATAAACGGCACATTTCGTCTAAAATAAGACGCGGCTTATTTTAGAACAGCCCTTAACACCTGTTCTTAGATAAGACGCATCTTAGCTAAGACGAGAAAAACGTCGTATAAATGACCTTCGCGTCTTACATAAGACGCGAACGCATAGTACGCATGCGTTAATTTTTGGCCCGCCACGTTGGATTGCCGTTGCTACGGCAACATTCACATGAAAACGAGTCAAGAACAGAAATAAGACGTGAACCATTTACACGAGCTGTTCTCGTCTTAGATAAGACATACTCGTATAAATGGTACAGTTCGCGTCTTATGTAAGACACGTCTTATTTTTCCTCGTATAAACGGCCCTACTGTTCTAAATTATCAAAAGCGTTGTTTTGTCAGTTCTTAAAAGGATGGTTGGTATTTCGGCCAATCACATCACGCACAGAAAGTCAAATGATCCAATCAAAAAGTGCCGTTGAAAAGCAGGAGAAAACGGGCGAACGGTGGGATTTGCTTTTGGTTGAAGCCAGTGGTGGGAAATTTTCCGCTATTAAATCGAAAAGCGTTTCAGTGCAAAGCTAAAGCAATCATGAAATAACCTTCAGACACAACTATAAACTGCACCATAGTACATGTAACATTTTTTCTTGTTATCTTACTTTTCGTTATCAGTAACCGCCAGTGCAGAGACTGGGTGCTCATCAAAGTCAAAGCTCAAAACTGGTCGCCGCTGTGTTTTGGTGTCGTACAGCCGAATCTGATGATACGCCGTACCAACCGCAATTCTGGATGACAACCCTTGACCAGGCAAAAATCCTATATCAGTTACCCAGACTGGAACTTGAAGGTCGAGGAAATCATTTGGCACCTGTTGGGGAGATCAGAAGTTATTGAGATTTTTCAAGTGCAGTCTAAATATCATAAACTGTTCTGCTCAAACTCGTTTAGCCCTTTTTTGGCCCCCAAAATATAACAACACGCAATAACTATGTATGAAGGCGTTTCTTGTAATGTTTGTTTACAGCATAGTTCAGCTATTATTCACTTCTATAGGAAGTTAACCTTATGCACGTTAATGTGTAAATATATGCCGTTCTTTGTTAGATGTATTCATTAATTCCCTGAAGAAGTGTCAGTTGGACCCGAAACGTGTCGGAGATAAACGAAAAAGCTTACAAATACAAGACATCATCCGTTGTGCAGCTCACTAGTCTTCTTTTAAAAATCGAAACTTAAAAAAAGAAAAACTTAAAAAATCAATTAATTCAAATTACATTCTTGGCTTTGAAAACTGCTTCCTCAGGCCTGCTAAGGTCCCACAGTTTCAAATCATTTTTTTGGCCACCTGTTCCTATTTGAAAAGGACACAAAGGATTCTGATGAACTGTAGACACATTGGCACCAACTCTAACATCTGTCTGAAAAGAGGATTAAAAAAACTGTTTTTCCAGTAAAGTAAAACAACAACAAAACAATTTTTATTGCATTGAGTTTTACAATAGTGTAAAAGATCCTAATTCTCCACAAGTAGAATGTTGCCCTGTGTTCCAGAGGTTACTTTTTTCTTATCTGATTCCTTATAGTTTGCAGCGAAGCTACCATAGCAAGGTGCAAACTGCTGAAAGAAAGAAAAGTAAAGGTCCATCTGAGGAGCTTTATCAAACTGTTAGCAAGGTTTATTTCACCCTAGGAATTTCAAGAACTGACCTCTAGAGCCAGGGTATTAGGATGCAAGATATTTTTGGGTTTCAATCACAAGATATTGATAAGGTAAATATATGTTGTTCTGGTCTGAACTCTTTGCAACTAAAGGTCATGTACCAAATCAGGAGTAGGGTAATTGGCTCCTGACCAAATCAGGAGACAAATTCCGGGGGGACAAATTATTAGTACTTTGGAGCCAAAGGAAAAACGTGATTTGTTTTTTTTTTTGGTCATGACTTAGTAAGCAGCAAATTTATGGCATGCAGAGCATTGTTAAAATACTTACCAGATTGTCATTGTCTCGCCATATTTGAAGTAAGCCTGACTCTACACATGTCACAAATGAACTGCAAAGAGGAAATCAGACCTTGTGTGATTAACAGAATGGCAGCAATAATGTATTATCTCAGCTGCAGATAAGTGTGTCTCAAAACAAAAGTAACATTGATGGAAGGGGAGAGAGAGGAGAATTGGAGCCTCCTCCACTTAAAAAGTGTTGCACCATCAATGGGTCTTGGCGCTTCTAGAACGATTCTAGATACCAGCATAATTATTGCAACAGATTGAGGAAGGGTTTGTACTGACTGGCTACGAAATACGAATTACGAGAAACTTCTACACTTAGATAGTAACAGGCTGACAAAATCTTGTGTGTTGCGGAGGAAAGAGACTCCTGAAAGGCCACCACATGAAAACAATGCACAATATCTCCGACAATTTACAACAAAATGGTTAAGACACTTACACAAAATGGAGAATTATTTTGGAGAACAACGCTTTGTTTTGGTCAAGGAATAAAACATGGAAAATGCTGGCTGCCTTGAACAAAGTATTTCAGTCAAATAGACACTACGTAATTTTGTCACTGATTGTATTTCTGGTTTAGATCAGATATCTACCACAAAAACTTTAGAGTTATCACTTTTTCCTTGATAAACTTACTTTTCCCATTTAAAGAGTCCTTTCAACTTTTTGTCATTTATAGGGAAGCTTTTTTCTGCAACAAATTCACCTTTACTGACATCAAAGGTCTTCACAATACCATTTTCCAATCCCAATAAAATCTACAAAACAATAATTATATTAATGATTATCATCATTTATTAATAAAACATGTTGGGCCCATTTTTTTCAAGTGCTCTTCCTTTCTACCAATGTTTAGTCAAGGGACACATTTTAAGGTTTTTAAGGTCCGTTTGACAGGTTTGAAAAGCTAACAATTTTTGTCTAACACTAGCAAGGCCGTCCTCCCAGAAAAATTAGAGAGAGTGCTGTGAAATCCTGGGGTGAGGCAGTTAAGTCCTAGATACAAGATAGGCTTTTGACATTAACCAAAGGCAGAAGTTAGTAACCTGAAGTTCCCAGGCACCATTATAATACAGCCATGTCTTTCTTGTTCTGGGAAATGACCAAGTTGCTCATAAATATGGACCAGTGAAAACAGACCTCTTTATGTCTGGTAATCATTTAGTTTTTAAGTATGAATTAGCTATGTAATATACTAGATATATATACCGGTATAAATTTTTTAATTCTTACTTTTTAACTTTTTAAATTTCTTACACTTACTTGTAACAAAAGATATGTATTTTTATCTCTTGATGAATAAAGACTTTATTATTATTACTTTATTAGTATCACTTCATAGCAAGCTTGATTTAAGGTAGCCTCAGCAAACAGCTGACATTCCAAGATACCAGGACTGGTTTCTTCGCAAAATACAGTGGTGGCGTTGTGAAATGTCAGCTGTTTTCTTAGGCTAGATTCAAGGGAAAGTAATATAAACTACTGTCCAAGAGAGTATTAAGTGTCTTGTTATACAGGAAAGGAGCAATAACAAACAAAAAGTTCAATCGTTGTATCCAACACAAGCAACACCTATCTAAAAGATTTTTCCTTAACAGTCACTTGATAGAAATCCTTTTGAACTTAACTAAGGCCACTCAATCCTTTATTAGCAAATTACCATCAGAGTTATAATATATGTAGGGCTAATGCAGCCCTTGATTAAGGTGAATCGAATATATATAATGGGCTACTGCTTTTAACCCCCACCTCGGTTGAGAAAACATGGAACTCATCAGGGCGCTTTCATTTTCACGAAATTCTTCAGGGGTACACCAACATTCTATGGAAGTCTTCAGGGGTGAATGCAATCTATTTAATCTTCAGGGGTAGGAACCTTAACCGGGGGCAGCCCAATATGTTGGACAGTCCAAACTTGATTCAAGGGGTTAACCCTAAACCTAACTTTCACTCGAGATAAAATATGTAAAATTTCCTTTATACCTGATTCTCATCCTCATCAACCCAGTGCATGGAACATATTGCATGGCTTCTGTCCACTTTTTCTGTGACACCGTAGTTTGTAAAGGAACCCTTTTTCAGGTCAACCCCTAGAAAATTCGAGCAGTTTACCTCGCCTTCAAATCACATATATCTTTTAATAGTACCAGTCAGTAATTAAAATTTTCCACGAAAAAAAACTATATCTTTTTAACACATATATACCTTTTAAAAGTCCTGTTTCGCTTCCGACCCAAACGTCCGCCATGCTTGAAATCCACGGTCAAGGAGCCTGAGAACTAACATGCTCGAACAGATCTGTGGGTAGTTCCAGTTCTCCTTCATTTTACGCCTGGCAGAAGTTGTGTGTTTTTTTTTTCCTTTTGCAGACACTGATCATTGATTCTACAATTTTTAGCCTCACTGGTGGTGGAGAAAAAAAGGCAATGAATTCGAAAATGTTCTTCTTGATACCTTTTCTGACAATTATGGGATATTTTGCCCAAGAAAGTGAGCAAATGGAACCGTCACTTTCGCGGAAAACGCATCAAAAGTTTTCATCTAAAACTCGTTATGACCAGAGGCGGAACATCTCTTTTAATGCGCCGGTTAATTGTGAACCTCTTCACATTAGCATGGTACTGAGACATGGCTCCCGGTACCCTAGCCGAAATGATGTCAAGAAAATAGACAAGATGCTGAATGTGGTTCACGATGCCTTGTTAAAATCCGGAATTGAAAGCACTCAGATTGGAGAACTTCGTTTGCCTTGGAAAAACCCATTTTCACCCTCAAACGATAAATTACTGACTTCTGTTGGAGAAGAGGAGATGTATAACATCGCGAAGAGGACATTGAGACGTTTTCCTAGTTTGCTATCCCATCCTTACGCACCACAAAGCTTTGAGTTTATCAGCACTGGAACAACTCGGGCTGCCCAAAGTGCAATGGCTTTTTCCTTTGGTTTGTTTGAAGGTCGAGGTCATCTCGCAGCCAATCGCTTCCAGCCAGTAGCAATCCTGTCCAAGGCAGTGGACAATGACCCTCTTCTGCGATTTTTTGATCTTTGCCAAAAGTATTTAAGAAGGGTTGCAGAAAACAAAACTGCTCAGTATGAATATAAAAATTTTAAACATGGTGAGGAAATGAGAAGTGTTCTCGAAAAAGTTTCTAGCAAGCTGAAGATAGGTCATGGTGTTCTTTCTGAAGAGTATGTAGTTGGCATGTACACAGCCTGCATCTTTGAAGTTGCAATTTATGAGAGAGAAAACACTTGGTGTGAAATCTTTGATGAAGAAGATTTAGTAGTTCTGGATTACTTGTCAGACTTGAAGCAGTATTGGAAAAGGGGCTATGGATACCCAATAACTTATAAAAGTAGCTGTCCTCTTCTGGAAAGGATAATTACATCTTTGAAAAATGCAACAGAACCATTGCAAGAGGATCAAGTATATGGCAGTTTTATGTTTGCTCATGGAGAGACTCTTCAGCCACTTTATTCATTGCTTGGTTTATTCAAGGACAAAGAGGATTTAAGAGCGGATAATTTTGCCAAGTTTCGTCAACGCAACTACAAGACTAGCTACATTGCACCTTTTGGAGCCAACATTGCGTTTGTTGTGTATAAATGCAACTCAAAAGACACTGCTTCAGAGCAAGCAGAACATTTTAGGTCTCACTTGGATTCATTTATGGTTCAAGTGTTTGTCAATGAGGAGTTAACTGCTGTGCCTTGCTGTGGCAAACAAACAGAATGTCCTCTGGAAACATTTTTGCAGTGTTTTAATAAGGAACCTTGTGATCTATCAGCTTTATGCAGTTGTGAAAGTGGTACTTCTAAACTACACACGGAACTATAAATAAAATATTTGTATTGCTTTTGCAAGACCATAAAACAAATCTTTGAAATTTTTGAAGAAAAACTGGTTATTTGTAGTCTTGTCTAGTAAATTTACAGTTTTTTGTGGTAAGGTAACACCCCATTCATTAGCAACAAGTTATATATTGCTTGCAGTTTTTCAGAAGATTGTCTGACTTCTTTACTTTCAATTATTCCAAAATAAAACACAGAATAATCCTCAAGACGCAGCCCCTTGAAGGATTACAGGACTTAAAAAATTTATTGCCTTGTCCTTTATATCCTGTCTTTTGTTATGCTCAGCATAGCAGGCTGATTTAGCAACAGAACAGGAACGTCATTTGATAGAGGGAAAGCGCGCGGAAAGGAATAAACTTGACTTCTGGTGCCCAATTTGACGCTCTGCCATTGGTCAAGCCAGTTTTTTGATTTGTGCCTGCTGTTGTCAACTCGCATTCCTGTTCTGTTGCTAAATCAGCCTAGCATCTCCCTAATAGCAACAAGAAAAGACTATGACAAGAAAGACTAAGAAAGAAAGGCTATGAAAGTTTCAGTGCATGTATTAATTTTTATTTTTATTTATAAATCTGACTTATTGTTGTATGTTTATTACTTTGCATGTTCATCATTTCATTTAATTGCAGCGAGGTTGTTTCAAGCACAGTTTGTTCTTTTTCACTTTCCTCCTGGACAGCAGCCTTCAGGTATATGTAAGTACACATAACCTATTCTTTAGAGTGCCTGTCAGCTATCTGTAATACCCAGGTCTTCCTTTAGCTGTTCAATCATCTCCCGCATACGGCTCTGGAAAGGATAGAACACATTATAAGTAATGTTTGCTATATCTGCTGATTTTACTAGTCAAACACTCAGTTATGGTTATAAGGGTGCTTTATTTTCCAGTTTTCTCAAACTTCTCAGTGATATGCCCATGACTTGTAATACGGCAAGATTCAAAGTTGTCCCAAACACACTACAGGGTCTCCAAATAATCTCCAAACCTCATTTTGTCAAACATCTCTACAACTGAAGCCAAAACTGACAGTGAGACTCAGTGTGCTAAGAGACATGTCCTAAAGCCCAGGGCTAGTGGATTTTGCTACTGGGCAACTGAATTCTGTTCTTAACTTGCCCGATAAGCTAGTGAAGTTTTTTAGGGGAATTCAAATAGTAGAAGAACTGCAATCAATCCTGCTGGTCAAGAATTTTTGGGGGGCTTGTTACAATGACTCTTAGGTTAGTACATGCACAAAAGCCAATTAGCTGTAAAACTGAATTTCTTTGCACCCTGTGGATTTCTACTAATGGCCACCTCTTCACAATGGCTTCCTCCCCTCAAAGCCACTGTTTTAGCCCACCAGAACAACAGCACAATGTTAAAAGCATTATTTATTTTCACAGGAGCTCTTTTAACCTACCTCATCTAAATGTTCTTTTCTTCTTTCAATGTGCATTTCAAAAACTTGCTGAAGAACCCTACAAGAGACAAAAATACCTAAAAATTGTAAAATGCACTCTAAATCTAACAATAGAGAGAAAAGTAAATTTACATTAATCAATCTATTTTTTTATGTAGCAGAATATGTCATTTTTCTTCCATACATCTTACTTCCATCACCATTGTCCCTCAGGGAGAGGGATTAATGTTAGTTCCCATTCCTGTTTCTTCCCTCCTCATTTTTCCAGTTCCTACCACTTCCATCTCAGCTCCCAAACCCCACCCCACTTCCTCTCTAATCATCATCTCCCATCACATCCTCTTCCATTCTTGAGCTTCCTGGAGTTCTCATAAGTTCTCTGTTACTTTCCTGTCCATGATTTTCCACTTCTATCCTCTCTTATCCCTTTTTAAGCCCTTATTTTCTCTTCCAGCATATGTCCTCACTCTCACAATCCTCAGTGATTTTGTTACCTCTGCGTCCTGTGTCCCTGAAGCATAAAAATCCCCAAAGACACAAAATATTTTGTGGTATGCATCCCGTAGGACGCAAAGATCGATTGATCAATCTGAAGATGTTTTATTCCTGTATGATTTCTGTGGCTGTTGTTAAATGATGCTTATTTCTTTTAGTCTTTGTTGTGCTTTACAATAGAAGGAGTATATGTTTATTTCAGTAAACTGTAATACAGAGTTTTGGAGTCTGTCTTCGGATTAACTGTGTGGTTACCAAAAGACCCAATGGTTCTGGACTGGGACTCATGTTTTTTCACAAGATGAGTCCCACGACTCATCATAACTATTTGCAACAAAATCGCTAAATACTTGCTCACTTCTTGTTTAGTTCCCATCCTTTTTTTATAAAATTTGCATGCATTCCCACTGATTTCCATGCCCCATTTCTCTCTGGTTATCTACCCCTATCTGCTAATTCCAATCCCTTATTCTATTCCCTGCGTTACCACTATTTCCATCTCAATTCACATCCCCTTTATATTGTACTCCTCATTCTTTTCTCTCCCACTTTCCCTGCCCCCTTTTTTCTGAGCTTATTTTAATATCATTGTATTCACATTTAATACAAGAGTAATAATTTTAGAAACCTACTTTAAATCATGTACCTGTTACTGAAGATTCCTCTCGCTAAAATGTCTGTGGTAACATCAGAAATAAATTTAAGGTACCTCTGCTCCTCTTCCCTACAAATCAAAGTACATGTATGGTGCTGTTCACAACAGGCAATCTATAATACACACACCCAAGGAACTTTAAGGAACTTTATAATTCAGCACAGTATATGTAGGTATTACAATTTCCTTCAAATTGTTTGTCTTCTCTTTTGTCACCTTTTTTGAGGAATGCATAGAATACTTTCTGGATTGATGACCAAAAAATGTCATTTTCCACACCCATTTTCAGACCTTGCCTGTTGGCAGAAATTATGTCATCATTACTTAGATTAGAGCGCAAACAAAAAAAATTCTTCAAATGCATTTTGAATTCACATATTTCTATTTCATTCCTATTCACTTGGAATTGAAACAATAAATACATTCATACACTCCTGTAGTTCCCTCGAAAACCATACCTGATTCCAGACAAAATTGGGGAAAGTCTATACCCCACTTTCAGGCCAAAAAGGTCCAAAAACCCCACCCGTTGGGGCGGCACATACCTATATATGAATTATATAAGGGAGTACCCCCTGGTTGTCAAGGGTAGTTCTAGGATTTTGATTGAGCAAGAGGATTGGTCACTTGAGGAGACAAACTTGGGTATTGTCCTGTGTTTGAATCCCTGAATCTCTCAGGGTGAGGTGAAAAGGGGAGGCATGTGTCTGAGGTTGAAAAAGGGGACACACATTAAAATAAGCACCCACCACAAGTTTGCCTGGAAGTCAGCTGAATCATTCATCCTTACTGACGGACGGCCTCTGTGACTATATGACACTTGTGTTAGGTCAAGCCTTGGTATTGCATTATGCTTTATGTTGCTACTAGTGTCATAATTCAAGCTATATGATATGTCAGTTTCTTGTGATCCCTCTTCACTGGTATTGTGACCAGCTCTCATGGGAACTTTCAAATTATCAGGCTCATCATTAGTGCCCAAAAGTGTCCTAACATTTTCATCCAAGTAATTATTTGTCATTCCTTGTTCTGAATTATCAAGAGATGGTGCAGTCCTCAGATCGTTCTTCTGCCTCAATCGATGGGCTGTTTTTAGAGTCTGCTTTGGTTTTCTTGCAATGGGTGAAGTTGGTGCCTGCAATTGTGGGTGCCGGGCTGATCTTGGTGTTGACTGGGCTTGTGTTGTAAATATATCTCTTGGTGATGGTGATGGTGTGGTAGTGGGGTAATGCCTGTTAAGGGATTGTACAGACTGACTTCTCTGAATTGGTTTCCCTGTGGATGGTCGTTGATCTGGAGACCATGCAGATGTGGCACTAACAAGTCTTAGGTCTGGAGACTGGTGACCTCTGGCTGAGTTCACGGCAGATGTTTCATTGTATGATGAGGTCAAGAACTCCGTGGAAGGGCTCTAAAGAATATATCAGTTGAAACATGCTGAAAGTGGCACTGTAATTTGAATAATTCTTAGTGATAACTTAAGAGGTTTTACATCCATTCTAATTTAGTACCTTTCAACAAATTTAATACTACATGTATTCAGTGTGTAAGGACTTCAGACAAATGCATACAGAAACTAAACAAGTTAAAAACAACAGCTGGATGATAGAGTACTGTAAGGGTACTTCAATACAGTCTTGCCCAATGACACTATAAGACCAATAATTTCCTCTTGTTACATCCAAGTAGGATTGGCTATTTTAATAATTTTATAGGGGAATTAGACAATAACTGGTAACTGTACACTGAGACAGCAATGTTGGCAACATGTAATATGTAGTCCTCTCAGAGCAAAATAAATAATTGGATATGTGAGCACAGGTATGCTAACTCGTTATGCCTAAGTAATTGGACAGTATACACCATTGCATGCGCTCACTTAAATTTAAATGGCTTTTTTTCACTGCTTGCAAAAAACCTCTTGGAATTTCTTGTGTTTTACTTAGAAAAAAGCCTTCAAGATCACAAATTTTGTTATAGTTATGATTAATTGGTAACAGAACTTCGAATTGTCCAATTAGGTCTGCTATACTGGTGATTAAACAAATCAGACTCCTGCTACATGGGTGTCCAATTTTGTTAATCACTTGTATGATTACAGACCGAATTGGACTCCACTCATTCCTATTACCATTGATTATTAACTATAATCATGTAGTGTCCTAAATCTCACTGCAAGGTCTCTTAACACATGTTTTATTCTATTTAAAGTGTTCAACACTCACCCTAGCTGTCAGTGATAGTGGAGTTCCAGCTCTGCTTTCCAGGGCAGCACGCTTCTTTTGATCACGAACTATACACTCAGAGAGAAATTAAAAACATAATGGTACTTACCGTAAACGGCCTCTTGATATTTTTGCTGAAAGCATATTAATAGTTTTGTAGAGCTTGTTACAGTTATGAGAATAAATGCGTGCCTCTGTCTTATAAACACCTCCTTAACCTATTAAATGCCCCTGCTTGGACCTCTAAAATTAAATAGACACCCGGGCATTTACTAGATAATTTACGATGCCCAAGAATAAAATGCACTCTTTTTCATCAAAACTTGTTTCATAATTTGAGGTGCATATTTTCCCTTGTAATACTGTTGCAATTATTCTGCTATAAACCATGAACCTTCAAACCTCCTACAACACATTCAGCTGTAAGCCTGCAATTCTGAGGTTAAAGCTCTCTTAGTTAAAGGTTTGCAATCACAGAGAAAGACAAATTTGTCAAGATAGTCTACCGGTATACCGAAAAATGGATCATTATCAATATTACAAAGTGAAATATTTTAAGGTCCATGGCCATAAGATTGCTTTTCGTCAGTTTGTTGAACCAAGCAAAAAAGTGTCCTTTAACTCGACCCTGTTACTGGAAAATTTCTTTCTCTTGCACATTAGTTGTGTTTTGTCATGCTCAAGGATTACATGTATGGTGCTGGCTTTTAGTTAGATTCTCACCTTTCATATGCATTTTCATAGATTTTGGAGGTGATGTATCAACAGCAGCTGATGAGCAAACAAAATTGTTTCGATACTGGTTAATACAAGAGCAGCTTGGCCTTGTAATCAAGCTATATAAACAATCACCTTTTCAATACCAGATGGGGTTTAACTAATTTAACTGCTAAGTTAGCTCTCAGCAATCGCTGGTCTGCTAGGCATGCAGGACATGCTGGAATTCAACTCTCAGTGTAAACCACTAACCAGGGCCTTTATAGGACTGGTAAATTTATACTAGTTCTGATAAAAGCATATCACATGCACCCAAGCTTTACCCATACCATAAGCCCATCTTTATTATTGTACACAAGAAAGCAGATTAGCCGAGTAGACAATGTGTGTCTGACATGCAATTTGGAGTTCCAGCTAGGTACCAATCCCGCTTAGGCCACTAAGCAATAGCTCCAAGTTTAACTCCTCAGCCAAGCTGGTAAATTAACTACTGCAGAACAATTGACTGCTTTTTCTCTTGCTAATTATTTGGGGTTTCTTCATATTATTATATTTTACTTGATCATGACTAAACTAAAGGAACTACTGTAAATACACAACCACTACTTTACCATGAATTTGCATTTCCCTGATTGTTATTGTCTTTTTGTTTTGTTTCTTGTTTTGTATCTTTTCAACCAACTCCAAGCAATTATCTCTTTCCAAGATCGTTGACCTTCATATCTCTAAGGCCCATGCAGTTCAGACGCTGAACTTTTCATCAGCTAAACCTAATGTACATTGAATCAAGTGTGTGAAAAGTTCAGTGTCTGAAACAATTAGGAATGCCTATTTCAATGTGGAACAGCCCAGCCATTCTTCTCACCTAGCCTGGCCGGGAATTTTGACTATGGAATGACTTTGATTCAGATGCCAAACTTTTCATGTGCCTGACCTAATGTATAGTCTGTAATTACGTATTTTGCAAGCAGTTTGACCAAAAAGAGCATTTGTCTCCTTTTGAATTTAATTTGGCTGGAATTAAGATCAGCATCTGAATCAATTCAGCCAGTCTAAATAATCTGGGTTGGCCTCTTCATTCAAATTAGTTTCGCTCAAGAAAAGTTTGGCGTCTGAAGCAGGCCTAACATTTCTTACTGTTAACTTTATGTACAGAAATTGTGACAAATTTAATGAATACCTTTTGCTGACAGTATGCGCCTGTAGTGAGATTTCATGTGGTTTGCTATGAAGTCCTGTCCCATATAAGACATAGAAGTTGGGGCAAGTGCTACAAATATTAATTCAGATGCTTAGATAATGTTAATCAGGAACGAAAAGAAAAGTATTTCAATAAATTTCAAACAAATAATCCAGGAATTTAATCGGTATACTTAAAAACTGCGTGATCCTAGTCACTGCATGTGCATACAAGAGCCAGTGTCGACCGCAAAACATTCAAAGATCGAGAAGCTGAATTCCGATGAATAATATTTAGTCATTTTATATCCATACCGTAGGGCATGGCGCCCATCCTTTGGGATATGCAGCTTTAACAGGCAAAGACAAAAAATTACCAAAATGAATTTCACAACCAGCGACAGACGTAAACTTAAGTAAAACTTGTAAGCACAACATTATGTATCAGCAGTGGCGGACGCCATGTTGGATTCCTATTATTAGATACGCCAACAATGCACCTACCGCTGCTTTTTAAGGTGAAATGCCCACGCTGTAAGCGTGTCTGTGAATTGCTTCCGTTGTTCATCTTTACAATTATGAAAAAAACATAAGTTATAGTATCCTTCCGTGTTTCAAAGTGGAGAAATTAAACTGCGAAACCCATGACAAGGAAGACATTTTAACTTGGTCAGTTTTTGGATCGCGGGCGCATATACGCCACTGTTATTTCCAAGACAACAAGTTCGAAAAATAGGCCCGCATTGCTTGCACAATCCACCCGTAGACAAGAACGCTGGTATAAGTTGGTTGCAGACGAAATAGGTCTTATATGAGAAATTGCAATAAAAAAGCAAAAACAAGAAAAAACAGGAGAGCTGGTAGAAAGAGGAGATAATATTCTTTGAATGAATTGGAAGACGTTGTTTAGAACACTAACTAACCAATCATAAGACAGCGCGCGATTAGTGAACCAATTGTTACGTCGACCACGCTTCATTCTTGCGTACTTTTCCTTTAAAACGGACGCGATTAGTAGCTGCGAGATCAAAAAATTGATAAGTGACCCATTTTGCTCCGTTGACAGAAAAAAAAGGTCACAATAGTAAAGCTGTGCACTGGTTTGTAAGGTTCCACAGGCCAGTTTCACTAACTTCATTGAAAAAACGAGGACAATTTTAAATGGATAAAGTTAAGGCCAGGTGAGTCAATTGTAACTTAAAAAATCTCCGATAAATTCCTTCGTTTCTGTTTTCAAAGGCTCTTATCTCTTTTTGAGATCCCTTGGGAACTATTATTTTTAGATATCTACACCCGATTTCAATCAGTTTCTGCTGAACACGTTTATTCCTCTGTTCCTTTTTTGAAGCAAAATCACAATTGAAAAATCAGCAGTTTTTCTTGTTGACGTAACAATCGACATCAAGTTCGCGCTTCGTTCTCAACGGCTTCGCAGCTCTTCTGCCAAAACTTTGCTCGCGCTAACAAGCCCGCCGGCTACGCAGGGTGGGCGACTGATTAAATTTCTGTTTTCTTTTCTTTGTTTTTTTAAGTCCATATTGATATATACTGAGGCATTCATCTCTCTGGGTCTAGAACCAATACTTCTTAGGCAGGATTTAAGGCTTTCATGTGTGGCAAAATCGGGGAAAAACACGGCATTTCTAGTTGTTTAATAAAATTATCTGAAAGAACGGTTAAAGCAGATTAACGTAAGCACTTGCACTCCTTTTTTTAGCTATACCTTGATGACCTTTTGGTTTTTGGTTTGTTTATCTACATATTGTTTTTTTTCGGAAGGGTTGGGGGGGGGGGAGGTTGTCATTGTTGTTGTTGTTTTTTTTTTTAATTCATTTGTTTTCTTCACTTTCTTTAGGTATCCACATGCATACTGGATTACAGAGAGCTACGTCCCTGCTGGCAACATGACGCAACTCTACGGAGACATAAGGTACATTGTAGTATTCTTCTGATTAAATTAGAGTAATCCACTGGGGCCGCAAAAATACAGTTGAGACAAGTTTTATTTCCTTCTTTGTATTAAGCTAAGACCCTCTCTTGGACCTCTTAGTGATCAAACTTAGTAATCTTTAATATCATTTATAAGTACTACTATTTATATAATATATACAGTATGTCCATTTCAAATACTGCACGTCAATACTGCACTCAGAGTTGGTTTTTGTTTACTCTCACTAATGCCCTAGTACAAACACACACAAATGGTAATAGAACCGAAATTTCAAAGGCGACTATTTTTTACTTAAAAGTGCATGTTAGCTTTACTGATGTTTTTAAGCCTCTTAGCTCCTCTTTAAACGTGTAAATGTGATCTCACGCTACTTTGGTTATATACATACTCTTTTTCATGTATGTATTGATCTTTTTGTTTGTTAGGTTTTACTGAGTACTACACTCTTGATTCACAAAAACTCGTTGCAACCATCCTCTGTAACTGAATCAGTTCCTTGGAGCATTGCCCAGTCCATGGAATGTGCTCTTTGAGCCAAAAGTATACTTGGAACAAACTGAAAAAAAAAAAAAAGAAAAACGAAGAAAGGCCATTTCATTGAATTCTCCACCTCAGCAAGGCTCTAGGGAGAATGAGTACAAGCTTTGGGCGCAGTGATTTCTGGGATAGTTAGGGTGGACAAGTTAGTTATGATTGGTCGATATCGTTGCCCTGAGAGCTTGTAACCATTCCACTAATAATTTTCGGAAAGGGGATTACCCATGAAAAGCGAGGCTGCTGCACAATCATTCAAATGAAATTAATTGTGTGTGAAACAAAACTTATTTGCGAAAGAGAGGTTAAAGGTAATCAAGAGTCTCTTGAGGTAATTCGTTTTCAAGGGCAAATACCAAAGCACCGATGCCAAGAAAAGGAATAAAAATACAGGACAGAATAGACAGACTTTAAAACAAACGCTAAGTCTTCCGGGCAAAGTTTGAAACAAATACCAGTCATTAAATTTAGAAAATGCGGTATACACGGACCAACTGTTTAACTCGCATTCTTACATGAAACTCTGTTGATCATTGGATCGTCTTCCAGCCAGAACTTGAATCCTTCCTTGGCCCGCTGGTTGTATACAGATGGCCTTTTCTGAACCTGTGGCCGATGTTGCTTATTTGCTCTGAGCGAAGCTTCTTTCTCCACCGGTTTGCCTTGTTGGTACATTGTGAAGGATTCTAAGCAGAAAACAATATCAAGCTATGGTGAAGATTTGCATGTAAGATTTGCCTCTATACTCTTAACGTGGATATATGGCTAGTTAAAACATACATGCTGCCCTTTTGGCCGTTACTCATTTTTTGCACGGACGGTCACACCCGAATCGTGAATTTACAATGACACAACTGTAGCAAGTGATGTTTATATTTAATTTTTCACCATAGAATGTTTTCTTGCCTTATGCAGTCAATTTTCCCTACCCTTGTATTTATTTATGATAATTTTTCCTCAAAAGTGACCTGAATAGTTCTGTACAGAGCGCAGAGGAGTTTTTAAATGAATTTACTCCAGACTAGTAGGTAACTTTCGCGAGGTGTGACTTTCATTGGTTAACTAAAATGCTCCGTTTTTGGAGTATGTTACATCCTTTTCTTAACATAGTTCCTAACAGAGGCGGATACAAAAAATTCGGAAACGAGAATTCTCAAAAATAATACAAAATCATACAGAAAAAAAGGGCGCATACCACGAGGACCATTCCTAAATCCGCGTTTGCCTAAATACTCACTTTTCAATAGATCCTCTCTATGCTGGCTTTTATTGTAGTAATACTTCTGGAACGCACTTGACAGCCCTGCTGACTGCGGATGGGAATGACCAGACTGCTTTGCTGGTTTAGGCGGGAAGCCGTAGGACACGTGGGTTACGAATTCGATGTGCTGAAACATGATATCACCAATGTTAAGTTGTAGTCACCCGGTCAGTAGAGACTTTTTTTTGCTCACTAGATTTTAGCGTACTCGGGAAAGACTCTGCATGAATCCAAAAAGATCTTTCAAACATGCGCTGCATGTTGCTAGATAAAGTTTCGAACCCAGCCAGGAGCCCATAACCCGGAGCGAGTAACTCCCATACTATAGGCCTATACCACGGCGTTTACTGACCAGTTTGTTTTTAGACACATTCTAGGGCACTTTTTCCCTCGAAAATAGAATCTCCACCACGGCTATGAGCGCATTCGTAGTGTAAGATATCAAAAAGGAAAATTAAACGTTATTTAAAGGCAAAAATTATCATTTTTAGGTCTTTAGGTTTTGCTGACTGGTTAAGAAATTTAAAAGATACTCAAAATTCGCGCCAAAAGCGTTCTAAAAATAAACTGGTCCGTGAAAACAAGAGCGCATGGAGGTTGTTCACTCCGGGTTATGGGCTCCTGACCCAGCTCTATAAATGACCGTGCGCTTCCTATAGCGAGCTCGGTTTTTACCGTTTGACTAGCTCAGAAGAAGAAGTTCGGGTTTCGGCGACTTAAATGACGTGATTCAGGGACAGCCTCCCTTTCTTCTCATCACTTAAGAAGACAAAAGGAGTCTCTAATCGCAGGGTGGGTTGAAGTGAGTAGAATTTTTGAGGTGCATTTTTTATTAGAACAAAACAAAACACCCAGGCACTTGCGGACAAATGTTGAGGGGATGCATGAGAAATTAATATTTTTGTACGAAAATCTCTGCTTGGTTGCGTTAAGTCTCGGTCATATCTTGAGAGAATGAGAGAATGTATGAGAGGTGCTAACACTGGGCCTAATATCAGATTATCTACCAGGCCGCATGCGCAGCTTCAACCTCGTTGCCAGAACCTTCCTTCTTCCGTCTCATCTCTCACTTCAGGGGACTGGAAGGAAAGAGACCTTTGGAACCAGGTTCTGAGTCGCTGCTGTTGTAAATAAAACCTGCATTTGACGACTTTGTCCTTATCTCGCGTGCGCATCGCTAATACTCTTCATAAATTCCCCGTTCCTCGTGTTTTTTATGTCTCTGTTTCTACAATGACGCACAGAAGTGCCTTTTTAGGTTTTCAAATGCAATTTAAATGTCCTCTTAGTTATGTCCCAACCCGTATGGTGAAAGAAACCCGTGATAATGGGTCTTCTTGATTCACTGAATAATGGCCAGCTATTCAGTTGTACTTGCATCACTTGCTAAAGGCGAAGAAAAACGTAAATTAATAGGGGAAATCAACTTTAAGCAGCTTTGGATGCAAAATAATATTATACTTAGGAAAGAAAAACCTAGTCAAACGTACAAAAACTGTCCTATTTATGAGAAACTTAAAATGAGAAACCACATGACAAAAAACACATCCACATATATTGCGTCAAATTTTGAATTAGTTAGGAAGGACCTCACGAAAGAGAAAAATAAAATTAAAGCAATAAGGGCCGGTTTACCAGTACGGAAAAAATACGCAAGTTACTCAGACATAATCACTACATTGAGACAGTCATTAGTTTCACTACTTGAATTTTTCTTCTACATCTAGCAACTTAGCATTTGTAAAAGCTCCAGATTGCTCAGCTTTAAAATGGTGGCGGAAACCTCAATTCAGCGTGAAAATTACTTCTGTTCAGCATGAAGTGATGAACACATTTTCAACCAAACAGTTCTTTGACAAAAAAGACTACCATAAAATCATGATAAAACAAGATGCTGGGGAATGTAGAAAAAGAACTGTATACTTCCAAAAAGAAAGGAAAAAAATATTTTGATATTTAATGCTTACTTTTCCCTTGAGCTTGGCCCAGTGATCGGTGTCAAGTTGAGACGCTAGTTTCAGGGAAGGAACATCCAGTTTTGCCCAGCGCGACATGTCTTTCCTAAGGATGAAGAATCAACAAATTCATTTAAGTCTCACTGGGGATACTTTTCATTCTTTGATTCTCAATTTTCAAGCGCGAAAAGTTAGCTTTAAACACCCCTCTTTAGTGTGTGTGTGTATTTTCACACTTCATAATCAATGAAAAAAAGTTTCTTTTAAGAGCAACTTTTCTAGAAGTGTTTTATTTTGCCAGAATCCCGCAACTTGTAGCTAGCCAACTTGTTCAAAAAAATTAGAACCTTATTATACGAGCAGGCGTTAACCGAGGTCTAAGTGCTAATTCGCGTGCCAAGGGTCTCGCTTCTACTTAAAACAATTGTCTCATCCTCTTGTTTTTGACTAAGTTACATACAGCGCGTTTCACTGTCTTTGCTACTATGATTAATCTAATGCAACGCATTTTATCATGTTCATGAAATAATTATACCGAACCTTAAGCAAAGTATTGGCAAGTCAGGTCCAGGAAAGGACAAAACATTTGGAGAAATATTTATTTTTCTACTCATTATACGGTACTTATGCTGTTTGCATAAGATAAGCATCCTCCGTTAAACACGCTGAGGCCGAATTTTAAAGACTTACAATCGACTTGATCCACCAAAACATAGCACTACCGTTCAAAAATATCTCACCTGTGCAGCGACACTTTTGGAAATTCCCTGGCAACTGGTGCCTGCGAAATTGCTGGAAGCTGTACAGAAGCGGCCATTTTACTACTCGGTCCTCTCTTGTCGCAAACACTCAGTATCTAAGAGACCCGTGAGGGTTATTCATTCATATTTAATTAATTTTGTCTCAAAACATCTGCTCTCTGGGGAAAAGATCTGTCTCATCCATATAAAAGCATGAATTTAGAAAGGAATAAGTAAACAAGTCTTTTTGTGTTAAATCAACAGCTCTCCATTTACTTTAACAATACCAGTCAATCTTCTATTATATACACCTAAGATAGGTTTTGGCTGCATTTTCTTAAGCTGCACGTTTTAGCATGAAGACTCATTATTAACATTTTTAGATTCTCCTTCAAAGGAAACATAAATATCCTTCCTTAAAATGTTATCGGCTTCTTTAACAAATTTTAGCTTCATAAGCGAAAATGGCCCGTTTTTGTTCTCTAGAACACAGGTTCATTCTTTAATTACCGGCTAGCTGCGTGAGTTTTAACGGTTTTAAAAAGACGGAAATCAGTGTTTTCTTTAAAATCAGACTTGATCCAAGAATTTCAGTCGTGAGCTACTAGTCGGATATGCAGTAAGTATGTTATGAGGGTGCCGCAGTCTTTAAGCCAGTTTAATCTTTTGAAACCTTTGCCTTTTCAAATTAACAAACAAGAATTTTTTTCAAAGTCTAACCACGTTCTTACGCGAATTATTCAGAGATAATTAACCATTTAGCCTTTTCTTGAGGCAGGCCGCTGGCTGAAATCTTTTTATTCAAGCAGTGAATTCGAATAACTTAAACAGTGAATCTTTAACCCATCAATTAATTGAACTTGTCTTCATTTGATAAAACCAAGAGCCATAATGGCCCTGGATAAAACTCTCCCGAGATAATTCGTCCGAATTGCCTTTTATTTGAAGTCAATTTCCACTTAAAGAAAGAATTACAGTCTAAAATGTTTAGATTTATAAAGAAAAGATAAAATTGACCTCAATGCGGTAGGTGATGTTTTCTACCTAATCCACAAAACTTCTAGTTTTAAATAGCGGCGAGTTAGTGTTCAGATCGGGTCGGTCGTGGGGATAAAAAAGATAAACCCATTGCAAGTATGTCGCCTCTATTCTCATCTTTCGTTGATCACCGGAAGAGATTAATTTATTCAATAAATTTAAGATTTCGGGGCTAAAGCAATTCCATGTTCTATCACTGCGATAAGCTACCTTGCCGGAGGCAGGAAAGTACTCTAGTGTCATGTACTTCATTTCTTGAACGGACAATATTCAATCCGGACACGAATTCACTATTTGTCTGGTACCATCTTGTGCTGTTCAATTGCATGCTATATGTGAAATTTGGAAAGACCAAAACATCGAGCCTCACTGCCCGATCTGACCCAGGATTTCTGAATGGGAATCATGGGCGGTGATGCCATAAGGGTACGCTATTGTACCGGGCTTCAATGCACAATATCATCCATCATGTTCGTCTAACATCATCCATCATATTGGTCTAATGTTGGTACGGATGGGAACAACCTGTTTTAAACTCAGTTACACCTTATTCATTATCATTCAACAACATCAAACACAAGGTGTTCAAACAGATCAAAGACAACGGTTGGGGTATCGCCCGTCGATATTGGACCAACATGGTAGATCCGCTCAGACGTGCGGGCCGTTTGGTCATGGTAAAAGGGAGCCTCTGTCTTAAAAAGCTACTGCCAATGATTGGACTGCTATGATGATGGTAGTGCTCTATACAGAGTTAATTAAAAAAAAAATTCGCTTAATAAATTCTGCTGTTTCTGTTATTCCGTGTATCACTACCCTCACTGAAATCGCGATCGTGCTACGGTAAACTGACAAACCGCGCTTTTATCAAACGGCAGTAAATGAGTGTTACTGATGATGAAAATAGCAATATTGATATCGGCGCTATATAAGTATTATTATTATAATTATTACCGAATCCGAGGGGTGAAAGGTGTGGCTCAATGACTAGTGGCTACAAAACAGCTAGTTCTTCAGCAATCTAATTGCCAATGTTCTTTATCACTGACGAATTTGTTCAGATTAATAAGAAAAATTTTCTGTTTAGTTCTACACAAGAAACGAAAAATGAGAATCAGCGGTTTTAGTTTTAGAAAAATTATGAAACCAAATATTGTAATAGCAAATTCAAACCTTGTGCCGACTCGTATCTTGTAATGTGTTGCACCCGTAAACCAATATCTCGTTGTTAATTTGTTATATACGTTTTGTCTTCGAGCCAACAAAAACCGCAAATTAACTGGAACAGACTGAAAAGAATGCTACCTTCTGGTGTAAGTTTACAAAGATGCTATTCACGCCTTATGAAATATCAATCGTTTCTCTTTTAATAAAGAACCGTCAACAGGTCGCCATCAATGATGTATTAAAGTTCATGTTCTCTCTTTTTTAACTGGCAAACTGTCCACCAGTCTTGGACAAAAGAGCTACAATGATGTTGCTAGAGTGTGGTAATAAATAAAAGGCCAAGCCTTAATAAGTCTGCGGCTATGGAATCATTAATTAGGAGGCTTTCAGGAGCATCTACGAAAACGACGGCAGGCGAAAACATAACCTTTAGAACGAATTCACGTTTGTTCAAACTTTGTAGTGTTTACTCCAATTCACTGAAAATGTCAAAAATAGGCGAATTTCCCTGGAGTTGATTTCTTGGGGCCCTCACTCAAGGTTAGAAAAGATTAGAAAGAGAAAGAAAAATTCGTCGTTGGTGGCTTGTTTACGTCCTCAAAAAAACGTGAAATTATTTAATAATTAAGCATTTTCACTGGTCCTAGTCGTGCAGTGACGGCAAAGAAATGTGCAAAAAAAAACGTGATGCTCGTGCAAAGTTTTGTTTTGCTGACCGAGGTCCCTCTTTATCACGGACGAATTTGCTGAGGAAAGAAAACAAGAAAGAAAAATACCTATTCTACCAGCTGTACTGTCAGCCCTTCTTCGTTGTTTATGTAACTGACTTGCTTATTCTCAGCTGTTTATATTTTTAGTAAGGGAAACTTAGAGATGCGTCGGCGTTAAAAAGCCACATTTTTGACACAATACGGACCAGAAGGAAGTAATCTTCCATATTTTGTAGCAGCCAGTTTAAAGAGAAGTACATGCTATCTCGGGAACTTTAAAAAATGACGGGAGTGGTCGATCGTCGTACCTTTTTGGGGTTAAAAGTTTACGAATAATTGCTACCTCTTCGGTGCCCTTTAAGTCCCAAAAGTGGCCAACATCAAGTTTCTCTGAAAGGGGGATGGAGCGGGGGTTGTGGGTGGGGGGGTTAGGGGGGGTTGTAAGCGAGCCATGCAAAGCGGGTGGATTGACGAAAAATCCCTTTTTATTTCGTTCTCTTCAACTTCCCGCGCTTATCCTCCTATCCTTTCCCCTATTGTCTTTTCCAGCAGCTAGGCCGGGTAGGCAATTATTTTCCCTCACAGTTAATCTGTTGCAAACGTGACTCTGTCAGAAAGGCACGGCTCACTTCATTGACAAAGCTATGAATTTAGAACCTCATGGTATAAATAGACGTGATGAACTCAATTAGTGACATTTATCTTTTTAGTAGCCTATCATTTTCTGTTTGCTATGTATTCAGTCAAATCTCGCATATGTAACGTTCATCTTTTATCTGTATTCATTTTTCTTTCATAGCCCCCGTTGAAGCTTTGTGTTGCAAACCGCAATATCGGGCAAATATAAAAAAGTCACCACTTTATTTTTGTTTTGTTTTGTTTTGTTTTTTTCTATTATATCAAGTTCCTTCGCTGCTAAATCAGCCTATCTTCCTCGTTGTCTGTTTTACCAACAACCGCCGGAAACCAAGTTCAGTTTGCTTGGAAATTTATTTCATCCCTTGCGCTATCACAAAATTCTTTGGCCACGAGTCAAGAATGACGAGCGATAAGTGTGCGGGTGAAAGTGTGAGAGTGAAAAGTGTGTGAACTAAAAGGGACATTAATGGCAGGAGACATGACTCTTTAATGAAAAGCAACTGGCCTATATTAGTAGATTTTAACGGTACTCTAATCTCGTTTGGAGTTTCCGGCCCTTGAATACAAAAATTTGCTCATTTAAAGTAGCCAGCAAAAACACGTTGACTTCCTTGAGCAAAAGAATATTGGGTTTAATGACAACAGGTTTCTGACTTTGATAAGAGTTCGCAAAAAACTGCGCAATGAACAGACTTAAAAGCTTATTTTCCTTCAGCCACTGAGCGTTCTTTGTAGGCGCTATATTTACCTCCACGATATTCTAAAAAGCTGACTAGAACTTATAAAGATTTATGCCCATAACATGTATTCAGTATTTCAATAAAGAAATTAATATTTGCTTTGTTGTAAAATGAGCCCTGAACACTGATCAGGACTGTTGTCTACGAAACCGAAACGCTCGTCAAACCTTTAATGAAAACCAACACTTATGTTTTGGTTGGGGAAAATTGGGAACAATTTGATTGTTTTCATTTTCACGCAGTCATCAATCAAAGTCTTAAGAACTTGCAAGTCGAACGTGACATAATATTACTGTTTTTATTTTCTACAGAAGAACGTTTAAGCCACATTTATTACCGAATAATATTGAAAACTAACCAGAGAAGTAATATCTGAGTCGAGATCGTAGGGTTTTTTGGCCTTCGCAGACACATTAATTTAGAATTTATAAATGTCTAATTTTTAATTCATTGTTAGTCACGAGTTCTATACTTGCATCGTATTATAGACAACATTCTTCGCTTTCTTTTCCGTTCCCTTGACAAAACTCACTAAACATGGGAACATTAAGTCTTGACATCAGTAAAATAAAACAAAACAACATGCTAAATTTTGCGATAATAATCGATTTTTAAATATCTTTGAAAGCAATGAAACGTGAATTTACAATATGGCCATATGGTAGTTGCTATCGTCACATTGAACTTTGGATCTATGTAAAAACAATCAATAGCTTATAAGTAAAACCTATTTAAGTTCCTTTTCTATCGCTAAGTATTCGCTTTTTCACTCGAAGAGCGGTCTCTAACGAACTTTATTTTCACTGATGAAATACATGTTTTTCACCAGCATTTTATTTAGATATCTAAAACGCATATTATATCTTTTCGGTTGACGAAACATTAATCAAACATTTGAAGACTGTTTTGAAAGTTTTCTTCGCATGAAGGTTTTTCATGTATTAAGCATCTGGTATACGACGAAAATATTGTGTTATTGAATTTTGTCGTCTGAAATTGTAACATACAGGAGAGGAACAACAAAAGTTTTTCCTATAAAAACGAATTATAATTTCGAAACCGCTCAGTATTCAAGCTGCGAACTTTTCCCGCGGGAGGCAATTTGCTTTGATTTCTTTATAATCCCTCAGAGAAAACTACTTTCAACGCCATATAAAAAAAACTTTCAAAAACTATTTCAACCTTCCCCAAATAAAAAGGCAAACCATCTTTGCGTTTCTGTCGGAGATTGAGTGCGTTTTTTCAGTGTCAAAGGTTGTAAGACAGTTTGAGGTCATTAAAATTCTCTTTTTTGAAACGCTAGCTTGAGTCAAAAAGAAGAAAAAAAAACAATTGAGCAGTTGTGTTTCTTTGTAGCGAGAGAAACCACTCAAAATCTCTTTATCTTGCTCGTTGTAAGCAAAGGGGAAACGATGTTCAGTGTGAAAAAGAAACAAGGAACGATGTTATGTTCGGAATCACTGTGTCTTCAAGAGCTTCAACCAATGTTACAAATTATTTTCATTGCGGTTTTGTTTTAATCTTGATAAACGTCTCCCAGATTAAATTTCGGGCTTGACTTGCCCTGTTTCGCTACGGAATGTTAGAAGTGTGACCAGGCCCCGCTTTTGATGGCCCTTATTTTTCGAAAACAGAAAACAAATGAAAATCCAACTTCCAAAGCAGGTATTTTTGCGACATTTCTGTTTTGATTTCAATTCAAGCATTATTCAAATAATTACTCCAGCGTTTTGGAAGGCTCCAGTCCTTTTTGCATAACAATAGGATTAATCACGTGGGTTTTTGTTCGACGGTGAATGATTGACAGATCCCACGTATCGGATGAACAATTTTTTTGCATTTCTGTGTGGACGACCCTTCGACTTGCACAACGGTAAAGTTCTTAACTCCTTTTTTTCTTCATAGTTTTTCGAGCTTAGCCTAAAACTCTTGATGAACGCTAAACATTGTCAAATTTTCCTGCCGTTTCGTCGTGTCGGGCCAAGCAATTCGATTTTTTTCGGGTGAATTGAAAAGTGGGTCTTGTTTTAATATTAGCACACATTTCAAGATTAGCCGGTAGTTTAGTTTTCACCAAGGCCTTTTCTTTTTCCGCGTTGGTTAGTTTTTCGACGAGAATGATAACTCACTAACTCGTTTGGTGTCTATGTCTTTTATTTTAGACGATGTTTCAAGGAGTGGAAAGTGGGAGCATGCCCGCAGAACTTAAAACAAAGCACATAAGCAGTGAAGAAGCAAGGCAGCAAAACAAGTCTTCACATGGGAACGAGGTCAAGTGTATTCCACGCGCTGCAACACAGTCATTTTGTTTTTTTTATTTATTTCAAACTACGCGACAAACAGTTAACCTTCCTCCTAAAAGAACGCAAATCGCAGTCATTCCTTCATCGACAAAAATTCTCTTGAAAAGCGAACAATTCTGCCATGAAAAGGTCGTTTTTCAATTCGAAACTGTCTGAACCTAAAGGTTATTGAATATTCAAACACTGAAACACTTGAAGCGTGTAGACCGAGTAGCCAAGGGAGATCGAAACTAGAGAATCTCACGCCATTTTATCCGTTCAATACTCTTTTCTTCGTTTCTATTTCAGTTCAAGAGTAACAGTGATCTGATAGCTTTCGTTTGGCAACGAAACAATGAAGATTTTTACGATACTGCCATGTCACAAATATTTCCTGCCTCGCGGTTTGCAGTAACAAAAATAGCTTTAATTTATGAGTGATTTCATAACATTTGTACGATGTCATTGACTATTTTGACGTTTTCCTTTTCCGAGCGATGAAAACTGAAAGCTGAAACGAATTGAATTTGTTTTTAATCTTTTACAGTCCTTTTCAAACAAGAAAGTGGAACATTTTTCTATTGCGCTCTTTCCCATCAAAGAGGAAGACGCTTTTTTCTATTTGTCTGACAAAAGGGCGACCCCATCTTTCCGGGGTCGCGATGTGGCAGTTCTTAGAAAGTTAAGCTGTCACTTGTTTTTTACATAAACTTGCGCTCATACCAATAGTGAATTTGTTTCAAAGTCCGAGACTTGAGTCATAATTATTTCAACCTCTCTTAGTTTTTCAACGACACCGCCTTTGCTAGAAACATATCAAAGCGATATTAAGAGAGAATTCGTCACCGGTTTCTACTGGTATTAGTGTCATTTCCTCTAAATTTTCATTCGATCGGGTGTTTAAAGACAGCTTGACGAGCATCCAAATAGTAATTTTCACCTCGCGCAGTTTCTTGCTCGTTAAAAATATCGACTCGGTGTGAATCGATATTCAGTAATTGCATAAATAATATTTACTGTTAAAACCTTCTTTTTCGAAAGGAAGCTATTTTCTGTCACCAGGGAAGTCGTCGAGGGCTTGGTGTTCGATGACATTAGCGCAAAAATGATTTCATTTTCACACAGTAATCATCTCATTTAACAAAGATATGAAAATAAAACCAAAAAATTCGCCAAATAAATTAAGTTACACTGAGTTCGTTCTCTGCCTTTACAAAAAAAAACATAGCATCGTGAAACTTTGAATACTCTAAGTACCTGATTTGAACAAACCGTTCTACAGGAACCACTACTTTCAGTTCGTTGAAACATATATTTATTTAAAAATGTGTGTTCCGCTCGGAGGTCTGTCTCAGAACCGTAACTGGCTAAAAGCTGTGATGGTCAGTTTGTCAGTTATAGAGGTTTCTGTTTAGTTAAATACTCTATGATCGTCACGCAATGTACGTTCACTGGGCAGCTCTCTGAAAAACTGCTTTATACTAAATCGTAAGCGAATCCCTTGTAGTGGTTGAACAAATTGTGATTTGCTTAAAATAAATCGAATGATTTGTACACGAAATGTACTTCGAAACAAGCTAAAACGCGTTAATAGGCTTCGAAAAACGCTACTTTGTTTCGTTTCGAATTGATATTGTTTTGTGACCTTATTTAGAGTTGACTTAAGTGAGTCGCACATAACAAATTAGAGCAACTGCATATCTGCAAATCCATAGCAACTGCCAAAAAACAGGCCTGTGCGAGCACATGCTTTTTCCTAAAAACAACATCAAACCGCCGCTTTAGCGATGTTTATGTTTTAAACCTTTTTTTTCGCGAGAATCTTCGACATCAGAATAAAACGTAAATCCAAAGTCTTAGTTTATGAAGCATTAAAACCTTAATATAATAACTGAAATTACGCATTTCTTGAAAACTATATTCTACGATAAATTCGGCTTGCCGTGCTTACGTTTGTATGCGTTGATTCTTTTTGCCTACGTAGATTTCTTATCTTCCCATGTCACAACAACAGGCCTAGAAAATACTTTATAAAAACACAATCGATGGCACGATAGTTTTCTTAACCTCAAATATAATATGCCTCGACAAATAACTTTGTATGCGGCCAGGGTATGCTGTTGAAAACTGAAAAGTTCCAGTCTACTCCTTGGTAAACCTCCCGGGGGTACTCCTGGGAATTCTTGGTAGGGATGTGCCGCCCGGTTCTCCAAATCCTGACTTGATTTCAGACCAAAAAATGTCATTTTCCACAACAGTTTTCAGATCTGGCCTTTAGGCAGAAATTATGTCATCATTACTTAGATTAGAGCGCAAACAAAAAAATTCATCAAACCCATTTCGAATTCGCATATTTCTCTTTCGTTCTTACTCATTTGGAATTGAAACGATAAGTACGTTCATATACTCCCGTAGTTCCCTCGAAAAATCATACCCGATTCTAGACCAAAATGGGAAAAGTGTATACCCGTTTTCAGACCAAAACATCGCAAAAACCCCACCCTTTGGGGCGGCACATACCTATATAGCTTATATAAGGAAGTACCCCCCACCCGTGGTAAAACTGTTAGTTCTTTCATACTATACCCTTAGGGGTCAAGGGTGGAGCAGTGGTGAGAGTACTCGCCTCCCACCAATGTGGCCCGCGTTCAAATTAGTCCGGCGTCGAAGCCATTTGTGGGTTGTTGGTCCTCTTCTTTGCTCTGAGAGGTTTTTCTCCGGGTACTCCTGTTTTCCCCTCTCCTCAAAAACCAACATCTACTAATTCCAATTCCACCAGGAATCAAGTAGACGGAGAACCACTAGGTGGATGTGCTACCTCTAAATCGTTTTTATTTATTTTTTGTTTTTAACGACTCTCCTATTTTTCTTTAAATCCCCTGAAGAACGAGAAATAAGCTAAGGGGAAAACGTAATATTTTTGGTCGGTTTTTGGTGTTTTGTCATTATATTCCATGACTTCTTAACATCCTGGGCTAATTTTTAGTTCTTTTTTTTCTCAACAGTGGATCTACGGAAGTATTTCTAACGGTGAAGTTCAAAAAAACTCCTTCATAGGAATGGCTTATGGACCACCTACGAAGAAACAGAAAACTCAAAATGACGAAAACGAGAATCGGACGGAGTTCCCTCTGAAGTCAAATGGTATTTCGTTCCCTTTCTGCCTTAAATTCTTGTCGAAAAGTCCAGTTGCGATGACTCAGCTGTAATTGCTGTAATAGGGAGTTTAAGATACCACGACGGCGACGGCCACGAAAACGTCGCTTAAAAAGTGAATTTGCGTTCTGTCAATCTCTATCGTGATCACTCGAACTCGTTTACTTTGTCAAATGCAAGCGCCCTCCTTTTTAGCCGAATTCTTAAGAACCACATTCAAGTTCAGAAAGAGAAAGAAAATTTAGCCGTCGGTTGGTTACGTCCTCTATGAAACGTGAAATTAGGCATTTTCCCGTCGTAGTCGCGCAGTGACGGTAAAGAAATCTTCAACCAATTGCTTTTTTGACTTTCTCTTTGTCGTCTCAGTCATGGCATCTTAAAGTCCCTAATGCGAGAAAACAAACTTGAATTTATTACCATAGTTTAGCCAAATGGAAGGAAGCAATGTTGTTGGTTATATAAAAAAAGATTCAAACAAACGAAACACGGGCAGCTTTTAATGATTTTTAGCGAAAAGAAATTCATGGAGACCTAGGGGATGCTATGGAAAAAACACACTGTTGCTTAAAAAACCGGTACAAATATCCCACGGCGAAAAAAAAAATTGTCCCTGGGCAAAAACAATTCTCTCACTGCAATCGATAAATGTTTCAGAGCATAAACAAAAACCTCACGGCACGCTAAACAATTACAGCTGAACCTGCATTAAGGGCCACCTGTCAAGCGGCCAGTAACCAACCCCGAAAAATTCAGAGAAAAAAATGAGAAATTAAACCTCTTCTAAGCGGCCGCGGCCACCTTTTTGCCTTCCCAACGAGAGTAAGTGGCCGTCAAGTGCTTCATACATTTAGTTTGGCTTCATTTCAAGAATTTGATGAAAGAAAATATTGAATTAATTTGCAATTGCTTAACTTGTAATTACCACTGCCACGATTATATCTTCATTTAAATGTATATTTTCGCAGTTCACATCATGTTCATTGTTTCATTCCATTCATGGGTTAAGATGAAGTCAACAAATTGGCCTGCTCCCAGTGTATGGGTCTCCATAGTTCAATAATTATTGGTAGAGCACTGCAGCTAGCGTTAACGCAGATGCCATGGGTTCGAGTCCCGTTGAAGTCCCGAAATTGCAATGACCAATGCGACGATCATATCTTAATTTAAATGTGTATTTCCGCAGTTCACATGATCTTTATTGAAAGAAAATACTGTTTGAGATGGAAGTTGAGACCGATTGTGGATCAGTAATGCTTCTCCCCTCGCACGCATGTTTCAAAATAAAGTGGTTTTGCTGCTTAAAATTATGCTAATTCATGACAAACCTCTATTGAGCGACCAACCTCCATGAAGTGGCAACTTGCTGGTACACACCGAGGTTAGCCGCTTAATGGAGGTTGAACTGTATTTCAAGGCAATAACAAAAATGTGAAGACATAAACAGAAACCTCGTGGCAAAAACAAATACCTCATGGCAAAAAAAAATGCTCATGACGGTAACAAAAATAAATATCTTACGGAAATAACAAATATCTCAAAGCAAATACAAAACCCTTAATAAGGCAGACCACACAGGAATTTGAACAAATACAATATCTTTTGGTAAAAACAAAATGATGCAATGCTGCACTGCCTTCAGCTAATCAGTTTGAAATGGTTCTCAGCAACTGGTTTCTCCGTGTTTCCTTTATCGCAGAAAATCTGGTCATAAGATCCGAGCCGTTTCCAGAGGGAAGCACTTCTTCTCCGAGCTTGGCGACCTCTGAAGAAAACGCAAACGAGTCTAATCAGCCTTTATCAGGAAACACGGCTGAGCTCAAAACGGTGCCTGCTAAAGATTCAGCAAACAGTGCTAACAGCAGTGCGAAGAAAGCTTCCTTGGAGAAAAAAACAAGCGACGATGGTGATGATCCGTTTGGAGCTTTAGACTGGAAGGACGGAATTGCTACTTTACCGGGTAATTGCTTAGTCAGTAACGGTAATCCTTAATTAAAACTATGTCGCAAGCCTTTCCTCAGGAAATCCCCAGCCCTTGCCATGATTTTCTTCACAACCAAATGAACATTGCTCGATTTCATACCGTTAGGGACTGGATACGAGTTCTTGTATTGTTGGATTAACAACACAAGACCACACGAACCTCATAGTCAGAAAGAGCACACCAACTTTTTCAAAATCCCCATACTGAACAAGATACAGCCACTCTGAGAAACTTGAAAATGTACTAAGAAATGTACGGAATGGCGAACACGACTCTCGGCGGAAATTTCCCTTTCTACAACGGTCGTTGCCACATCAACCCTCATGAATGTCACTATATTTTTTCGTTTTCTTAGGAAGCAATCTTAAGTTTAAAATGACTGAGTTTGGGACACTGGAGATTGTGAGCACAGTGGAAACAGAGAATGGCGAGTATGAGTGGAGCACGCCCACTCAACACCGTAAAACAAGCGACACAATGGAGCAGACTGGCAAAAAGGCCAAAAACATTGCCCCGAAAGGTAAGATATCCTGACACGTCCGTAGCATTCCTTGGTTGTTATAAAATTTGACATTAAAATAGAGAGCTTTAGATTCTAAGACGAGAACGACTACGAGTACGAGATTTTCTCAATAGTAAGTAGTGCACGCGCGTAAACTGGCGTCATTTTGGCGGGAAAACGTGATAGCCGTCGTCATTCTACCACGAGTTTTTGCGAAAATGTCGTAGTGGCGGAAACAAGTTATCGAATGTTAAAGGTTATCATTTTGCGATAGCCTTCTTCAATAAAGATTAAAGTGCTAACTTTTCTGATGGAAAAAAGTACAAATGATGAGACGAATATTAACCCAGTTCCCAGAGCAACCTTGTAATAGCTAATAAGCTAAGCGATGTCATTATTCATTCAAACTAATTCTCTGTTTCTGATTGGCTCAAATGCCCCAGAACTCTGGGGAATTTGTGTCCTGAAATTAAGCCTCTGGAACATAAATTCTTAGATGATTTTTCTTCTAATCAAAAAAGATTCCCGGTTTTTTCCCGTAGATTTATTCACGTAACTTTGCTTTAAGTCATTGGGCAAGTTTAATCGTACTTTTTTTTCAAGCAGCAACGTCGAGGGACACTATGTCAACCTTGCCCGACACAAGCGGCATACTTTGCTGCGAGGTTTGCGGGAAGTATGGTCTGCCTCAGGAATTCTCTGCTTCCGGGCGATTCTGTAGTCTGTCGTGTGTGGGGGTCTACACTGGAAGACGAAATAAGGGACGAGAGTACGTGCGGCATGCTAAAACAATAGATGGAAAGATTGTGAAAAGGAAGAAGAAAGGAAAAAAACCTGCCCTGTTAGCCAGCGAGGATGTGCCCCGGACTCATGTAAGTATTCTAAAGGTCGTTAAAGATCCTCATTCTACGTCGATAATTCGTTCTTAAACAGATAAATCTGAGGCCAGCGGCGCGCTCATTTTACCGCCTCTCGCCATCAGTGCTCCGTTTTACGGGTATTTAAAGCTACTTAAAACTACACGGAAAAGAAAGAAGTCGAAATAGGGATGGCTTCGCACTAATCGACTGTACTGATCCTTGTTTCTTCATGAAGTGATAACTGGGCGCTCCCCATTTGATAATTTCAAGACGACACGGTAAAAGTTGTGTTTGTTTGTCTGATGTTCAGTTTACATTTCAAGCGGATTTGTCTTCACACGCAATATTATAACAGTAGTGATCAAGTCCGAAGTGCGTATACCCTGAGTACCAGAGGTTTTTTCTCGCGAGCGGTGGGATGCTTTGTAGCCGGCCGAAAAGGCCGACCGATCTTGGGCTAAGGCCGAAGCCACTAGCGGCGCAGGTCACTATAAAGACCGGACCGCAACCAGAAAATGGCGCATGAAAAGACTCTGGCACCCAAGGTAAGGTGCGTCTTCTACCGGAGTTTTTCTTCTCTTCCGACGCTTTTAAATCCGCCCAATAAAAAAGGGCGAGGTGTTTATCATCAACAGCTTCATAATGATATCATCATTAGTATCATCACCTGATTGTTGACACATTATCGTTTAGGAAACAGCACCACCAGGGGACAATGAACCAGAAATGTTAGGAGCTCGAAGAACGTTTAAAGTTAAAAGAAAGCGAATGAAGAACAAGCTTAAATTCAAGAAGGCTTCCTTAAATGCAACCGATCTCATGAAAGGAGAGGACGGTACGTTTATGTTATTAAAGAAAAAGTGTTGTTAACACTTAACCCATTTATCCATTTTTTAATGTTTACGTTGTCTTGTTTTTTTCAGTTCCCTACGATTCAACCAAAGCGTTTGTGTGGGAAGACTATCTTACGGCTTGTGGAGCGAAAGCTGTGCCAGCCAGTGTCTTTAAACAGGTGCGGATCTTTTATTAAAACAAAGCGAAAAAACGAGGTGTAACTGAGTGTTTTTAGACTTGTCAAAACGTGAACTGAGTGTTTGTCCATTAAAGAACCCTGTGAGCATTTGTGCCGAGTACTAAAAGGTGATGATGGCATGAGTCGGGCTGGCTTGCTTTGTCGAGGTCACTTTTATCCCGGTATTACACGAAGTGATCCATCCCGGAGCCGTCGTGTGTTTACAAAGAGATTTTTTAAAGCAGTGCGCATGAGTAGTATTTTACCCGATGCCCCACTGTTGCTGGTTTTGTTCAGCGGCTGGCCCGGCATGCGTTATAACATGGAAAAACCTCATCCCGGCGACATTTTATACTGCGGATCCCGGGCGAACCGGGATTCCCCTGATGGAACGACATTTTCATCCTGAGGGGTAACCCTAATTTCCTGATGGATTAACATTTCATGCTGAAAAGACACCGAGTTAAGCTCCGGCCTTGTGGGGATGTTACTAAAACCTGGAGCGAGGAACTGAAACTTGGAACGGCAAACATGCACTGAGAACGAGAAAATGAACAAATGGGTACAAAACCTAACTTGGACCCTAGCTCTAGCAGCTACTTCATTACACATTGTCTGATTTTTTCCCTTTTTTCCCCCTTCATTTTCCCTCTTTATGGGCTCGTTTCCCGTTCCCCTTTCCCCGTTCCACGTTCCCGGTTCATCTTTTTAGTAACACCCGGTCATGCGGGCTTTCGTTTTATAGAAAAACAACACTCAAACCTTTTTTCCCTTTTATCACAGGAAAATCCGTTCCTAGATCTAGAAAGTAAAACGACGTGTGGATTCGAGAAAGACATGAAGCTTGAGGCAGTTGATCCAAAGCATCCCTCTTACATCTGTGTTTGTACTGTTGTCAGAGTTAAGGGGACCCGACTAAGGCTTCACTTTGACGGCTGGTCTGAGAGTTATGACTTCTGGACAAGCGCAGACTCCCCTTTTCTTTTCCATGTAGGCTGGTGTGAAAAGAATGGACAGAAGTTACATCCCCCTCGAAGTAAGAGAATACTCGAGCAACGAAGCTATTAGAAATCCCCTGTTTCTCATTGGTTATTGAAACCATAGCCTGCGTCGAAGACACTGTAAACCACCTGTATACCAATGGACTAGATGATGCGTGGGCCGGCTGCAGCGTAGACTATGCAAACACTTTAATTAAGAGAGTTTTTTTCCCGTCAGTGACTCAGGTAGCCACCCACGCAGGCGTTTTTAGGGGAGCTCGTATTTCGTCCCTCCCCACAAACGCCAGCTCAACCGAGAACAACATTCCTTTCCCAAGCTTAGCTAATCACATTGTACCTTCCAAATTCTGGAAACCTGACCTTGACCGCAGGATAACCCGATAAATACACGATCTGCATGAAACTCTGGAAAAGCTTTCTGACCGCTAATAAATGTTAGACTCAGATTCAGATTTTAGAATACTCCGTGCACTGCATAACTTTAGCGAAGGAAAGAAAAGAAGGAAAAAGGTAACTCGAGGGTCACGCTTTTATACTTCCATGAGTTTAGGAGTCGTGTTAAGCCTGTCAACACTATATTTCAAAACTGTTGATTGGTCTTTACTACGCGAATAAAACGTTGGGAAAAGAATGTTGTTCTTTGTTGAGCAGGCGTTTGTGGGGAGAGACGAAATACGAGCTCCCCTAAAAACGCCTGCGTGGTAGGCTATGACACAGGCGGCTCGGAAGAAAAATCCGAGTATTCCCAGCAAGAGTCGAAACAACGACCTCGTGGTTACTAGTCCAGATGCTCTACCACTGAGCTACAAGAGACTCGAGGAAGCTGAGGAAGCTAAGGAAGCTAACATAGGTTCAAGCGACAAACATCTTGCATACTACTAGGTTTTGGCTAGTCCATTTGGTAATTTATGCTGTTGCTATGGTGACTGCCAGTAACGTCATAGTGGTGTATTTGTATTAACTAATAGGACTTTCTTTACTTCTAAGGTATGTCCGCTGCTGATTTTAAATGGGAGACCTACTTGAAGATGTGCGAGGCTAAAGCAGCACCTGAACACCTTTTTAAACCTGTGAGTTGAATAACTTGTAATGACCTATCAGTAACTACAATCATGAAGAAAAGTCTTGGGACTCTTTTGCGTTTCTGGGGCGTTTTCCAATTCACACAGGTCCAACCCCTCCCCTCACCCCACATACAATGTTGGACGCGTGTATCCAGAATTTTTTTTCCGAGTTTCAACTTTGTATAGGGTGGGGGGAGGGAGAACTGCAAGAAAATTTTGAAAAGGATGCACTGCTTTAAGAGGGAACCGAGAAACGAGAAAAAAATATGAATATTGCAGTACTGTTCCAAGGACTTTTGTCCAGGATTGTAGCTGTGCTTACCTAGTTAGATTGTGTCTGGTTCCTCCTAAAATCTTCTGCAATTGTTATGGGATTTAAGCTATGTTGACAGTGGTGGATCCAGGGCCCGAAGGGCCGAAAAAATTTGTTTTTGAGACCCCCGCCCCCTTCCCTATCTCAGGGTCTGGATGACTGGGACCCCCTCATCTGAAGGCCTGGATCCGCTGCTGTTTCAAACTCTACCAGATAGCTCTTGCGCCGACACGAGAACCATACCGCTCAGGGCTTTTGTTCACTCATAAAAACGATGATTTCACTTCCAAGCGCTAAGTCCTATCCTAGTGTATAATTCATGACGATTTATTTAACGGCATAATTTATGACGAGGCAAAAGGCAAATTCCCTTAAGAACAGACAAGCTAAAAATGTCTATTTTGGAGTTGCACGCTTTTTAGGCATCCTACTGATGAACGCTTACGACAGTTTTTCAATGCAGGAGCAACAATCGTTTACAATCTATTTTTTCCCTCTCAATTCAACATACATTCATAAATTTCTCTTTCAAATTCAGGTCAACTAAACATGGTGCATTTATTTCTCCACGTGACATTCACTTCCAGTGTTTTCTCTTTCCAGATTTCACCAACCAAGCATGGCTTCAAAGTTGGAATGAAACTAGAAGCCGTGGATCGGATGAACCCGGACCTCATCTGCGTTGCCACGGTCACGAATGTCATTGGCAACTATTTTCTGGTTCATTTCGATGAGTGGGATGACTCCTATGACTACTGGTGTGGGGATGACTGTCCTTATATTAGACCAGTGGGGTGGTGCAGAGAAAATAACCGAAATCTAAACCCGCCTAATGGTAGGATGTAAAGAGGCGAAAATCTCGTCATTCAAGTTTGAAAAGCTTTTGACCAAGTCCAGGCTCAGCAAGACAGCTAAAATTCAACTAACTGACCACTTTCGTAAGCGGACCCCCCTACCTCCCAACTGTCTTGGCAATCCCACCACTAAAACCCCGACGGCATTTCTAACTTCCTGTAAAGGGACGCAGACACCATTTATAATTTTTTACAGTATTCTAGCCGTGAATGCTTTTCTTTTTGCAAATTATTTACACTTTTTGTTCAAATTATTTCGTTCTGTTAGATGATGAATTTCACACCTTTCGATGGGAACAATACCTAAAGTCCACAGGCTCCGTTGCCGCGCCTAAACACTTCTTCAAAACGGTAAGTATGCCCGTAAGTGTTGTTTTCGATGCACTCAAGCAGATTTCCGCAAGCTAACTTGAGCTTATCTCGGATAGCCTGTTGTTTCCACCTGCCCAACTAGACAACAGCCTGGACTGCCAAACTACGAACTCGTTCTGGTAGGCTACCCGCGCGTAGTAAACGCATAACCTTAAAGACACTTAAAATCTATTTATTGCTTCTTAAACACGAAGAGTGCAAGAAAACAATGACTGCGAAGCCGTCTAGATCCAGCGATTTTGTGAAGACTGATCTGACCTACATCTGCGCTTACTCCCTTTTATCAGTGTTATTAAAGCGACAAACATACCGTATTAATATTCGATTAAGCGCCCAACCTCGAATAAGCGCCCTCGTCGAAGAACTGTCATCTCTCCAGGAAAAAAAAATTGAGACTTCCCTGAAGACCGAGTTTACTTAGTATTTTAAAGAAACTTTATATTAATGAACAATTATCCGGTTACTTATTTCTGAAAATGGCGTAGATTTAATTAGCGCCCACTCTCAAGGTCCAAAACAGTCTCAAGCTAAGGTCCAAAAATTTATTTGGCGCCCAGGTTGTTTCATCGAAGAAATACGGTATGAACTCCGCATTGATACTTGGCAGAATATTTTCGATGATAACAAGTTATTTTCATTACTTTTCCTTTGTTTTAGAGACCTCTACCCGGTTTCAAAGTAAAACAGAAGCTCGAAGCTGTCGACAAAAGAAACCCTTCCATGGTGCGAGCAGCCACTGTAGCAGAAGTGAACGAGTACCGCTTGCGAATCCATTTTGATGGCTGGGACGACATTTACGATGATTGGTTTGAGTCTGAATCCTTGGACTTGTACCCATGCGGGTGGTGTGAAAAGACAGGCCATCCCCTGGAGACTCCCCTAAGTAAGTTTATGTTCACCATGGTGTGGGGCCATTTTGAGTTTGAGTGATGTTGTTTCGAACTGCACTATGGGACTGTTTTCTGTACGTCAGTATTATCATTTCTTTAATTGGTTTATTTTAAACCTAGAGGGGCTGTGTACTATTTGGGTACTAGTCTGTTTAATTATGGGATAAAAACACGAGATCCACAAAGTCAGAAAGAGAAAACCGAGTTTGGCAAAATTCCCGGGGGGGTACTTTAGGAATTTCTGGGTGGGGATGTGCCACTGGGACCCTGGAACCCTTAACCTATACCAGAGTTAGTTCAGTCGAATTTTGCTACCCTATACTAGAGTAAACTTCCCAAATCCCCCCTATCCTAGAGTAGCTGTTTTCCAGAAACTACTGAGGTCATTAGCACAGTCTAGCCAAAACAAAACCTTATACCACAATCCCTGGTCTAGATAAAATCTTCAACCAACTGATCAGTTTCCTGAAAAATGATACCCTATTCTAGACCCAAACGCTCTGATTTATATACCCTATCCTAGAGTAAACTGCCTGAAAACCATACCCTTCACAGCGGCACATACCGATATGGCCCATATATGGCCCCCCTCCCCCACGGGCAAAATTCTCAAGTCTTATGTAAATCGAGCCAATATTGTACAAGGTACAGCTTTTTAAAAACTTTGAATTGCGGGACATAGAACTTAGCTTTAATTAAGCAACGATGAAAACGACGACGGTGGCAAAAACGCTCAAAAATGTCTATTCACGCTGTTTCAAAATTCATCGCTCTTATTTCTTGTCGTTCAATTTGTCAAATGTTGTCGAATTTTTCTGGAGGTGAATTCTAAAGAACTGTATCTAAGTTTTAAAAAGAATTACAAAATCGTTTCCTTGTGTTCATGTTCTCAGCAAAACGTGTCATTAGGTAGTTTCACGTCGTGGTGGTGCAACTAGACTAAAGCAATGTATAATAAAAGCGTGATGCACGTGCATAGTTGTTGTTTTGTTTTGTTTCGTTGCAGTCGTCGTCGATGCTTAAACTCCCTATTATATGTACTATGTGTAACATGTTTCAATATAAATCATTCTGTCGGACCTAACCGTTTTATGTTGATTGTTTTAATAACTCAGCTACACGCGAGAAGATATCAAGTGCTGCTTGTCCAACTCCCGGATGTAAAGGCATCGGTCATGTGAAGGGTGCTAAATACTCCACTCATCACAGTACCTTTGGTTGTCCTTACTCATTACAGAACTTAAACAAAGACTCGTGCCTTGTGGATCGACTCTCCAACAACTCCATGACTGAGGAATCTGATTGGTCGTACGCTTCTAAGCAGAAGTTAGCGGTTGTGAAGGCGATAAAAGGTAAAGAAGTGCGTGGACATGCTTAAGGTTATACTTTAGAATTGCATTTCACCGATCCTTACTGCGCTTAATAGGCCATTTCCGAGTTGATCCGAGCCTCGAGGCTGAGTGCGAAGCCTATAATAAAAGAATATTTTTTAAATCTCATGCAAATAAATCTCATTTTTGCTACAAAGGTTTTGCACTTAGCGCAGTTTTGAAAATGAGAGGTTTTGGAACTCGTAAATGTCCTGATCAAGCATGATTGGCGTACGCACATTAAAAATATAAAATATGGCGGCTTTTGGCGGCTTTTGCCGTATGGCTGGCGCTCCCCAGGGAGGTAAAACTTGAGTGTCGTGACTTATTATTATTTCTTTGCTCTCGTTTTCAAAAAGAACATTAACTTTCTCTCTGTAGACTAAATATAGACATATTTGTAGTGCAAAGATTTGGGTTGTATTGTTTTGATTAGTTCTGCTAACTTTTCAACGAGTCAAGTTACTTACAAAGTGTTATTGATCATAGAAGAAGTCCACCCTAACCCGGCAGATGGAACTTGTCCAACACCCGGATGTGACGGCTCAGGTCACGTGAGTGGTCAGTGGAAGACCCATTACACGTAAGTACTCGCTTTTGTTTGCCCTTAGGTTTAAAAGCTACGTAAAGAAACCTCTCTACAATGCATTTTGAAATCCACATTTTGCGATAGCAAATTGGATCGAATTACATCGGGAGGTTTGAAAAATCGGCGGGTAAAATTCAGGTAGTTTACCGATGAATGGAAGTTTTATCGAAAAACCGAGGGTTCGAGAAATAGGGATTCCGCTGTATTTCAGCATCTTAAGAGGATAATTTCAATTTGGGACATTTTTAGGGACAGTATGATCTCTTCTATTTGCTATTAGAGATTGCGCTAGGGTCATAGTGCAATTCGAAACTAATCAAATGCGTGCTAAAAGTTAAGTAATGCCGTGTGACAGTACAGACAGCTTGCAAATAATAGATGTGGTATTTGAAACGGTCTTGGGTAACGTCTCACCATTACCTTTCCAGATTATCAGGTTGTCCCAGAGTGAAACATTTATCAGCGAAATCCCCGCCAGGCCCGAAGAAGTCCGCACTCCACTCTCCCACCTACAAGAGCTTCGTTATTGGCGGTAAAGAAAGTGGTATCATCGGCACGCGCAGTACCTCCCGGTAAGGATTACCTAACAGGCCACTTCCGAGTCCCAAAAACCCTCACTTTCAAAATGAGGCGAAGTGCACAACCCTTCTTACGAATATGAATTTTATTTGTATGAGAATGAAAAATCATTTCCATTTCGAAGGTTGAGCCCTTAATATCGTTTTGATACAGAGGCCAGGGGGAACTCGCAAATGGCCTAATGTAGTTAAGATATGTCAGTCGAGCGGTTGACACCTCGAACTTTAAGCTTTGTCAGCGCATTGTTTCCTCGGCTGAACTAAGCTCCGGCCGCGTTGGCCTGCTCAGCTCGTGTGCGTCTTTGCATTAGTTTAATGGCTGCACTCATTTTTTTCTTGACGTGCTTTAGCGGCATGTGTGGCACGTCCTGGCCGTTAACCTTCTCCTATACAGAGCCAGGTAGAAAAAGTGATAATAGATGCTTATGAGGAAACTGTACCTTTTCAGCAGATCCGCTGTCAAGGAGGAAAAACTGGATAGCAGCAGGCTTAGAGGTAATTTTCTTTTCATTCATACTTTTTTTCTGAAGGGGGGGGATTGGGGGAGAGGGAGGAACATTGATACCTCTACGCCAAACCATTCTGTTTTTTTTTATGGGGAGAGAGGAACACTGATGCCTCTATGACTTCACAGCGGTCAAACGAGTGAAATTTGCAAAAGTTAAGCGAAATACTTCAAAGTTAAGGTTGCTTCTTTCACTATCGAAAGTTTAGGGTATTACCAACATCCTGTTAGTTTACTAAACTTTTTAAAAGTTTACTAAAAAAGTTCTAAGTGATTGAAAACCGATGCTGACGTTATTATCGGCGCTATTTTCAAACATGATTCTCTTTTAGCGCGAAGCGTTTTCAGCCAAAAAAGCTCAAAATTTTGACAAAAATGGAAACGGTAGTTATGTTGACTAACTGATTTATACATCTTTGCCCATTTTTCTCTAACTGGTAAATGAAATCCCAGCAATAAAAAACAAAAATAACGATTTAGACGTTTGACCGCGGTGTGCTCTATGCCAAACCTGAGACTAATTTCACCTCCTCTATTCGCCACAGTAGAAACGAGAAGGCGACTGGAGCCGAAATACGTCCTGCAGTTGTTTCTGGGATAGTTTCTAGGGACGTGCCGGTCAGCCATTGGGCAGTTTTTTCCCTGTAACAGTCCCAGAAGTCTTTGCAAAAGTTAACTCGTCCCAGTTCCTTTTTTTAAAGAGGCGAATTAGGTGAATATTCAGATCATGCGCAAATTAAGAAAGAGGTTCAGTATCCACTATGATGCTTGCAAGCGCGGGACAAAGCAAATTCTATTTCTCGATAGGAGCTCAAACAGTCATAAACTTTTGAGAATTGGGATGCTTACCATTTACATAAACCACCCATGTGGAAATGTTGCACATATACAGTAAAGCATTAGAATTGCCGTGGTGGAAGAAAGACTCGCTACAAAGTAGCAAAAGAATTACATTGCCTCAAATCACAGCCAATGTTTTCTGAAGCATTCTAACCGGAATGGCGCAAAGCATTTAATTTTTCAACCGGAATTTCCGGGTTTTTTTATGTAAATGGTAAGTACCCTGGGCAAACCAGTGAATAATGAATAACCTCCTTAACTCTTAATAGTAAAGTGCCTCATTTTTCCTCTCATATTGTTCCTTTCTAGTCGAAGACAAAGGCATTCAACACGTTTCTCCCTTCTCGTTCCCATGGCCACTCGGCAGCGGATTTCCATCGGCGTTTCTAAGCGAGCTCAAGACTTCCATCAATCATAATAACCACGCAGCGGTATCCAATGAACGCCAAAAAATCATGCGCTGGAATGTTGATGACGTCGCTAATCACGTGCGGTTACTAGGCTGTGCTGACCAGGCCAAGATCTTTGTTGAACAGGTGAAATTTTCTGCCCTGTTTGCTTTCCGCTTGATAATCAGTAACTGAGTTATTTTCATCCTTTCTTTAAGCCCTGCTTTCCTGTCCTCCTCTCTGAATTTCTCCCTTGCTGTTTCCCTTCTCTGTCTCCCTTGGATCGTCTGATTCGTTTGCTCCCGCACTAAAACTTTGACAAAGGTTGATGAACCATCGTAGTAGTTCAGATGACTGTTGTTTGGCTACGCACGACTTGTCGCCGCGGTACTCAAACTGCAAATTATTCTGCGACAAGTAAAATGGTTAAGGATATTAAGGAGCATTTGAAGCAGTTGAAAAGGCTGGGCCACATTTTTTACTGCTTTTTGCTCTGAAAGGTTTTGGTCGCCTATAGACCTTTCCCTCTTTACGCTCCAGTGAGCAAACATAAAGAAATGAAGACGAGGCTCGGATAGACATTTTCATACAAATCACTGGAGTCTGTCCACCCGTGCCGCGAGTTAGTGCCTTTGTTTACAGGAATGCGCGAAAGGTCTATTATTACTGATTAACGTTGTTAAATGCGATTATAAAAAAGAACGAAGCTCATGCAACTGAAACGAAATTGGCCTTTGGAAACAGTAAACGTAGGTTACTTTTAAGACCCAGACTTCTGACCTCTGATTTTTTAAATTATCTTTCAGCAAATTGACGGAGAAGCATTCCTTTTGCTCAACCAAAGCGATATTGTTAATATTCTCAAGATTAAACTTGGACCTGCGTTGAAGATCTTCAACACAATCCCAAAGTTTTGATGCTATTTGAACTGTAACTAGTGAAACTCACAACCGTATCGACGGCCTCTGAAAGATGTGGATAGAAGGCCGAGCCCTGCACAGTCATAAATATCCGGGAACAACACATTTTAAACACAGCGTGAGTGTCATCAGGCCTGGATATCTCTTGTCTAAGACACCAAGACATGGTGGTGTGAGAGCATAAGGATGCCTAACCCAAAAGCCCTTCGCGACCCTTCTATCAACACATATATTCTCTTTTATACTTACCATAAATCTGTCATAGAACGTTTTTGAGGGTCATTTTGAACAATGATACTGTAAGGAGAAATTAGATGCTAATCACAGTTAAGTCTAACCCTGAGAAGGGCTAAGCAACGAGAAAGCGAGAAAGGCATCAACTGATCGAAAAAACGTGCGGGCCTCTGGAAGGGGTTTTATTTTTAATTATTATGTTTAGTCTTTTTAAAAATATATTTTCCGCCGTTTTGTACAAAGCGCCTGGTAGGCGCGTCGCGGCTTTGTCAACATAAAGCCATCAATTCTGCTAATGAGCTCTCGGGAGGCGAGATGTGAGTCGATGTGAGTCGATGTGAGACCTAAGACAAGAACGATCACGTGATCGAGGTTTTCTCAATATGAAGCAGTGCACACACGTTATCCAGCGTCATTTTGGCGGGAAAACGTGATAGCCGTCGTCATTCTTATCGCGTGCCCAGATCTCCTAGGGTAAGATGGAGCAAGATCTGGGTACCAGATTAGCCTCTCATCGGCCTAAGAACTTGCACGCAGTTATATTGAGTAGTACAGCAGCTCTTTCAGGAGCTCTCTTTTCATTGGCCTAAATAAGCAGTAGCTTCTTTTGTTTTTAGGCCTAGGGGTATTGTTTGTGTTGGATCATCTGTTGTTTCGTTCTTCAGTCACAGACCATGTCTGAAGAGCTACTGACCTTCTCGTTATATTGATAACCTTGATATATACTCGTGAAACATAGATAAATAAAATTTCCTACCAAATAAACAGTACAGGTGAAAAAAATATACTAAAACAGAACAGACGTTTGTATTGAATGCATATCCCTTTTGTGGGGTACGTTTTATTGTGTTATAAACCTTGTAGTGTTGCATGTATAGCATCACCTTGCAAGATAAATATAATCAATCGCCCAAATTTGGAAGAATAGCCGAGAACATTTTGCGGTTTTGTTATTTGTATGTCAACAAGTCTCTGAAAAACCTGTGCTTGTTTCCGCCTTCTTTTGTAACAAAGACTTGGATTGTAATAAAGAATTTAATAAATATCACGATTTTGGAGCAGTTTTTGTTGAAAATATCTGGTTTTGCACTTTTCTGATTTGTGATTGGTTCAAAATTTTCTCCCCACTCTCTCAACCAATGAGAATTAAAACCCGTGCCTTGCTCGCCGAAATTGCATAAAAGTCCAATTTCTTCGCCAGGCAAGAAAAGCCATGAATTCTGTAGAGTAAACTCATGCTGTTTTTCGTGCTGTGCAGAAGCTTCATGAAAGCTTCGAAATATGATTCGTCTACTGAATTGTCTGCGCGTGTTGTCATAGACTAGAGTGGTTAGAACAATCACTTTGATTTTCGCCAATGGTAAACTCAATGACCTTACTAGAACCACCAAATCAAGACAGTTTCCGTCCCGCCCGCCTTCTAGATTTAAGCCCTGGGCTTATACAATTTCGTAAGGGTTTTTTCTATAATCGGGGGGATCCGGAAAAAACGTACCCTAATTTACCCCTAACATACGGAGATATCCCAGAGAGGTGGGCTTATAATCGGGTGGGCTTATAACCGGGGCTTATAAGCAGAGAGGTGGGCTTATAATCGGGGGAGGCGTTCTCATTAAAACGTTGAAAACATGAGAACATGGGGAATGTACGTTAATTGCTACGTGGATAATGGTTAAAACGTCTTTCCACATAATTAAACTTGCTAAACTAAACTGATTAATAACGGGTCCTTGGAACACTTATTTCCTAGGCCAAGTTCGACATGAAACAACCCTTGGACGAGGACTTGCACGCGTAAATGGCAGCTAACAAACTCCTTTTTTAAAAATTCAATATCGTCGGCTTCAAAGTGGTCGTAGGGAGACAGGTTCTCTTCGTCGAGCGGGAATATATTTGTTCGAAAAACGACTGCGAAGGCATGCAGAAAAAAGGAGGAAAGTGATGAGATGGAAAGGCGATCCTCAATCCGACAGTCCACTCTTCCATTCCTAACTTTTTTAATCCGGGTACTTTTCTCGCACCAACTCGCGGTGCCCGGATTTTATGCTTGCAGAACGTGGTCGCCATTCGATTTCAGTGGCAAGCGACAAGCATATGTTCGAGAACATGTCTGGATTAGGAAGATATCCTCTTGGCATCCCTTCGCTGTCTGACAGTTTTCTAGGCTCTAATCAAAGAAGAGACAGGCTCGACTACGATGACAGACGCTTCAGAGAACGCGAGAGAGACCGCAGAGACGATGACTACAGGCGTGATAGCGGGGGATTGAGAGGAAGAAATTCCCGCGACAGGTTTTCTCCTGAAGTAAGCTTTACTGTTTAAATGAAAGGCCTATTCTACCTGTTTAAAGACAATTCGTTTCTTTGTATGTTTAAATGTGTCCTTGTCAAGCTTTTATTTCTCAAGTAGTCTGTAGTTGTCCGCAACTTTTGATCCATAGAATTGAAAACAACATGCAAATTGCACGTTGGTCAGACGAGTGTGAAAGAAGCTTTGATCAAAGAGTGGAAACTGAAAGTCATTGCGCGAATTACTTTCTTGGAAAGGGACTTTGCAGTTTGTTTTTGTCATTACATGTAATTTGGCTGGCTGAGAAAATGCTCAGAGCCTCAGACCCTTGTTGTATTTCAGTGTGTGTGACCATAAACCAAAAGGCTGGGAGCTTGTGTCAGCAGCTGTTTCAAATCGTCATTACTATCCTGATATGCTGAGGTGCTTTTCACTATACCAGACTGACTGGTCACTGAGCTAACCAAAAAGACACCACAACAATATTGTTTGATGAAGGAGGACGACTGGCTTGAAGTAGTCCATTTGGGGGTTTTTCGACATATTCACTTGTCCCCAGCTTAATTTAACTGGATACTTAAGTCAGCCCCCACCCTCCCTTCCACCTTGTTACTCGATATTAATCCCATAGGTAAAGCATTACACTTGGCTGCAGTTTAGTACAACATGTTTGTTACTGACATGCATTACATGAAGATATCAACAGTATCCTATCAACCCGATTTACTACTTACAAAATGTAGAGAAAACCTTTTATGGATTAAATGATGCCTTCTCCTACCTTTTCCATCTCAACATCTGCATATCTACATTTCCTCATTGATGTATTTGCTTCAGGCTGCAGTAACATTATTCAAAGGAGAAAACCAGAGGCCAACATGTTTTTAGACAACATAAACTAATGGCCAGTGGCATTCTATGTCTGCCTGCTTTCTTTACTCTCGTTTGCAAATGTATTTACAAACATCAGCAAACTAAGAACTTTTGGTAAACTTTGTCAGTGATGAAGCACAAAGGTTAGAAGATCACATGGTACACTAACCTCTTTTTTTCTTCTTAATTATGCTTTCTCTTTAAACATGACATAAACTTTATTAAATGGATCAGTTTGCTTTTGGTTAAAAATGCCCCACACTTACATCCAGAAACAGGGTGAGATTAAAATTAAATTAATCACTCACCCCTCAGAAGCCAGCCATTGGGTTAGCATGTTTTTATGATGAGTTGCCTAATGGACAAGCAACATTTGCCAAGAAAGAGTTTTTGATGTTAGTGAAATGGGGGACTGGTAGGCCAGCTGTAGGACTGCTTCAGGCTTGTAAATGTTCCACTTATCCTGGGCCATCAGACAGCACTTTTGTCATGCCCTGGATTCATCTTGCTCTTTCCTCTCCCCAAAATGGTTAAGTCGATTTTAAGTGGGAGCAAGTGAATATGTCGAGGGCCCATTATTTTTTAGACCCAATTTTTGGTTACTCTCGGTGAAAGGGAAAATGAGGATTTCTGAGAATGGAAGGGAAAGGTTTGGTCAGACCAGGCTTACTGGACGATCAAAGATTTTACTTTTGGAGGGGGACCAGTAAATTTTTGTGGAAAATTTCCATTTACACCAACCAGGTTCCATCTATGTTTTGTTGATTTTATTTGGTGTATGCTTCAGCAAACAAATAATATTGTCTACCTATGTCTGAAAAGTGTCCAGATGTTTGGAAAAGAGCGTGGAAGTCCTTGCATTCAACAGTTTTGTTTCTGTCAGTCTGGTGCTCTTAATGGAAGGATTTTTGGAGGGTACACAAAGATTTAACTTTGATTTTAATTATCAATCAACCTCTTCTGTGGAAAAACACAACACTGTATGACAATGTGAAAGGTTGAAAGTTCTTACCTTGTACTTAACACCTGTAACATTACTATACATTGTTTGTAGGGTGCAGTCAGCATTTTTGCATCATCTTAATTTAAGCAATACTACAACAGAATCCTCATACCTGTTTGTACTATTGTATGATAAATTATTTCTTGAGATTCTTGGAGCTGAAAAGTTTCAGACATATGTATTGTGATGCATGCATCTATACCCTTCTCAAACCTGCCTGATCTTTGTAAGTTCCTGTTCTTCATACTTAAGCAATGGCCATGACGCGATCTTCAATAGTGGACTGTAAGTATTGAAACTGTAAGTTTTCCACCTGATGTAGGAACATCATTGGTTTTTGGAGTTTGGCATCATTGCACGTGAACATTATATTTCTTCAGAAAAGAAATGGCCGATTGACAATGTTATTGTATTTTGATACTAACAACATTCTTGCCTCTATTTTATCACTTTACACACAGCCGTCATTCTCATCATCATATGATGACCTCAGGCAAGGAAGTCACTCAGATCTTGTCAGTTACCCTTTAGGACACCTGGGAGGTTCCAGGTCTGACCGCAACGTTGGTAGGAATGATAGAAATCGCAATCAGAACAGAGACCGCTATCGCAACAACAGCAATAATCGGTCGCAGGGTAACAGAGGAGGCCCATCGAACCAGGGACCTGGAATTCTGGGTGCTAAGCCTGGTGATCGTTCAGTCCCAGAACTTCCATCAAATCCCATGCAAGTGCCAGGTCTGGTGAAATTATACTTTTGATCAGTTTTTACAATGTATTCTCCTTTGTTGTCAACTTAGTAGTGGAACTTTGTCCACATGCCCTTGTTCACCAGATTTGCTCTGGTTTGTTGGCAATCCTAGACATATTTGGTGTGAAACTTGCAACAACTCAACTTTTTCTTTGGTGTCCCTGTGTTTTTTGTCCGCCGAATGTGAAGTTTCCTCTTAACATTCTGCAGTATCTGTTTGCGATATTCAGTGGCTACTTCTGTTCAACATCGACGAACTAAAGTGCACAGCTTCTTGTCTTTTATGAGCAGATAAGTATCCTAGGGACAAAACTCTCACAACAGGTTTCAGAACTTCTTCTGGTGATTGGCTCAGTAACATTGTTAACGCAACACATACATATACATCCTTTTGTGTGTGTTGTCAAGATTGTTTTATGTTGTGAAGTTTAGCACCTCAATATCTTTATCTTGTACAATCTGAGTGTTTGATCTTCTTGTTGGTTTAATACATTACAGCTTATTAGCTGTTACAAGATGATGGAGTTAGTTTAACTGATGTTTGCAATATCCTACACTATAATTTACCACTCTGTTTATGTATGAGTTTGAACTCAACACCTGAAAAACTTAGCTCTTATGATTTTGAAGTAAGCAGTTCTTGGTAGATGATATTTACAGCACCCAGACATCAGCTTTCGTTTATAATTTGTTCGAAGAAATGCTGTTGAGCCGTGTTGTACATTCCTTTGGATGGTTATAGTCCTACTTGAGTGTAGTTACGTAGTCATGGAGAACAAAAATATTATTTGGAAACTAACAGAACAAAATGGTTAGGAAATAGGAGTTTTCAATTCTTATCTGTTTCCTTGTACAGCTTAGTGTACATGTGGGCTTGCATTCTTGCCATTTTTTATACCTGCATTTGAATGTAGTCTTGCATACAGATCACTTAATATTATATTATACAACTGTTGCATCCCACAGTATTATTTCACCAGAATCCTGTATGGCAGTGAACTTTATCATATAGATAACAATTCCAAAAAATGGCATTTATTGTCTTCTTGCATTAGGTCCTACAGAATATTATTTGGATTCTTACACAATGTTGCTGAGAAACTTGAATGGTTTTGTCAGAAGATTGTTGTCTGGTTATATAGACTTCTGCATTCCTCTGAAAATGGCCAGCAAAGGCACTGTTGACACCCCAGTTCATTTGCTATAGAAATCAGTGATTGTGACTTACAGAAAGTACATTTCTGACCCTTTCCGCCTACTACTTGTGCGGTTCCACAAGACAGTACAAAGCATTTTAAGAGGGCTGGCTCTGTGATGCTTAATACTGTAACCGTGACAACCACTAAAGTAGTAAATTGAAAAATCCTAAAGCCCAGCTGCTTATCAAAGACTGAAACAACTTCAGATTGGTCTCCATGGTATTAAGTTTATTCTGGTCACTGTTTACACATACGTGAGTGATCTAAAATGTTTCAGTGCTTCAGAAATTCTGATTTGCAAATCTGTTAATTGAGTTGCAATTCAGTCTACTCTTTGGTAATGGTCACCTCCATGCAACAGCCATAATGTGTTGTCAGAGCCACTAGCAGTTTATGGCCTGTGCTACTTAATGGCGACAGCTAGCATTTCACCAGTAATTAATTGTGGTAACCTTTACACAGTGGTTACACTACCTTGATAAAATTTCTTTTGCCACAGTCCACCAACACCATTAATCATGTGGCTACAATGAAGAAACTGCCATGACCAAACTAGGTAGTGGTTCTAGCACAATTGCCACTCAAATCTTGGAAATTTTAATCCTTTTTTTCTTTCAATGGGGGTCACATAATTTATGCCCCATACACAATGGCCATCAGTGTTACCCCAACAGTAGTATTTGCGTAGGGGTTCAGTTGTTCTAGCAGTGTAAATGGTTTCCGTGTAATTCTTCAATCAAGAATGTGGTGTGTCTGCTTAGAGTCATCCCTCTGTTAAACATACTGGAATGCACAGGACCAGGTGGATATGTCCTTCATGTTTCATCTGACAACAACTTGCTGCAAAATTGATCAGTGTCATAAAAGGATTTTGAAAGTTTTAATGGCTGCGATATGTTCTAACTTTTCTCCTTTCATTCCTATACAAAGTTATGGCAAGATTATTTGTCACACTAATTTTGAACAAAATCTTATGGTGTTACCATTCAAATGAAACCTCTTCGAAAGGACAGAATGTAAGCATAGATCTGTTTAGTAATTTCTTAAAATTTTACTGAAAAAAATTTGAATCTTTCTTTGAATTTCTTTGGCCACTATTACGTGTGAAGAGTAAGGCTGGTTTTTATATGTCTTGGGAGTCTCAGACTTTCAGAGAGTTTACTGTTTCCCGAAAACTTTGTAGACTTATGAAAAGTAGGGATGATAGATATCCCCCATCGTCTGGGATGGTTGAGGACAAGTCAGGACAAACACATCTCAGGTTTGTGTGAAGGCCTGTGTACCTACCTGGCATATGAGAAGTCAAGTTTGTTGTGTTGGGATGTCACGGTCTGTTGGGCAATTATTATTTTTGCTTGGTCCCAACTGTTTAGGTGTAATCCTTCCCCTCATAGAATTACAGAGACTCCAATTGAACAGTGTGCTAATGACAAGCTAAGAGCAAGCTTGTGGAAACAAACTTAATGCAAAATCTAATGCCCGTTTTCCTCAGTCTTCGAGGTAATGCTATGCAAAATTTTTAGTTGTTTTTTCGCTGGACGTGTCATCAATACGCTATGCCAAAATTGCTGCTTCAATGATTCGTGTTCTACACGGTTCTTGGAGTGCATGACGAGAATTGCATAGCGCACGATGGGATTCTCGTCACTCAGGAAACGAGATACGACTGGTAACTTACTTTTGAGCGGTACTGTTAATCAAAGTGGCATCTGGGACAGTCTCTGAGATCTTCCTGACAGATCATTAAGAACAGTGTGTTCCCTGACCGTCTGAGTTTTTCCTGACATGTAAAAACCAGGCTTAAAGATGATGCTAAACAGGGATATGGTGAGCTCATGTAATTATTGATAAATTACAAGTACAGTAAAAAATATTGCAACATTTTAAAATGTGGCTAGATTTAATCTTGTTTAGGCCAAACTTTGTTTAACTTATTGGCATTGTTTATGCAATATTTGAGGGAAGAGCAAACACTAGTAAATTATTCAATTATTAATGTCTGGAGTAGCAGCATTTTCAGAAAATGCCCTATATATCATGATACTCTCTCTCCCTTTTTTTTCACTGTTAATTTAACAGTGTACATTATTAAAAATCCAGGTGTTGAGTTCAAATTATTGTTTTCATATCGTGACTCTTCAAATCTTTTAATTCTGTTCCATTCTGCCACGTTATGTAGACTCTAGTTTTATGCTGTCTTTTAAACTTGACTGAAAGTGACAGTCAGTGATTTAATAGTGTTCAAGTGAAATATATTGGCCTATGTCTAATGAAATCTTAATGGATGTGATGTCTGGACAAAGTTGATACCAAAGAAAATCATTTTGGAGATGAATTATAACATCTAGCTTGAGTGCATGTGAAGTGTTGTGAATGTATGGCAGCAATCAGTGTCACCTTACTGGTACTTGATTTCGTGATTTTGTTGAAACAGTATTTTGCAGGGTTTTATTTTCGCGATTTAAAGAAGCAAATAAGTGTTTAAAAAGGGCATTACATTTTGTGATTCAAGGGTCTTCAAGCATTCTCAACCTTATTTTAGTTTTCAAAAAGTGTGACCTGTGTAGTTTCACCTGAATTACGCAGGGTTAGGAATGGCAGGCGGTGGCCTAGGATCTGGTCTAACAGCCCAGCTAGCCCAACAACAGCAGCAGCTTATGGCTATGGTTCAGACTCAGTCATTGCTGGCAGCCATGCAAGCCCAAGCCAATGCTAACGCACAAGCCCAGGTCCAAGCACGAGCTAAACAGGGCATGCAATCCTCTATGGGACTTCTTCCCACGCCTTTGATACCAAGGAACCAGTCAAGGGATTTACAGCGGCAGAATCGCAAGCGAGGGCGGAATGACAGTTGGGGTGGTGGCAACCAGGGAAACAAAAGGGAACGCTTTGACCACAACCGTCGGCAGCAAGGAGGCTACAGACAACAGAATAGAAATAGACCAAATCAACAGAGTCAACAGGCTAAGAAGACTGCAACACCTGATAAACCGGAAACAAAGAAAGAGGAAGCAGCGACTGAAGGGGAACTGCATGAGGAGGAAGATGAAGCTACACAGGGTACTGTCAGCCTTTCAGTCAGGCGCATAGTCAATGTTTTGTTTTGTTTTGTTTGTTTTATTAGAGAGTTTTAGGTCCAAGTTTACCGCGAACCTCTAACAGCGGTTTGCGGTTACCCGTTTGCGGTTCGACGTTCAAACATAATTCGATTTAGATTGACGGTGGATTAAATTACGTCCGCCATTTTGAATCACCAGCCATGAATGGCACTTGTTTTCAAGATCCAATAGGATTTATAAAGTTTAGCATTTCGCCCGAGTTTGTGCCTCAGTTAATGGATAAAGACTTGCTCCACAAAATTGTTGTATCATTACGTGGGATGAAGCAAGAATTATACGCTAAAAGCTTTCAGGTAAATGACATACGTGAAAACCTACCTCCCCATGTTGAAAATGCAAAACCTCAAACGTGACACAAAAGACTTGTCACGTGACCTCCAGCAGTTAGAGGTTCGCGGTAAACTCGGATCTACAACTCTGTATTATCATTTTGCTATACACGCAAAATATACATTTAAAATGGTAAGAAAGATGAGGCAAGGAAGCCCAAGGAAGCCAATAAGGGTTGTGTATAGGACCACCTTTAAAAATTATGTTATGTAATTAATAACAATTATGTTACCTAATTAATAATAATTATTACAATACTGACATCAGCAATTTAACTCTAAGTACAGACAAGTAGTTTGGAACATACCGGTAGAAAAAAATCATTAAATAGGTTAAAAAGTAGAAAAGGCTGAACTTGAAAATGCAAAAACGAGAAAGAAAAGGTGAGAAAAATTATGGAAGAATAAACTTGAAAAAAAAAAAAAGCGTAAGAAGCCAATGGCATAGCACACAGTTAATATTAATATTCTAGAACTGAGACTAGCAAATTCCTCACTTTTGTTTGTCTTTTGACTCTTGTCACTCTGTTTTCATTGTGTGTTAATTATCACTGTGTGTTTTGGCTGTTTGATTTTTTTGTCAGGTGAGGAGGAAGTAGAAGACTTGAACACAACTAAAGAAGATGAGCAAGTTCAAGATAATGAAGTCAGTGAACCTCCAGAGTTCAATGACCGTCCTCTTCCTAAGGCAGTTAACTTTGTTGGAGAAGATGTTGATGCTTTGATGATCTCTCTGTTTGACAAGAAAAGGTCGAAGTACATCTGCCAGCAGTGCAAGATCATCTGTAATATACCAATGGTATGGATATACAGTATGTTCAAATGGACTTACATTTACAGTAGAATTGCTTACTTAGCTACTGAAATCCATGGTGGCAATTCAGAAAAAATGCCCTGAAATGTTTTAATTGTATAGTAACAGTTGTCTGGGTTATAAAAAGCAGAGTTTATGGAAGCAAATGGCAGCTGGAACCAAACATGGGCCATACTGCAGGCTTTTGAGTTTACACCTCGGTAATACAGTGCACACAACTGACACCTTGTTTCCAAGGGATGTGTTTCTTTGATCAAGATATCTCCTACATAACTGATCACATTTTTCGTGGCAGATGTCCATCCACTACTACTGTAATTTTCTTATTTTAATAATTATGTCAAACACTGGGCACAGTGTTTTTTTTTTTTGGAGAAAATAGACTGAATTTTCAAACCACCACCATCATGCTTGAGTTTTCCATTGTTTGCTCTTCATGAATTATTAATGAGTTAAAATGTAAATAATATTAAGACCAGTTGATGCAATTAAAATTTTTCTTTGTTTTGTTCAGAGTTTTCATAAACATCTCTTGGGAAAGAGACATGCCCGGACTGTATTGGAAAAGCAAGGAAAAGAACTTGATGCGGAAGAATTCAAAAATTTCTGCCAGGTAATGAAGTTCAAATAAAATTATGGTGGTCATTGAGAGTGTTTGTTTGCTCCCTGCAAGTAGAGCCTCCCCGTCTTCTTTACTCATGAATTCCAAATCATTATGGTGTGAAAATCAATGAATATTTTAGCCTGTATGCTATTTTGTTTAATTTAGTGTTTCGATTCTTTTTGCAAAACTTTCAAGGTTGTCAAAAGTAGAGCTGCCTGTGAATATGGCTAGTATGCGGCTTCTCTGAAAGACTAATAAATTCTTCTCCCCCCACCTCTGCCCCCTTGTGCTGGTGGTCAGTAGATCCCCTGCGGTTTATGATTTATCATGTGTGCTCAACAGACTTTGAATAGAAAATAGAGAGTCTGTGAACAGGCTAAATCAATATGGTCAGAAATATCACAGTGAAGCACACACTATTTTTAGCTAGATTAGGCTAGTGGTCCTGATTAGCCTTTCTGGGACAACTTTATCTTCTACATGTATTTATGCAAGGAAACTACATCTGTGAAGAAGTCAGAGACAGAGCAAGTCACAGCAGTACCAAAAGATGAGGAAGAAGACAAAGTTCAAACTGCAGTGTTATCAAGTCCTTCTGCGGATGAAGTTAACCTTGACTTTGTCAAGTACACTTGTGATACAAGAAAGACAGCAATGAAGGAAGGAAACATCATCACTATATCATCTGTAACTCAGTCAAGAGTTAGGATTGATGGCTTTACGAGTGGAAGAAACATGTCAGGTACATGTACAATGTGCAGGCAACACTGATTATCAACTGATATTGTTTGAACTTTCTAGAGCCGTTGCAATCATGAAAAAGTTCTTCATATCGCAATAAATAGAATGCGCATCAATTGAGGTTTTTGGATATCTGACCACCTACCCCTCCACTAAGTTATAACATTAACACTTCTCACTTAAGGCAAAATTTTGACGTAGGGGGTGGGGGGGGGGGGGGTAGATTGGTTACCCAGAAATGTCAACTGATTCTAAAATGATACTATTAATCTTAATATTATTGATAATAATCTCCCAATACATGTATTTCTACATGCAGGTGCAAGCTTCATAAAAAATTTTCTCTATACCCACGTAGTCTTATATAAAGATGATCCTTGTTTTTGGCCCTCGGTCAATGGACTCGACAAATTATCAGAAGCGCATTTTGAATTTCCCTTACACCTGATTGGCAAATCAACAGTGGCTTTTAAACAGGCCAGTCGTAGTGCCTAATCAAATCCTGGTACACAGTTGGCGGCCCAGAACAAGGATTTCGATGGTGGCTAGCGGACGGACTTAACCAGAGGTTTATTTTCACCTCTGACACAGGCTAGGCTTAGATCTCCTTCTCAGCTAGAACTTGCATGGTCATTTTATTTGCATGTGCTTGTAACTTTTTGATAGCCATGTCTTCATGTATTAAATAAAAGGTTTGGTTTCAGGCTGTGAGTTTGTGAAAGCTGTGTCAGGATTTAATTGCCGCCTTTGCAAGACTTTCATTCGATGTGGAAATGATGTGATCAATCACATCAAAGGAAAAAAGCATCAGATGAATTATAAGGTAATAGTAATCGTGACAATAATAATTATTGAAACAGTGTGCTTTGTGCAGAATTTTGAAAGATCATTGGTAGACTGACTAGAGTGTGTGTTTGTTTTCATGGGTTCATGTCATCGTCTCGCTCAGTAATATCATTTCATCTTAGACTGCAAAACTGTCGGGTTTTTTTTCTCAAAATCAGTAAAGAAATCGGTAAAGCGTGGCGTACTTGAATATGCAAAATTACGGACTGTTTTGCAGTCTAATTTCATCTTGACATTTATTATTTTTCCGTGATCTGTATTTTTATTCATCTTTCTTTGGAAAGCTTATTTTGATTTGTTCATGTAGCTATCTCGATATTAAAATTAATTTTCAGCTAAAAAAATGTTTTTTTTTTCAAAACAGACCACTTAGTTTGAAAGAAGGGATTGGAAACCTCTAGTGACTGCTTTGCCAGACTCTTGTTACTGTGTTTGCTGTATGTTTGATTGAAAGCTGAAATGGTGTGATTACCCATATTATCATTCTAGACCTACATCCAAGATCACCCACAATATGAAGATCATCAGATGACACGTAATAAAGAACTGGAGGCTGTGCTTGAACCAAAAGAAGGAGAAGAAGTTGTCTTATATGAAGTGCTTGATAAGGACATTAAGCCGCCTTCTGCCAAGACACGAAGCCATCGTAAAGACTCACAGTCTGAACAGTGTGATGAGGTAAGCCCAGTTATCGTAAATGAGCTAATAAGCTCTTACTTCCAAATAACCGCCTCTTGTCTAATAATCGCCCCCTCTACGTTGTTAACCCTTGGACGTGCACGCAAATTCATACCCCCACCATGGTACAAAGGTTGGGGGGGGGGGGGTGGGGATGGAACCGCTCTTTGATATGTTGCAGTATTTTAAGAGGATTTTACCTTTAATGGAAAGTAATTAGCCAAAGCAAAGTTCGTGTGGGGAGGGGGTGGAATTTTTTCCAAAAGGAAAAGACGTGATACTGACGTCATACCGAGTCCCAGTTTCCCACAGTACACAAGAACTCAAATCTTACCATTTCCTTACAGGTACAGATAACTAGGTTTGTAGTCGCACCACCGTCTTCTGACCAAGAAGAGCAACTTCGAGGTGAGGAAGCAGCTGACTTGGATGTGGACATGGAAGGTATGGACCATGTAAATGAAGACTCTTTCATGACAGACGAAAGTATTGAGGAACAACGAGAGACAACTGCGACAGGGACAGATGAAGGAGAAGCTTTGTATGATCCTGCAGAGATTACTAGTGTTGAGGAATCCCAGGAGAGTCAAATAGAAACTGCTCCACAACTTGAAGTAAGTTCTTCCTGCAATTTCTTATGGAAAACGAAGTGTTGCAAGATGCACATTTTTTTGCGTGGCCCTGCAATTATTATTTTTTTCTGTGTTCAACATAGATTGGGTTTTTCTTTGTCTTTGTACAGCCAATTTTGTTTGCTCGAGTCTCTTTGTGAACTAGGTGCCTTTGAAAATCAGGCGTTCGCTCATTTGCATATCTCCCATAATGCACCGTATTTGCCACTCCGAAATTTTGTCACGAGCTAGAAGATCATTATTAATTTTCCTTTCTCCAATGTGACAGGAGACCGAGGATTATATTCCATTGTCTACCGATACAGCAGTGAACTCCGAGCCTGAGGCGGCCAAAGAGCCCATGTCGACAACGCCAAGACGCGCCTCCAATCAGTGGAAAGAGCGAGACAATGACTCAGAGAGCAGTTCACCAGATGATACAGAAGACACACCCATTAAAGAGGTCACTCCCCCACCTAGGCGTGGCAAAAAGGGTGCGGCAAGGGGAGGGGCTAGAGGTGGTGCAACCCGCGGAAAAGGGCGTGGTCGAGGGGCAAGGAGAGGTGCAAAAGCTTCGGTTGGAGGAAGGGCTTCTAAAGTTAAAAAGACGAAGGCGAAAGAAGGCGCTGACAATATCGACGACGTGAACTTAATAGAGGGTTTTGAAGTCATAGATGAGATAGGCGATGGTGAAGATTAGAACCGGCGAGGCATAGACTTAGTACATTTACTCAGTGCTTTTGGCTTTAAATAGTCTTGTGTCGAGATAAGGCTAGCTTTTTCTACGTGTCAAAGACCGACAGATTTTAGGTTTCTTTTCTGTAATTTTTAGAGTAAGCACTAATATTCTACGGATTGTGATGTCGCTTATAGAACCCCTATGTTGGAATTTGCCTTTCAGTTTTAAAAGAATTTTCATAATATTTATAGATGGGAATTTTAGTAGCTTTTCTCTGAAAATTTTTGTTTCTCGTAGAGATAGCATTTACATAATAACTCAATGGGTTAAGCTCCGTCCTCCTCTTCATCTCTGTATTTGTAAATTTCCATCCTTATTAAATCATTGTTCTAAACTGTTGCTGTTTTGTTTGTATTCTTTTGATGTGTTAATAGAAAGCTTAAGATTTTGAGACGAGAACGACTACGAGTAGTCGACTACCCGATTTTCTGAGTATTACTCACGCGTCAACCAGCGTTCTTTTGCGGGAAAACGTGATAGCCGTCGTCTACTACGAGTTTTAGCGTGAATGTCGTAGTGGCGGGAACAAGTTAACAAATGTAAGAAGTTTTATCATTCTGCTATCGGGAGAGGGCTTAACCTCCTTCAGTATAAATAACCGTACAAACTTTTTTGGTGAGAAAAAGTAAAATGAAGCTTTTCCGGGTGTCTTGTTTTTGAGAACACGCGCAAAAACTTTGAGTTAAATCTCTACTCGTTCTCGTCCTCAAATCTAAAGATCTGTATAAGTGGAAAGTAAAGTCAATTCCTGTTACTGCGGACACTGTACCTTCATGGCCGCGAGTTTATGTGAGAGAGTCCGTAATAAAGGGATTGGGGGAAGAAATTTCTTGAAAACACTTGATATCAATGAATTAGATGTCTTCATATTTGGACTTACTGTAGAACCAGCGAACAATATTAAAACGGTCCGAACGAAATTATTGTTGCTAGCGAGACTGGAAAGCTGGTCTCAAGGCCATCCCCCTTTTTTTCTTCGTTTACCGTCGAATGCGTTTCCTGATACAGGGGAGGAACTAGGGGAAGGGTGCAGGAGGTCCGAACCCCCCCCTCCTAAGATGACCTGCAGTTTTCTAATACAACTGATATTCTGCAAAAAAAAAGAAAACTATGTGGTTTATTGGTGTTGAAGTAGAGCAAGAGACGAGTGTACCCCCTTCTAAAAAAAATCCTGGATCCGCCCCTGTGATATTGGGTGGGTCGGTCGGATCGAAAAAAAAAAAAACCTAAAAAAAAAATCACTAGAAGTCTCGGACGTTAAAAGTTAACATACACATATTTGGATTAACAAAATGTACAATATACTGTGAAAAATGTTCATGTTTTTGTTCCTGTTTTTCTCTATGCTGTTGACTATGCTCATTTTTCATTTCAAGTGAAAAATGGTGTAACTACGTCGTTACTTTTTTTTTTGAAAATGCCAAAAATTTGGGTCGGTCGGACGACGGTAAACGGAGAAAAAAAAGGAGGATGGCCTTAAAAGAAGTTGAAAAATGATAGCCTTTTCAATAGCAACAAACGGCTGTTTTGGAATGGAATAGGCATTAGGCTCGTACCTTTCTCTTGGAAGTACTCACTTGAATTGCGTTAGATTTACCCTGGATTTGCTTGGCCAGAGAATACTGTCCCATATACGCAGCCGTGGACGCTTATGTAGCATCTCCATTGTCGTAAAACATTATCATTTGAAGCGTCTTGCGTCCGTTGGAGATTTTGTGGGAAAATAAAATTTGTTCACGCGCCCTTAACGTAATAATCGGTGTTACCAAGGAAACAAATCGTCAAGCGCGCGCTGTTGCTTGATTGGATGTTAACAGGGACTCTTCCCTTTAACTACTAATTATTTACAGAGTTCAAAGAGAACATTGTACAACAAAACGAATGTAAATCTTACAAATTCCTTTAAAATGACTACCGCTATGCAAAAGTTCTGCTGAAGAGGTTTCATTTGAATGGCATTATGGGGTTTTGTCCAGATTTCAAAGTTTTACCGAGTGACAGTCTCGCCTTATTCAACGCACCACCATCGAAATATCAGTTCGTAGCGAGGTCAGGACGTTTTATTTTTAGGTTGCCGTAGGATTTCATAGCCTGATTTTCAGACGCTCAAGGTCGCTCGTGGCCACGCCCTCTCTCCCTTTAAGCAACAACGACAGCTACGAAATAGCCTGGGACCAGGCTACTCAGTGGGGAAAAAGTATAAAAACGGGGCCAAATAGCAAAAAATATCAGCGAGCGAAGCGAGCCTTGATACCTCTCGCGGCTTGCTTCGCTCGTTGATTATTTTTTTTTGCCCTCCTTGATTTTTTTCTCCTTTTTCCTTCAATGCGAAGCCTGGTCGCAAGTAAGCTACGAAAACGTCAGTTAAAAAAAGTGTTCGCGTTGCTTTAAACTTTAAAATCGCTCTTATTCCATCTCATACAATTCGTCAAATGTTGGTGAATTTGTTTTTGGAGTTGAATTCTAAAGAACTGTATCAAAGTTCAGGAAAAGAAAAAGAGGGCCGTCGTTTTGAATTTGTGTTCACGTCCTCCATGAAACCCTAACCTGATTCTACGTCGTAGTTGTGTAACGACGGCAAAAAAAAATAGCGTGATGCACGTGCAGAGATGTTGTTTTGTTAATCTAAACCTATTGCTTTTTTGCCATTCTCGTTGCTGTCGCTGTCGTCGTTGTTTAAGCTTCCTAATAAAGGAGTAAGGGAGAGAGTGCGTTGCCGCGAACGACCTGGAGGAGGATCCCCGATAGGGTTTTCCAATCCCGTCATCCCGAACCAGATTTTCGCGCAATCCCGCCAAATCGCGATACATATTTTCGGCATCTCGCATTCCGTGCATACTTTCAATCCCGAATCCCGCCCTTCACAGAGGGCAAATCCCGCATCGCGAAAACCATATTGCGGACCGTCTGAGAATCAGATTATAGGGTTTCATGAAAACTCAAGAAGGTGTGAAAATACAAGGTCAGTGGTCAGGGAATAGTCCGCAAACGTTTTCGTTCCCGAGTACGAAGAGGCAACCTCTACGCAACCTGTTCAACGTTTTGACACCTGGGAAGAATCTAGCCTGTGTACAGCCACCCCCTCAGAACTTTTTCTTTTCAAAAAAGAGTGTCTGAAGTAGTGATGGAAATGATACAGGGCCCGGTTCCTGAAAGGCCGATTAGCGCTAATAAATGATTAAAATTTTGGTCCGTTTTTGTATTTTACCTTCCTATGTATTCTTAGACTAACACGTTGTGTTATCATTACTGTACCTCGTAGCAAAGGCTCAATAGTATTTTAAGCTCAAGTTGCATGTTCTTAGACAAGAAAACCTTGCTCAAAATTCTGGGTTAACTTTATTTGTAAGAAACGGGCCCAGAACTGTAAACTGGTACGGTAGGTACCTATAGCACTGTCATCCGCCTCTCATGCTTTGTGGGAATGGGTAGGGAGGGGAGGGAACCTTGATTGGGGCCTACAATTACCGTTTATGCCCACCCCCCTTGGAAAGGTTTGTGTCCAGTGAAGCTGAAAATATAAGTAGTCATGAAATGAAAACACAGAATATCAGCTGGAACGCCGTCTTCTTAACATTAATTTAATCAATAGAAAGGAGATCTCAGAAAGACCAACTCATTAGGGGTCAGTTATTAAAAAAAATATGCCCTTACAAAATACAGCCCCACACCCACCCACCCCAACAAAAAAACAAACAAACAAACAAACAAAAAAATTGAACCAGTTGAATATCCACTCTATTATCCTGTTAAAATCATTGGCCTATCATGCTTAGTTGTACTGCCTTGGATTATCTGCCGAGTGAGTAAGGGTGAGGATGACAACCATTCAGATAGAGGGGTGTGGTAAGGTAGACTTTTGTAGCACCCTGTACCACACACCTGAACTCAAAGTTTTTTTCTCTTCCCAGACTTTACTTGCCAGATAATCTAGGAAGATACATGGGATCAATTTAAGTTTCTGTGAAACTCTCCACCTACCCCTCCCCTAAGCCAACATTATCACTTACTTAGGGCAAAATTTTGGCTTAAGGAAGGGGTAGGTGGTCAGTAATTGATCCAATACATGATAGCTTAACAAATTCCTAGCAAAGTTTGGAACATAAAAAGTCTTGACGGCAACTTTTTTCAGGGAGCAACCATAGCCATGGGAAGTGGGAGATAGACACAACTTTTACATTATTATTTTGACTTTAAAACCTGATACTACTCTCTGTCTATTCAAAAATGTTGCAGCTAAAACAATGGCTGTGCTATGTTGCTTGAAGAAAAATGATAAATTAACCAGAAAATACCACACCTAAAAACCACATATGGACCTAAAGGGAAGGATGTTCACGTAGGGTGCTTACTAACCTCAATTACAAAACAAAAACATGACCTCTTGGTCTTCTTGACCTCAATTGTGAAAATTACATTTACAGGCCAATCTAAACTAGTGAGATTTTTTCATAATGCTTGTTGCACTCTCCAATGCAACTCTTGTCAGTGTAAACCAACAGTGATTTCAGTGTAGTGTTTATGTGATTCTACTCTAATGTTTCCTGCAATTTCGCCCAAAAATACCACTAAATTTCAATCAGGTTTGTCATAGTGCATCCTTTGTCATACTACACCAAAATTGCTGCTGGTTGTAACTACAACAATCATCGCAGTCCTGAAGAGTGAGACCTTTTATGAAAGAGAGGCCTAGCATGCAACCAGCCATACTAAAATTAAGCTGATTTACATTAAATATAAGTGCATTTTCACACGTGGACGGGTATCAGGACTTGTTGAACACATTTCGAAGCTGAGAGTGATTTTGGAGAAGGCCTATTGCATTGGAATGAAAATGACAATTGTTTAACAAAAAATGCACCTGTAAACAGGACATACAGGTATCTTAGGTGATGACGCTTCCACCTCACTGATTAGAATTTTCAAGTAACAGACCTCTTTAGCTTGGCTTCTTTGTTCCCCCATTTCAGATCTTATACCATTCTCAAAGGGTATGGGTGTTTTGCCTTTCATACATTTTTATGTAAATAAGACAATATTATTGAAAGAGCAATATCACCTGGTCCGCAAGTAGAAAACAAACAAACCATGCTGAAAACGTCTAAAAACACCAGTGTCAAGATGTGGTCTGCTGTTTCCTACAACCAGTTGCAAAATGTTTGAAAATCTTTCAAAACCATTTTTCATACTTCACTGCACCTTAGAGGAAGGACAAATTATTCTTACGACTGTCAGGGATTTTTCATCCCTTGCACCACTTCAAAGTCGTCGGCACAACTGTTGAATATGACCTTCAAATCCGTAAAACTTTGATGGTGAGGGAAAGGGGCATGAATTGTGCGTGGTCCGATACACAACACTTTACAATGAATGATATACATTGGTGGTAGCATTTTGATTACCAGCCAGACTCTGTGATGGGGTTTAGGTGAGAAGCCGTGGAGAACAGAACCGTAAGTTTTTTATTTGCCTTATTTATAATTAATGAAATGATTCCTTCATCTGAGCCACAACTTGAGCCTCAATGCGTCAACACCGTTAAGGTAGTACCTAAACAGCCTCTTGTCCCTGACAAAGCCCAAGTTTTCATACAGCCGGAGAGCTGCTGTATTGCTGACTTCAGTCTCAAGAACAACCTAGAGTACAAATAAAGCCGACAACATCGTACTATGCAGAATTCAGGGGATTTGAACTAGATGTAATATCATATATCATATTTATTTGGATGTGACTGAGATATGATTTGTTGAACAAGGGGTAATGTTACTTCCACTGAAGAAGTGTACTCGCGGTTTGCCTCAAGGCATGGGTTCCTCATACCCAGGCCAACCAGGTGGACTGGAAGCTCTGGAATGGTTCTATCTAGCTGACTACACCTACTTCAGTGATTGTAGGAATAAGCACCTGAGATGTTTCATTCTCTAGTGGTTCTAAGAAATGATAATGATAATGATGATGATGATGATGATGATAATGATAATGATAACAATAACTAAAACCAAAACAAAATTCACATGCTATTCCTTCCTCACCTCATCGCAGCTGTCCTCAATCATTGCTTGGATTGCTCTCACTACAAGATTTGAACCTGAAATAAAGAAAGTTCAATAATCATATTAAAAGTAAACAACTTTCAAGAGCTCACTTAAGGTAGTTATTAGCAGTAAAACCAAAGCCATGGCTTACCTATTTTATGCCTCCTGTATTCCTTCTCAACAGCTAACATAGCTATGTATCCTCTGCGAATCATGTTCTTGTGTAGGTCAAGTTTGCATACAATAGCACCAATGCACTTGTCACCATCCATTGCCTAAATATATCATACAGTAAACATTCTTATTGTAAACTCAATACTACAACTAGGTAGACAGGAATTTTAAAAGAAGATTAATGTAATAGGAGTAGCATACACATATCAAGAAATTTACTTCACCGGGGTATGCGGTTGCCTGCAGTAGGTGAATTATCGGTAACCTAAGTTTGGTTAGTCTGCAATTACAGCCATCTCTCCTTGCTCCTTGCCATTGGGGACTTTTCACAGAAGAGATGTCTGTGCGTCAAAGTGCATGTGACCTTCTATACACTCACATAACGTCACATCAAAAACTTTTGTTTCGCTTGTTCTTTGTTGTTGAGGAATAATGGTTAGACCCTCTTCACTACAAACACTAGCAAGACTTTCAGGGAAAATTAAAGTGTTGCTCAGCAACTGGCTTTTTGAAGCTCACTCCATATTACTTACCTTGTGGCCATAAAAGTACGAAAACACGACAAGAAATTTTAGAAAAAATTTTCTTAAGGTTGGTTTCTACATTTTACAGGTTCCAAGATAGAGAGGACATGTTTTGTCCACTTCCCAGGCTACACTGCACGGTGGAGAGTACTATTATTCCCAAAGGCAATCCATGGTTAAAAGTCAACTTTGTTACCTGGGCCTGAGAAATCACCAGTAACACTTGTACAAAATCATATCTTTTCCTTAAATGGTTGGTTTACACATTGACATACGCATAGGTATAAGAAAGCTCCTAGCAAACTGGTGGGGTGCAAGATAAGCAAAACCACAACAAACAGAAACTTTTTCATTCTCTTGTGTACATTTATGCTTGTGTTATTGTGTTATATATGAAAACTGGGGGCAGTGCACAGGCTTAAGACAAAGTACAGGCAACAAAACATCCTGCTTGTCCCAAAACCACTCTTTTTGGGCCATCTTCCTGTCATTGCCCATCTTTTATCATTCTGAGCATTATACCAACTGATTTCCTTTTAAACGAGCACCAAAGGCGCAAGCTTCTAGGGGGGGTCCGGGAGCATGGTCCCCCAAGAAATTTGTTGGATTTTAACTCCTGTATATCCCATTTCCTGGATTTCTGAATGTGATCGGGACGGAGTGACTGTTGCATTATTGACTGTGTAACATAGACTAGACAGCGACAAGTGATTTTCCAGCTGAAAATCTCATAGCCTGCCTAATGCCTGGAATTTGGAAAAAAAAGATTTGTCCAAACCATTTTCCACATTAAAAATATGTTTATTACAAAAAATCTGACCAATTTCCGTAAAGTGGTGGAAATCGGTGTGGATTCACACCCGTAGCCAGGGGAAATCCCCAGTCCCTGGCTCTTAGTGACAGCCCTGATCTTGTGCAACCTGTAACCTAACCTTAAGCCATTGGCTTTTAACTGACCAACTTTGAGGACAAGTCATCATATCACACCCCACCCCCTCCCCTAGACCCCCCTAGGTTCAAAAATGGATTAATATTCAAGGGAGTGATTAGTCAAAATAACAATTGCTCATTAATAAGACTTGTAACAATCAAAGGTTACAGAGTGTGGGCAAAAAGGATCAAAGGTCAAAACGCTCTTGTTCCAATACGGCGCTTTGCATAAGTCTCCTGTGACAAATGGTCAAACATGTGTGATCGATTATGAGTGACAGAAGTTCTAAATGCAAGTGATCAAATTGCATTCTGTGCATTCCTTTCATTCTTAGTAGAAGTCCAAGCAATTTGCATTTTGAACCTGGAGGTAGATTGCGCGCGCTCCTTCTGTCACCCACACCAAGTTACTTTTTATTGTTAAAACTATTAATTATCGCCATCATCATCATCAGCATCATTATCATAAGTAACCTAACAGACAGACAACTTACCAAAAAGCACAACTTAGGCCAGTTGTGTATGAAATAGCGGTACGTGTAGATTGAATAAGGTTCTGAAAGGTCCTTCGTTATAAGGGCCATTATGGGCTCCATTTGGAGTTCAGACTCATAACTGACATAAGAGAAATTGCAACTTGCTTTAAAAGCTTCTGAAGGTCCTGCCTGTTCCGAACACTGCTTTTCGTCCACAGCTGACAAGTTTTTAATTGAGGGGTCATAACTTGCTTCACTGGAGCTACTAAGGGTCAAATGATTTCCACTTTTCGTAGTGCTCTGACATGATTGACTACATATCGCTACCCCGTTCAGATCTGTAACCTTCTTAGTACTGCAGCTCTCCTGTAGCTGCGTACAATCACTACCTGTGTCTTTATCCCTGCAAGATGTCGTGTATTCGCCATTCACGACGACGTTCCTATCTTGCGGGGTTAAAACTGACGTTTCCTCTTTTATCTCCGCTTGAACTGAAGCCATTTCACGGAGTTAATTCAATGGAAAATGTAAACTCGGATGAAATGATCCCGCGTCTTTAGGATACCAATTTTTCTAAAGATTAATGCAAACATCAAGCAGAACGCGTGGGTTACGTGACGGAGCAACCAGAACGGAAAGTCGCCGCCATATTGAACTTCTTTACCTCGCAAGGAACGCTGGGTATTCTGTGAATCACAGGACACCCATAAAGCAACAGGACGGCCACCCGGACGTGTCGTTTTCTGGTGTTGTTTGCTCTTTTCCTCGCTGAGAGAGAGGCTACCATTAGTCCTATTTGCCATTAGCTCTTGAGCATCTATAAAGGCCTTTTAGTACTCGCTAAATTAAATAGTGGTGAGTACAAGTCACTGGCACTTAGGTGTGTACTTGATACACGCGCCGTGCCTCTATATATCACCCTAGAACCGGCCTAAGTTATTTAAAAATGGATAATATTATGTACTACCTTTAGCTAAGCCTCTTTCCATTGGATAATACAAGTTGTTTCTTATATACTTATTTACCGTGCCGGACATTGATTTATGCGCATAATAGCGCTGTCATCCTCTCATAGGTTTAGGGCTTTAAACCTTCAACCCTCTTATGAGAAGGATCATATTTTCTTATTTCGTTGATTGATTGATTCAATGTTGTTGGTGGCAAGACTGGGTTCCTGTTCGTGGGCAGTTTTCGCTTCCCTCGTGCCTTTAACCCTGTGCATGGCCTGTGAAGGTTCCCTGTCCTGTGCATTCTGCCTTAGTCTCACGCGATTATTTTCAAAACAACATGGCGGGCAGTGAAGACCGTGGCCCGTCGGATGATAATAGTGAAGCAGAGTGGTCTGATTTTAGCAGCAATAGTTCGACAACAAACGCTTTGGACAGCTTGCCATTTAGTCTCCGGTCTCTAGATCCTATTTTTGTGCTTAATACTATAATTTCTTGCTTTCCGCGACAGTCAGATAGTTCAGCCGCTTTAAGCGCAAGTGATAGAGCACCTAACACTTCTGGCACGAACGACAGGTTTCGAAAGTTCTCTTATTATCTATCCGTATAGCGTCATTTCTTGGCTAAATATTGCTGTTTTAAGCTGATCGAGTTATTCTTTTCCTGTACGTCTGTCTCCGCAGAATCCTAGACGGCGTGGATGCGTCGCTTACTACTTACGGCGATCCCCTCGTGTGGCGTGGATCACAAACAGAGGCAAAATACTCAAGGGCGTTAAATCTGTTACTGATTAGCCGCGAAGTAAGTAATTTTTTATTTCTCTTCAATATATTCTGACCTAAGCTGCTTCCTGATAGTTGTAAAAGGAACCAGGTTTGCTCCTCTTCGCTTTTCAATTCTGTTTTTAATATTTTGATTTCGTTTATCCATGTGCATGTTGAGCGCGTATGTGAGCTTACCTACATTTATACATTGCGCAGATTGTAGTTATTTTTTGAATATAAAATACATTACAACTTGTGTTATTCGCTGGTGTGGCATACGTATAAGTAGCCCGTGTATTAAATTTGGACAAAAACAGACACAAATACATTATGAGAAACTCCCCCACCCCCACATGGAGGGGATTTCTTATGCAGGTATCAATGTTTGGACAGACGGGGTGGGGGAGGGGGGAGCGGTTACGGGAATAGGTGCAGCATTTGATGCTTCTCTTTGTTTTGCAATTATTTCTTTGGTCAAATTCCTGACCCCTGGGACTGGAAAATAGTTCAAATTTGATGAAATATCCCTTTATTTGGGATAGCAAAACCACAGCTTGAGGCAAAATTATTTTTGTGGTCAAAATCTTCAAATAGGGGCCCAAGAAAGTGCTCAAAAGTCGCACCTATGCCCGTACCCCTATCTCTCCACCTAAACATTGATACCCTCATTACGGCTACGTGTAACCTCCTTACCCTCCCCCTCCACTATTTCTTTGAGGCCTTGAGGAAATAATAAAGAAGGGCGAGGAAACCTCTTTTCCTTCTTGGGCAAGGGTATGGCTAAACGTTGGTAAATAGATGATTTTTTGTACAATGTATTGATCATCAACAAACTGCTATTTTATGATAAAGGTAAATGGAAACTAGAACATCATAACTGCTAAAAAGAAAACAGCTTGACTTTCCAGGCCCAGGTTGTTCAGGGCTTGAAATTATGACTGATATGGTCGCCAATACGACTAACATTTTCTCCTTGGTGACTAAAAAGTCTTGTTTAGTTGCCACTTTGGTGACCAGATTTCTCTATCATATGAGATTTAAATTAAAAGAGTAAAGTTAAAACAAACATTTCATCTTATCTTGCTTCGCTATGTGTCAATGTGCCAAATCGCCTGAACAAAGGCAGTTTACCTTCAGATTTATACTGAATCCGGTCTGCGATATTTTCAAACAATCAAATCTGTTAGATCGCGCCATACTATCAGCTGCGTCATTTACATTATACAAACTGGAGACTAAAAATTTACATCCTCAGGTTGCCAAAAGGCAACCTGAGGATTTTTTTAATTTCAAGCTGTGTTGGTCAAATGTTAGATAGAGCTATCCACTGGATAAATTACTCTCTAGTGGATAAATATTAGGGACAGTGGATAGAGATTTATCTCAGGCCAGGACTTTTGAATTGCTGTGGCAAAAATATTATGCCCCAATTATTCTCTCTTGACAAGATGCTTTATCGTGGCAAATACAGTAGAACCATGATAACTTGAACTCGGATAACTTAAACTCCCTGCTAACTTGAACTAAATTTCCTTTCCCTTGATCAAAATTTTCTCTGAAATTTACCCCAATAACTCAACTTTCCGCTAACTCGAACTGTTGTTTGTTTCCCTTCAGAGTTTGAGTTACCAAGGTTCTACCATATTGTTTTGTTTGCAGAATAAATTGCCTTCTTGGCAGCTTAAAGAAGATGGGGAGTATGCCTTGTCAAGAACTTTTGACTTTCATAAGTTTGCTGAGAACTTTAAAGCACAATCCTCTGATAAAAGGTGGAGTAGTGATTCAAACGGACTTGAACAAGACTTTACTTCAGCAAAATCTACTGGTCAACCGTCTCTAAGCTGTGATTCAGATAGTGAAAATAGTGAAGATGATGAAATATTTCTAGTGTTTAGAGGAAAACCAAACAGTCGGCTTTCAAGTTTTGATGAGTGCCAAGCTGCTGCAGGTAAAAGCAACAACCAATAATGAATCCTCTATCAAACCTTGCGGGGCCTTATTTATTTCAAGTACATTAAAGTGCCTATCACTTAAAATTTTTTATTTTCTTATCTGAAACTAGACCTTATTAAAATAACTTTTGCGAAAAAATTCTGCGATTTGAACCAAAGACGATTTTTTTAGAATTTTATAAAAACATTCAAATTTGCCGCCATTTTGGCACACCATTCGTCTTAGCCTTCTTTCGGGGTTCGACATACTTTAAGGAACATGTGACTTTATCGACAGGAAAACATTAAAAGTTCTTGTAGGTTTTTCTGTTTCAGAAAAAATTTCTTCTTGCGAAGACATTGTGATTCAATCCTTACTCGTAATTATTGATCTTTTTTGTGTACAGCTGGTGAAGGAAAGGTAATGTGAGTTCCTAAATTTACGTCACGTGACGTCATGTATGAGTCTGCTAGTTTGCGTGATCAGTGGCGTGGGTGTACCGCAAAAATGTGGACCTCAAAAATTGGTTAAAAAATCGCATTTTGTTGAAATGGCAAAATTTTTTTGCAGAAGTTATTTTAATAAAGTATAGTTTCAGATAAAAAAATTAAAAATTTTAGGTGATGGGCACTTTAAAGGGGTGGTTATTTGAGAGGGGGCTTATTTAATTTAGCGAAGGTGATGGTGTCAATTCTCCATAAAATCTAAAAGTAAACTGAAAAAGCTCAGACACATGAAGTTGGAGGTCATGCATCCGAAGATCAAAATCAAATCAGAACTTCCAGCATGTGGACAGATCATACCAGATCACTGATAAGTCCACATGAAGTGTTACAGTCTACCACTTATTCTGAGAATGAAGGGGGAGGGGAAGGGCAGTTTTATAACTTTCTTCCTCTGAAAATGGGGGATGGGGGGTAGGGGCTTATTAGAGAGGAGGGGCTTATTTGAGTTGGTGGGGGTGGGGGGCTTTACGGTAACTATTAAAAGTATTGCTTGTAAAGCATCTTTTTTGAAAGAAGATTAAGATGATGTTGTGTTACCAAAGATGTTTTCTATAACAGTAAATATTACTAGGGCAATGCTAAATAGCAGTGCCTGGTTTCCCCAAGCACCTTACTAATTTACTCTTGGATGACTAGGAAATTGTAGTTTTTGCAGAAAAAATAAATTGTCATATACTGGACACCCTGAATTTTATAGGTTTGGGACTTTGGGCTCCCTTAAATCGGTATTTGAACTTATGAAATTCTATACCGTTATAACAAGAGGAGACTTTTTTCTTTTTTTGTATATTTGAAAAATATGGATTGGATTGAAACACGTATTTTTATTAAAATGAAAAATGTTCTTTTTTGACAGGACTTTCTGAACTTTCAAATGGAGAACTCTCAGACCTAAAACAGGAAATGGCTGCTTATGTCAAGGAGTACTCAGATGTTCTCATAGAGGAATTAACATTAAGAGAAGAATTAGAAAGAGAAAAAGAAGTCAAGAACAAATTTATATCCACTTTATTAACTGTTCAATCAAAAATACGAGAGTTACAAGCTGGCCAGACAAAAGGCAAAAAGGGCTTTTCTACAAATTCAGGAAAGGTAAACATAATTTGTACACGAGGGTTATTGTACTTTGTTGTGTTCATCAAACTTTGACCATTCTCATTTTAAGTGACTTTTTACATTTAGACATGTGCACCGTAAGAAACCTGGAGGATTAAACGTGGTAGTTTGATAAATAGTTGCTGTTGTCTCAGAGATGCTTCATACACAGTGCAGATTTAATTGATGTATTTGTCAATAATTAACCCATTTAAACGGGTGCAAAGAAAGTCAGTTTACAGCTTGCCATTCAGGCAAGCTGTAACTAGCATTTACTAGCCCAAGAGTGATTGTAACTAGCCCCCAATTTTTTTTTGATGACTAGAATTGACTACAGTTCTTCGGTGCTTTAGAAAAAACTTCATTTGCCCGTCGGGCTAGTTAAGAACAGAATTCCCTTTTCCTGCTACCGGGTGCAACTTTCTTTACACGCTGATTTAAACCCTTTATCAGTATTCATTTTTACCACACTGTTCTCAAGGGATTTGTATTGATGTATTGTCAATAATCACTTATATTAAAACCCTAATATCAGAATAAAATTTTAAATATTCTCTGTACTGTCTTTCATACATTTTCCATGCTACTTAAAAAGAATTTCATTAACAATCAAGACCTTTTTCACTTGATTATGAACATTTCCTCTTTGTCACATTGTTACTTTTAGTTGAGAGACAAAACTAATGGTTCTTATGATTTTTTTTGGTTTTCAGTACTTGACCACAGTAATTCCTTACGATGACTTTGATGGAGGTCCAAGCACAAAAGTGTTACTACAATTAATTGAAAGTAGGTGTTAAATTTTATACTGTCTTGAAGTGTTCCTAACTATTATTGAATGGCTATCTACAAGTGAAAAATCCCTCCCAAGCTGATGATATGATGAAAGATATAATTTGTTTGTAGTTATGGATGCACTTCTTGCTGACAGCCCCACTGTTCCAGGATTGTTGACAGAATATATACTTAAAGGTGAGTGCAAGGCAGCAAGTGATATATATACCTCTGGCTCAGATGTATGTAACTTAACAGTGTGCAAAGAAAGTCATGTCCTGTAGTCCAGGGCTAGTAGATTTTGCTATTGGGCTAGTGTTTTTGTTCTTAACTTGCCTGAAGGGCAAGTGCTGTTTTGGGGGGAAATTCAAATTACAGAAGCATTGTTATCAATCCTGCTAATCAAAAAGGGTTTTGGGGCTAGTTGAAATGACTTGTGGGCTAGTACATGCTATCTACAGCCTGAATGGCAGGCTGTAAAACTGACTTTCTTTGCACCCTGCTTAACTTGAGTTATAGATAGAGGTAGGAAAAACATTGAAGTTCTAGACTTACCTTATGCGCCAACATAATAAGACTAGTTACATGAGGAGATAATATTTAGGGCTTGGGCCAAGAGGGCCAGCCTTTTGACTGGAATTTAACTTATTTGCCTCGTGGCACAAAGAATTAAAAGTATGTACCTTTGTGGCCCCGTTTGTGGAAACATTTGATAGTATTACGCACTGCATAAATCACTATCCAAAACATAAGTATTAGGGAAACTGGTGAATTATATTATCCTCTGGATAAAGATTTATATTTTATACATTATTATAATATAATAATCATCTAACTTTTGAACTACTGGGCTCAGAAAAATATTGTTATTTTTTGTGACACAAAATAAAATGCTCTCTGTATTCAATCTGTAATCAAAGTATCTCAATTTATTAACCTACATGTTGTCACTAAGGGGGTGGGGGAGGGGTGGGGGGTGTTTGAAGGTGTGACTCACCTTAGGCCTAATGTTCCTCCCTATCTCAATTTTCATGATCCACCCTTGAATGATGTTTGAGATATTCACACCTCAACCACTCATAAATGCCCCCCTGTAACCTTTTTCCTTGTACACTTGTAACAGACATGAATAGACAGCTTATACACCTAACTTGCAAATCCCTGACTCATTGGCTAATTCGACCTAGAATAAATCCTGAATCCATATTTCCTTTACAGTACTGTGTGCAGAGGATTAGTCACCTACAACATACATGGCAGCCTTCAAATGTGAGTATGAAGGGTATTACAAGCTGTATGAACAAAGTCATTAATGTATCCTTTGCTCATAGTATCTCCTGGCCATGTTAACTGCAAACTATGTTTAGATGTGGGGGTTGGCCCAATTTTGATGAGGTTTATAATGTGTGTGTGTGTTTTTTTTCACTACTATTTGAACTCAGTTTGAAACCCAACCTAACAATTTTACTGTAAGTACCATGTGCAGCAAATTGACATTATAACATTGTATTATAGGTTTGCACTGAGACTACCACAGAGCATATTGTTTGCATGTACAACTGAATACAATGTAGGACACCAGTCAGAGTATAACCCATTGACTTCTTAGAGCTGCCATCCACAAGGGTGCAGTGGATGGGTGCAACTGATCACATAGGATGTACAGGAGTATGTTATCTGCTTTATAAAATGGAACAGACAGAAAGTATCTCATTGCCATGGAGAATTTTGCCTTGAAGAAGACATAAGGCATTACAAATTATGTGAGGTTGCAGTTAGCTCTTTGTTTGAAATTATGAAATTTGTCTTTTTGAAATGATGGACTTGGAGCTCAATGATTGCTAATAACTGAGGCTAGTCCATCCAAAAATTTCAAAAGAGTCATAAGAGAGCAAAAAATTTTATAAAATGAGTGAAGGCCACTTCAAGTTATCAGATTGAAAATATTGTAATTGCGCAAAGTCAGTATCAGCTATTAGTTTTGATCACAAGCTGTGTTTTAAGTCTCTCAAATTTAAATTGAGGTTTGGCCCAAGATAGACTGCCAGATGAAACTAAACCTCTGGTTAAGTCTTTCTGCGAGCCAGCACCAAAATCCTTGTTCTGGGTTCCCAGCTGTGCACCAGGATTTTTAATGTGGGCCATCATTGGCCCTTCACAAAAACTATTGTTCAATTGGTCAGTGGGGCTAAAGTGGAATTTGAAATGCACTACTGGTAATTTCCAGAACAAGAATCTCGCTGCTGCTTGGCAGCTGTCCGTGGTTAGTCTTCATCTACAACACTGTCAAGGCCCAAAAGCACTTATTTTGTACAGTTGATGTTCTAAGTGGAAAACTGTTTGACTCGTACACATCTTTGAAAAAGATGCTACATGTAAAGTCAGTTTTTCAGTCAAGACATTACAAACAGGAGTTTTTTTGTCCTTGTTGCTTAAAAGTGATGTTCTAGTCCTATGAAAGAGCAAGTATTTATTTTTAAATAATAATATTTTAAGAATTTATTAGCGTTTATTTTGTATTTAATTTTACCCATTAAATATTTTTACAGAATCTCTTTCTAATTTTTAAGTCACGTAATACATCATTAATTTTGCATAATTTGTTAAAAGCTGTGATAGCATTGCTTGATGACTCAAACAGTGGGCCTAAGGTACTTGGCAGATTAGATCTTAATCTTATAATTTAATTTGGATAATTATTACAACATATTGCCAAATATATAATAAATTATTGTAAAAAGAAATATTAATATATCCTTATTCAATAAATACCAATTTTCTTAAAGATCCAGTGCCTAAATCTTTGTGTTAGTTTATATCATCAATGGACATTCTCTTGTTTTCTAGGTTTGCCACTTGTTTACTTTATACTTGCTGGCCTCAACCAGCTATCTTTTCTAGCTTTACCTTCGAGATCATTAACTTGAGAGGTTGCCTTAGAAAACAGCTGGTATTTCACAACAGCACCACTGGTTTTTCCATGAAATGATATATCTGTGGAATGGCCGCAGAAATTCCATACCAATGACACATCACTTCCAGGATCTGGGTAGTGATTTGGATTGGTTGAAAATTTGCTTCATCCAATCAGAAGCACTACTGAGATCTGGTTATTGACGTGTCATTACAGACAAGTACGGAATTTCTGGGATCGTTCCTCAGACGTCATTTTGCAGGGAGACCAGTGGTAGCTTTCTCAGGCTTTTTGAGTGGGGGCAAGTTTTAAACGCAAGCTAATTGTTGCTTTATGGTGGGTGGGTGCTTAGACCAGTGTTTAAATCCCAGAAAGCCTGATTTTTCTTAAAGTTTTCTTTTCGCAGCTGCGTTACTTGATTCTTAATCTGCGATGGTTTTCCTTGCATTCATTTGCACCCTGTGTTGTTGAGAATTTAAGGTCAATCCCCCTACCCCAGAGTGGAGAATCCCTCTAGCATTTTGATTTGTATACACCTCGTTGCCACATCATGGTGAAAAAAGCATCACAAATATCAGATTTGACAAAACTTTCTGTTTATTGGTATGGAGGATGCTATACCTTGCTAGACAATTTGTGTTTTACTTTGTGTTACAATAATATTATGTGCAAAATATCTGACAACACAACAATTTTTTCCACTTCTCACTGAGGAAAAAAATTCAGTCCTTTTATTTGGGTTGATAGTCATTACCTGATAACTCTCAAATACAAAATGTACATCAAACAAGTGGATGGAGACTTTTTGGCTTAAGGCAAACTGTCATTTGCCAAGGTACCTACTTCATTTTGGCAATTCCACTTTTAAAATGATTATTAGTAATGGTACTATTCACATCATAGAAGAGCAGCAAATATTTACCTCCTTGTACAACAATGTTCATATGACTATCATGTCCTCACAGATTGAAAATTATCATAGTTACATCTTCATTTAATGACAAGTAACAGCTTATTTTGTGGCTTTAACTATCTTAATGTGTATTTGTATGTATTAGCTGTCTCTTGAGTTCCGTACGACTGATGAGAAGAACTGATTGAACTTTCCACAAATTCAGCAGACGCTGGGTTCCCTTGTGGCTGGAGGAGTAATCTTTGGTGGGTGGGTATGGATACGAGTCACTAGAAAAAAGATGACAACATCTGATTAGAAAAAACTATGGCATACAATTCCTGCAAATTGAGTATACTGACGAGGCTATGTTATGGTAAAATTCCGAATGAAACAGCAACATAAGACAGCTGAAATGGTAACAATGACACAAAGATGGCTTCAGACTATGACAGCAATGAAGAAAAGCAGAAATATGATAGTAAAAGATCAATAGGAACGTGACTTCTTCCTTAATATGAGAAATGATGGGTTTCGAAATTCAGACTAGGAACATAGTGTACCCCCCTCACCCAAGAGTTCCTCAGTGAGCAGGTAAGGTTCCCTGAAGCCCTGCCTTTGGGGAGGGGGGGGGGGCTAACTGAGAAGGAGGGAAATACATTGGAACCCTGATAGAAAGATATGTCAAGGGAGCAGTAAATTTATATCGTTATATCGAAACTCCCGATATCAAGATATGGCTGTAAAATATCCGAAAATATCATTTTATTGGGGTAAACCTATGAGAATTGAATGTCAAATCACAAGGATGATAATTATAAAGGGGATAAAGTTGATAAAGAGGATTAGAAAACAGTATCATTTTTGTGAACGAAACATTAGAGATTACTCAATTTCTGTAATGTTATTCTATCAAATTAAATGTTTTGCTTACATTGTGATTGTGTACTGATAATACTGTTATATTGGCAAAGATTTTACGTTTGGTGCACTAAATTAATTCTCATTGTTATTTCGAAGATGGTTGTATCGGATTCTTGTCCCACACATTTTGCTGTAACTTTTGCCAGGACGTAGAATATTCACAGTTATACCAGGAACATCAATATATCGGGCTTTCACTGTACAAGGCACATAGTATTAGTAACTTACAGTAACCCAGTCCTTGGAGAAACAGAATCAGTGAAGTTGCTACTTTATGTGGCTGCTCTTCCAAAGGCATGCCTCCACTCTCAGACACTTTGAAGTAGTTAGATATCTCTGGATCAAGCCTTGAGTTGGTATTCACTACGTCATCTTGGTGCGGAGAGTTATCTCCTGTTATCAGTAAAGCTGCGGACTTCAGAGCAGGGACTTTCTTGGCACTGGTCTTGTCAGGGCGTTGCATTTGAAGGTCTGAGCGATGCAAGTAAGAGTTAATAAAAAGAGCCAGGTTGCGAGGAGATAGTGCAGAGTGAATGCTTTGCTTGAAGGCATGGACCAGATCCAAGTTTTCTTCTTTTGTCTTTTTGCCAAAATGGTGCCATAGAAGGTAGTCTTCAACAAATGTTGTAAGTCCCTTGTTTTGGAGCTGCCTGACACATAACTGAAAACAAAAACATGAAAACATTACCAAAAAGGATTTTTCATCTACTCTGGCTCTAGCTGGGCATAACCTCTTGTAGACTTGGTGTGAAGGGTGACTAAACAAAAACTTTGCAGTTGCCAGATGGCAAAAACAAGTCAAAACAAACCTTAAAAAAAAACTAATAATAGAAAAGTCTCAATTTTAAAACCCAAAATCCCAAGATACCCCTTTTGCTACCCTTGTAAAATAATATTAATGAAATTAATATTCAAACTTCATGCTTTGTGTGGAATTCTGGACGCTCATTGGCTGTCTGAATGGAGGGTGTTGATGGCCTTACAAGACACAAATTTGCATGTGTTAATAACTTTCATCAGTGACTGTTTTTTGAACCATTAGAGAAATCTGAACAATAACTTATAAAAATTAAAAGATAATGCAGTCATCTTCCCTTGAAAAATTATTTTCATTTGTTTGCAATGTAGATATTCTGACATAAAATATGTTTTGAACTTCTTGCAGGTGGTTCTGTTGATGTTCACTTAGAAAAAGTTGATTTTGCAATGCAGAGTAGTTCGTTTAAATATTAAAAGTTTCCTGTTTGCAATTTACCAACAAACAAATGCACTTGCTAGTTATAGAATAACATCGAAAAATTCTTCATGCCGCACTTGGCTACTCCTCATGCAGTATTTGATTTTCTCGTTCATTCTACAGCCAGTGTTTGAGTTTGTTTGTCAGTGGAGCGCTTATATCAGTCTCACTGTCTCTAACCTTTCAATAAACATGTCACTCTCAAAATTATATTGCTATATTGCCTCTCACTTGTTTTGATGATTTTTGAAGGAAAATTTTCAGCTATTTTCACTCTGTCTAAGTTTACTTTGAATTCACCTACCTAACAAAAACAATTAAGAAAGATGACATTCTCAGCTTGTAGCAAGGGCGTTACAGAGAAAAATGGATCCAAGGATGAAATCAAACCATGATCAGGGGTAGTTGCTGAATTTTTCCTTAAGTCTGATCGATCCTTCGCTAGCAAAATGCTTAATTTATTGCGCCTTCTTTATTTTCATTCTTCAAGGCTAATTTTGTTTACCTTGACAAAAAAACAGCATCAGCTCATTGGGGAGTGTGATAAATAATTACTGACCCTTAGCAAATATACACACCAGGTGATTTGAAGCTGAGCTGCTAAATGGAAGCAAATTGCTGTGAATCTCACGAGCGGGCTATAAAAATATTATTGTTAGAGATACCTTTTGATATCCCCAATCTATCCATCCTCCATTAGAAGCAACCAATTCCACCAGCACTAACGCTTCAACTCTCGTTGGATGCCATAGAGCATATCGGCAGAGGATATTAGCTCCAGCGCCGATTCCGAAGCCAATAAATCTCTTGATTTCGAAAAAATCTACCACCTCTCCAACCATGTCCGACAACTCATCAATCGTCGGGTACCTGTATTCTTCTGGTAGATCGTCGCTGTTGTCTTCTTGGCCAGGAGCATCAAGATGGAAGATGCAGAAATTATCAAGGAGCGGACGATTTTCAGTGAAGTTGAAAAACCCAAGAAATGCTGATGTGTGGTTCTGTCCAATATCGTGGAACGTGACGATGGCGGGCTTCCCTGTTTTTCCCTGTCGAGTCACACGTATTTTACCGCGAGATGTTTGTATATCATGTTCAGACAGAAGAGATACGAATGCTTCAGGATTGTCAAAAACTTTGGGTTCAGATTCGTGAATATCAATGGCTGTTAGGCCCACTAACGGAGTAGAATCCGCCATCGCGCTTTTGTTTTCGAACTTTTTGCGAAGATGTTTTGCAATGTTTGATGGGATTTGTGTCAATATTAGTATACGTTTCGTTACATGTACATGACGTATGAATCTATCTTCATGGTGATTGTAAAATGTAAGATTTTCTCAACCTTGTTCTTTCTAAAGTTTTAATCTAAAATACTTGCACTCATTAGCATTCAAGGATGAAAAATAATACATCTGAAAACGGGGACAATGAAGAAAAGAAATCCGCTGACAGCCTCGTTGCTGACGATGGATCAGCTGAAGTTGACCACAACATTTCTGAAGATGATATAAAAGATGTAGTAGAAGAGAATTCGAAGCTTCTTGAAAAACCTCTCACCGATCAAGAACGTCAGTTGCTCTACGATAAAGGAATCAAGTAAGTTTTAGGGACGAGGAGGTTGATACAGCACAATTATTTTATGTTTGAAAGAGATCATGTACACCAGCCCTGACTTGAGATTATTCTTGTTGTAAAAAGACTTACTTATGGTGGTATGCAGTCATGTCACTATGCCCGCCAACTCTCACGCATTATGCGCGAGTCTCACGCTTGTGGACTAATGACATCGATCTCACGCATTAAGGACAATTTCTCACACCTGACTCACAAATTCAGACGATTTGTTCTTTAACACGATTGATAACAAAATTAAATTTAATATTTTTGAAAATATTCCAAAAAGGCGCTCAATTTTATCACAACACACTTAAATGTCGCCTTTGAAATTGCTTCAGAAGTGCTCATAGGTTGTCGGAGCATCTGTGGACATTTTCGGCAATGTTCGGAAGTCTTCGGAAAAATTGTCAGAAATGTTTCTGATATTCCAATAATGACAAGGGGAAAACCTCACGCATTTGACTCAGAAAAAGTTGGCAGGTATATGTCACAGTCAAATGAAAATTTAATCTCATTTAAGCGCATGGTATGTGGCCTTGTTGTTCTAACTATATTAAACTTCTCCAATCTGATTGGCTGTCGGTCTGGTAGCCCTGATTTGAACGTTAATAGGTAAGTTCAATATTTTTGTCTTTTGTATCATCCTTCAAGTACACAAACTTTTTTTTCTCTCTCTCTCTCTATTTTTATCTTTTGCAGATTCAAGGTAAGATGATCAAAGAGAACAAGTGTTAAATTGCATGGGGATGTTCCTGGACGTTTTGGATGGGGCTGTACTGCTGAAACCCTGGAACCCTTAAGCCTATCACCAGAGAATGCTAAGGACATTTTGCAACCCTATACTAGACTAGGCACCAGACTAATCATTATTATTTTCCTTGAATGATACCCTATATTTCGTGACCCAGATTTTCTGATTTCTTTTCCATAACCCAAATAACATTACCCTTCATAGGGGCAGAGTATAACCCATATACTCTCCACTCCTCCTTCCACCCCCTCCCCCCCACCAACACCACTAGAGTCTTGAGATACTTCTTTTCAACCATAGACTTAGTCATCATTCCTGATTGTGTGTCAATTCCATGATGGAAACCTGAGACCTCAGACATGTAATTCACTGAGCAATCATCACCTGAAAGAAAAATTAAACTTTTTTGATGTAGTTATAAGCCGACAAATTATGTAAACATTAAAATGGGCCAAAATGTAAACTACTGTTTTTAACAGTATTATATGTTAACTCAGTAAAAGACTTCCTTATCTCATCTTAACTTGTCTCTAATTTAGGCTTAACAATTTAGAACATGATGTGGCCACACAGCTGACATATATTAGTGAAGATGAAACATAAAAATATTATTTTTCACTCCTTAACAGAAAAAAGGCAACACTCAGCATGCTCTTTATTGTCTTTTGGCCTGTGTGCGAGGTTTGAAAGAGGGATCTGTATTTCAACAGCTTCCAGAGTGTCTTCATAATGTGAGTATGTTGAGGAAATGGTAACCTTTCTTTGTTCCATATGTTGTGAGGAAGGGGACATTGGGGGGTACCCAGTAGAAAAACTGATACCGCATTTATGATCGGTCATGCTTACTTAAGTTGTATTCATCTGGCATGTTTGTTTATCTCAAGCATGTATGCGCCTGTAATCAACCTCAGCCATTGCGAGAAAATGCGAGAAGACCTTTAATTGATTGGTACAACTATCAAAAAGCCTGGTCATTGGGTGCCTTACTAATTTCATTATAGAATAACTGTCAGAAATTATTTAATCATTTACCAGGAAGTCTAAAGTCGTAAAAATATCGACCTGCGTTCGGCAGAAGAGGGCAAAAGAATACTACCACAATATCTTCAAAGATCTTCTTTTTAATACCTAATACCGTTAGCCAAAAGGATAAAAAATCACATACCATAGGGCTAAATGATACCGCAATACTACGCATTAAAATCAAAGTTACTGAAATGTCGCTCAGGAAAAAAGCTCAATACCACAATACCTTAAACCCCCATGTCCCTCTCTTTTTGTCGTGGTCTTTGGAAGGGGGGATTAGGGTTAAAATGGAAAAGTCATCTTCAGTTATTGACATTAATATTAACATTTCTTATTTTTGTTGTTGTGAACAGATAGCAGAAATTTACAGCCAACTTGAAGACTGTATCTTTTTAGTGTCACAAAATTAAAAGTGTTTCAACTGAAAGTGAATTTAGCTGAAAATGTTGCATAACTAAGTTAGATATATCACATGCTATCAGAAGGCCTGTACAAGATTTTAAGTCTTAAAGTAACCTACAATTAGATATAAGCATATCAACATATTTACAAAAATACTAAGCTGTTTATGATATTGTGCGATTTAAACGTCATATTGATGTCATGAAGATGTTGTATATGTATACCACTTGTTTTTTATCTAATTTTTCTTGTAACTTGTTAAAAATTGTTAGTAATTCCTCAACCTAATTTTTAGATGAAAATGCTGTTTCATTTGCTCAAGCAGAGAAGCTATATTATGAAACATCCCTCATCAATGTTAGCAGTGAAGTGCAGCAAGAACAGGAAGAGTCTGGTGGGTTCAGTGTGCAAAGAAAGTTGTGTCTGATAGCCTGCGAGTAGTGGATTTTCCTATTGGGCTTTTTAATTATATTCTTAACTTGTGCAATACTAGGCAAATGAATTTTTTTGGGGGAAATTCACATTAGAGAAGCAGGCGTGGATCCATACCAGTTTGCACCGTTTTACAGAAATCGGTCAGATTTTTCATAATATAAATATATTTTTAGTAAAAAACTTTAAACTTTCCAAGTCGAAATCTGGATAATGGTTTGGATGGTCAGTAAATATCCTGTTTGAATGACTCAGAAACCCAGGAAAGGGGACTTTGGGGGAGTTAAAATCCAAAAAATTTCCTTGGGGACCATGCCCCCTAAACGCCCTAGAAGTAGGAATTCAGTCAGTATTTATTCTAGATCCATGTGTGAGAAGAACTGTAATCAATCCTGCTCATCAAAAAAATTTTTGCGGGGTAATTGAAATGACTCTTGGGCTAATAGGTGTTAGCTTCAGCTTGCCCGAATGGTTGAGCTTTAAAACTGGCTTTCTTTGCACACTGGGGTTACAACTATGAAAAACTCATCACCTTTAGAAGACATCACCTTTCTTACCCTTCGTCAGTTATCAGCACAAGGGCATGGTTTTGTTATTTGTTTGTTCATTTGTTTGTGCCAGGTTTTAAAGGTAGTACTGGTAGTGTTGTGCAAGAAAAGAGTACAGAAGACAAACTAACTCAGGTTAGATTCGTTGCTTTTTTAATGCTGTAGTGTACGAGTAAGTTTTTTTTAAATTATTATTTCTTACAGTATTTTGTGTGAAGTAATTTTAGTACAAATATATAAGGCATAGTATATATCTCGCCAGCTGGATTTTTACCGCTACCGCCAAATAGACCTCTTCTGTCAAACATTCTCCAAAGTAGCCATTGTAAAACTGAAGAGTCTAACCATTGCTTTTTTTCTCTTCGTCTCCTTTCGTCCTCCTCGCTCTTTCTTTTTCTCCTTTCCAAATGCCTTTCCTTTTCATTTCCTGCTGTGATTTTCGAGCTTATCGGGTGCAAAAAACCTGCCTTTTGGCTCTTCGTCACTCAAATGAATTAGTTTTCAAAAATTTGGCTATAGATATAAGGTATAGAAAAAGAATATATATGAATAAGATATGCGAACGCGAGCCTTATTCAAGCAGAATACTCGCGAGTCTGTTGTAGCGTGCGAGTAAGTTCTTTCGGGGGTATGGGGAGGCAAGGAGGGAGAAAGAGATCCTTCCCCTCTTTCCCTTCCCACCCCTGGAGCCCCGGGGGATCTTGCTTGCAGGCTATCTGATTCGACTCGCTGTGAATTCTTTCTTTGCGGCCAGGGAGCTTCAGCAAATCACGCTGTCGATTGCCTCTTTACCTTTAAACTGTTTCGTCAATTTAGCTCCTTTAGGATTATACTTTTGTCTTATTTTTAGCCTGGTGCCAAAGACGATCCACAGGGAAACTCAGCTGAAGCTCGTTCAGCAAACGAATACGAGAAACTGGCGCACATGTGTTTGAAGCAGAAAAAGTAAGTGATTTGTTATTTTAGAACTTCACGATTACGTGACGAGAAAGAAGCTGAGAGTCAAGAAAGAACGTTATTGGCTGATAAGGGAACGAAATGACTGCAATCTTGGACAGAAAGTATTGAGAATTTTGCACTTTCTTACCCACAGAATGCCCATCCCGCGGATTTGGTACCGTTATGACCCCTCCCCTCGCCCCACCCTGGTCAAAATTGTTTAGTCGGAATCAGAAATGATGTAGCCGGACGTCAACATTGTTTTTTTTTCGGCTGGAAGGGGGAGTATTTGTAGTTGCCAGTTCTTTCAAAGCTTTATCTTGAAACTGGACATGGTAACGTCCATTTTTATCAACATTTTAGTGCTCCCGTCCTTTTCTTCGCTCTCGAGCGTTTTCGAAGTTCTCTTATCGCCTTAAAAAAAACCGAAAATGGCTGGCTGCGAAACCGATGAAAATAGAAAAATTGACAAAGGTATTTCTCTTGAATTACGTGCGGCGTATGGCCAGAGAAGACATGCGTGCATACAGTCCTGTTATGTGTTATTTCTGAAATTTTCTTGTCATTTCTTTATTCTCTTTGCAGTGCTCAACTTGCGCTGGAGTATTGTGGTAAGGTAAGAAACTTCTCGGTTATGTAATCAGACAGTCGAACCGCTGTTCTCAACGGCCAGAACGAGAATGCATTCGCCACGGCCAACTCAGCGCAACAGAAACAACCATATTTTTTTGTATGAAATAAGTTTTTCTGTGGCTAATTAACATAATTTAACACGTGAACTCGACGATACGATAAAACCTCAATTTTAATTTACTACTGGAACTTATGGAATGGTCTAAACCGCTTAAATTGATGTAGCGACTAGTTGTGACTTTGAAAAAAGGTATTATCTTTGTCGTTGTTCATCTCGCCAACCACAGGTTTTAAGGTGGTCGGTAAACCACCCTCACCTTTGGTCTAATATCCCATAAAATCAAAGTTTTGTTACACTTTTATGCTGCATTACATTTATCTGAAAGTTCAGTTCTTTAGTGCCCCATGCCTGCTTAGTAGGCGCTTGGAAGTGGTGGGCGAAAGAGAGAACGGGCGCACGCGAGGGAGACACGCGAGGGGTGATGGTCTTCTCGCGCGCTTGTTTTTTCTTGTGCCCACTACTTCCAAGCGCCTGCTACGCAGGTTACCCATAAAAAGCACACTGACTTGACGCGATTGTCTGAAAAATTCACCAGGCTGTTAAACTGCGGCAATCAATCTATGGAGAAGCACATCCAATAACGAAACGAACATTGGATCTGTTTACTGTCATCTATGCGGAGATGGGAAAGGAACAGTACTCGGGTAAGAGAATGTGCGTTTTGCGATTTGTTTTAGCCTGCGAGCAAGCTCTCTGGGGAGCTCTGGCGGCGGAGCGGGAAAAGGAAGGAGAGCTTGCGACTACGTCTCTGGAATTTGAATTCCACTTCCAATTCTCTGTGGCTCCTCGTTAGCCTGCGTAGCTGGCGGTATTGTGTAGTAGTCGAGTGAGATTTGACGGCGGAGTCGTCACGCGCGGCAAAGCCGCGAGAAATACCGCCTCGTCCCTACTCCTCTTTTTTAGGAACACGGCTCCGCCGCCAAAAATTTAATCTCGCACCCACACAACGCCGCCAGCTACGCAGGCTAGTTCCTCGTCGACTGAGCTGTCAGATTTCCACCAACCAGCGTGAAGCGGAAACGAGCGCGAATGTAAACAAACATTGAAAAACACGTGCTAAGGGTAATGACGTCATTACTAATGTCATCTCCGCCAATCAGTATTTCGCATCGACTCTTTTGATGCAGCTATTCAAATTCCAGTAGCCTGAGTATCAGGCGTTTCTGGGGAAAAGGGGAAAGATGGAAGCGAAAAGGGGAGAGAGCTCCCCCCTCCCCCCTCCCCCATCTAAAATCTCCTCTCCCCTAGCCCCTTAGGAAGGCCTGATACTCAGGCTAAATTCCAGAGACGTAGTTGCAAGCTCTCCTTCCTTTTCCCTTCCCGCCGTCAGAGCGCCCCGGAGAGCTTGCTCGCAGGCTAGATTTGCTTCTATATATCAGTCGTATAGTAGGCGCCGACAGATCGTTTTTATGTAGGAGTATCATAAATCTTCTCAGGAATACATTAACGAAGATTACGTCATAGGGTCATTGCCCCTAAGGACCCTGAAGTACAAAGAACGAAAAAGCAAAGAACTTTCAGTTGAAATATTAGATCAAATCTCGATTTGCCTTTTCAGGGCGCGTACGGAACAAATGTCCAATAATGACGTTTTATAACTAAACGCTCGGCAAAAGTTGTTCGAACGATGGATAGCGCTATCCACCGGATAAATCACTATCACTAAGTCGTGAATTGCGCTATCTAGTGGGTAGAGATTTATCAAGTGGATAGCCTTATCCACCTTTTTAACCACTGGGGCCTGAAGGAAATTAATGGGTAATGATGACGTTGCGTTTTAATAAGTCCCTATATATAATTTATGCAAAATTATACGTACTCCTGTTGTCAGTTATAAGCTATCATGACGTTTAGATGTTGGCCCTTCTTTCTTTTTATCAGTTTAAAGGGGACGTCAAAAAATCCACACTGTTCACTCTGATTGTTTTTTGTTTTTTACCTCTTCTTCTTCAATGGTGACATATGCCACAAAATAATTTTAGATTTTTGTTATCTTTGAAGCTAAAATCAAATCAGGAATTTCTAGCTAGTACTTGATTAGTCACTGATACAAGGTTAACGATAACCTGCGAGCAAGCTCTCTATCTGGGGACATCGTGAGATGTCACGCGCGATAGGAGACGCGAGATCATCCCTCTGCCCCTTGCGGCTTCTCCACTCACTACTGAGCACGTTCTCGCGCGGCTCGCTTTGCGCGACACTCGAGATAGAGAGCTTGCTCGTAGGCTATAGTAACGGCATCTCGAATTCCTTTCAGCTGCTATGCAGAAATTTAATGAAACCAAGGAATCTAGCGAGGAAAATGCTGCCAAAACTGCGCAACCTCCTCAACCCAAAATATCAACTGCGGAAAACTCTGAAGGAGATGTAAAGTCGTCAGCGGATTCAAGACAGAGCCCTGTTGGAGAGTCTCACCGGGAGGAACCCAGTGCGGCCACGCCCGATGCACAGGACAACCAAGAAAACAGTACGTAGAGAAATTACGTCCTGCTAAAGACACTTCATACTCTGCACTCCTGCCATCGTCAAGAGTGCAACTTCTTACCTTCCACTTACTTTCTAAACTTCCATTTCGAAACCAACTCTTCTTTTAGCGTTTGTTTAAAATTTTCTTCCTACTCGCAGGAGTTCGAGCCGCATTTTACAAAGTTGTAGACAAAACGGGTCGTTATACGTTTCTCGGAAACTGCCCACCCACCCCTCCCCTAAGCCAACATTCATACTTACTTCCCACTTAGGGCAAAATTTTGGCTTAGGGGAGGGGTAGGTGGGCAGTTTCCAAGTCAGTTCCTACAGTAGGGAGATTTAGTAACGACAGTGACAAAAGCGCGCACAGATCAAAATCTGGCTTGACCAATGGCAGAGCGACAAATAGAGCACCGGGAAGCGGGTTTAATCCTTTCTGTGCTCTTTGGCGTTGTCATTTGATGTTGAGTTGTCTTTGATAAATCTGCCTACGTAAGTGTCGAATGCGTCACACTTCAACTCCACAGTCTTGAAGGCTAGACTACCAACAACGCATTGTACAACTGGTTTAAGGCATGCTAAACAGTACCACAGGGAAACAGAAGCCAATAGTTTTTTCCTGAGTACTTGATAACATTTGTACATTGTAATCTCCTCCATATCCCAAAAAAAACACAGAAGAAAGAACTCTATTGAAGGACTCCATGCCCTCTTTTCTTGCAGGTTACAGAATTGGAATCACTCCTAGTCAAGCTATGTTTTGTTTTTTCCTTCTTACAACAGCAGTAGCAGTTTGTGTGACCTTACTTTGTTGTCACGTAAGTGGCACGGACCCCCTGACAACGTACAAGTACATTGTGACGCGGCTCAAATTTTATTATTACTATTATTTGAGACGGGCACCTTCGGGAAACAAATACTTCTGATATAGGTCTTCCATGGAGGTCTCCTGTCTCAACAACTGTAACTGATCTGAAAAAAAAGAGAAGCAGTTATAAGCTTGTCTATGGTACGTGCTACCGCCGTGTTCAAATACCTCTATAAGTGAAAAGATCCACCAGGAAAGAATTAGCCATTCCGATATTCCGTTAATAGTTACATAATCTTTTTATTTCTTGTTACCCACCATTTTTACACTAAGCCTGCTCCCCCCCAGAAGAGCCACTGACAAACATGTTGCATTGTAGTATTGTTCTTTTATTATGCGTTTTTATATAAATCGCCTCTTGTAAATAGATGTCAATCTTTTGGCAAAATATTTAACAAATGTACTAAGTGGAAGAATATTCTATTTAACGTATCGCCTCGTGTTTAATGTAAGGAAAAATCGATGAATTAAAAGGTTGTTTCTATATATATTTTTGAATTTCTTTTTGCTATTATTTAAGGAAACCCCGCTGCGTTGTGGTGGCTTGATCACATACCGTAAAATTCCGAAAATAAGCCCTGGGGCTTATATTTTTCAAAGGCCCTTTTTGATGGGCTTATTTTTGGAGGGGCTTATATTCGGAGGAGCTTATATACGGAGGGAAATTTGCGGTTCAAAATCGATTGGGCTAGCCTTATAGTTGGAAGGAAATTTACCGTTTTTGCTTTGTTTTGCTTTGTATTTGAGGGCAATTTCCAAGTACAAACCCACGGGGGGGGGGGCTTCTATTCGGAGGGGCGATTTAACGGGGGTTTTTACGTTACGAGTTTGGGGGGCTTATATTTGGAGGGGCTTATTTTCTGAATTTTACGGTAATTACTTGCAGCTAACTTATTTACGACCCTGTTCAACTGTATGGAAATGTAAAAGAAACGTTTCTGTCTCGTAGCTTATGTCTCTAGCTTATGTCACGTAGCTTTGAAAGGTTAGCATAAGTGTCATTGGGTGAAGCAGGGTTGGACACCTCGTGAGGTTTACTCAACGGATTATCCCTCTTACATAGAACTGAGCAAACCAAACGGCGGTTCATTTCTCGGAGAAGTGAGAATGTGTTGTCTTTAGATTATCCACCCCTTGAAATTTTGACGAGAAGCCGTTTGGCACTATTGGAGCCGTATTCTGGTCACTTGCTGACCAAAAAGAGAAGCTTGACAAAAAGTTATTTTCAAGTCCATCTCAGACAGGCTTTTGTTCTTGCTGGTAACTTACCGCCTCCGAAGTACGGGCACGTGGTTTTGTTTCTAAGCAACTGCGGACCCTAATCGTGCAGGTAACTTGTGATTCCATCGCGCTTGGATCACATTTTTGAGAAGCGAATCTACGCCCAATCCCTCGGCTCTCGCTTCGCGAAGAACATATTAGGATAACGCAGAGCTGCGCTCTTATCCTAGCATTGAGAAAGATGTTTTTTTGAGTCAGTGACACACTGGCTCGAAAGAGAAAATCTAAGTACTTCCGACAGAAGTTGGCGAGCCCATGACCTTCTGATTACTAATCCAGATGCTCTACCACTGAGCCATAGGACACTCGTGAAAGCTGTGGCCACTAAACTAAGCGGTCAGCGAGCACAAGATGAGCGCGTTTTTGATGTAACGTTTTTGTGTGCATTTGTTTATTTATGACAACTTAAATGTCTAGTTACTTTTCCAAATGGCCCAGCCACTCAGCGGGATTAAGTTAAGAGTTAAGCTACGGCTAAGGTGGCTACTCCTCAAAAGTTGAATCTCCCTTGTTTATATTTTATGCTTCTGGGTAAACACCTGGACCAAATTTCTGCAAGAAAGAACATATTCCTCCGCTGTAAAAAAGAAGTGCTCTTTGCACGCTTAACGGACCTAAAGGCCTGGACGCTGAGTAAGGCAGAGCTCAGGCAGGCCTGGTGCCTCAGTACCCTGAAACCATGTCGAAGCACAAATATGGCGGCCCAGGAGGAGTGGTGTTTTGAGGAAGAAGGGTGCTTACAATTTAGTGGCCGACCAATTTCAGTCACATTTTCACCCACCTCGAACTGCTTCATCTGTACGCTCGAGGATGGAACGATTGAGGTTGTGGATGCGCGTTCCAGTCTGCGATTAAAACACACCGCTCCGGCAGGTAAATTGAGAAGTGATGAAGCATGTGTTTAAACTTTGCACATGAGTAACTGCGGATATTTCTCTGTTCGCAACTGTTACTACCTACACACAGAAAATCTTTTTTATGTTCCTCCCAAGTCTTGATTGGGGAGTGCTGTATTTGAACTATAAACATTTTTCCTGTTTAAAACTGTCTAAGGATGATCGCAGGAAGTGCTTCATTTGCCTCAATCTAAGCGATTGATCGATTTTGATTGATTATTACTCATTTGGTGAGCATGATTGAGGCTTGATTGAAGGTTACGTAATAGTCTTTCTAATAACTGTGTTATCTTTCCTTTACTTTTTAAAATATGTTCAAGTACAACGAAGATGCAATGAAACCCTTTAGTGGATTAATCTTCATAGACTTAAGCTTAATTGAGTTCTGCCAGTGAGAGTTTCAGTTATTGGTTACCCTAATATCCTGGTCAACAAACTTACTCTTTTTTATCCTGTTAGTGGTGAATTGTGATTAGCAGGGGTATTTTGCAGAATGTCAAATACTTAATATCTCTGAAGGTGGGTAATTATAGGGTTGGAAAACTGAGTGAATTAATGGTTACCGGTCGTTACGATACAACAGTGTTCTCTTTATCAGGCAGTAACTGGTAAAATTTACCGTCTGAAGCAACATCTCTTACTGCCTTGAACTGCTTGAAGTTTAATTAAAATGAAATAAGTTGTTTTAAAAAATATGCAAGTTGTGATCCGATCCAATCTGATCGAGGTAATGAATGAATATATGGAAGTGTACTAAAGTATACACAGTGACCACGCATTTTGGAAAGAGAACATGGACGACAGAGTCAAATTATTGGAATCAAATATTTTAAATTATTGTTTAAAGATAACAGCGGCTGATTTGCATAAAATAGGTCTTAAAATGAGGGAATGACGTTTCAGGGAACTTAGTCCCTAAATTTTGCCGTGAGATCGTAGACATGTCCCTTACTCCACTACCCCCTTCCCCACTGGAAAGTGCGCCTCTGGCACATTTTTTTTGTCTTTCCGGCCATGAAAAGAATGGCCCCTTACCTGCTGAGCTAAAATTTAGGGAGAACACTGTACAAGTCATTATGATACGAGTATATTCTGTGTAGTTGTGAATAGTTTAATGTGCTTGGTTTAAAGAACAAAGAACATTAATTTACTCAAAATGTTTTTCCTGTTTATGCACAAACTTTACTTGAGTAATCGAAATTTCTGTGCAATTTCACGGCTTGAATGAAACGACTTGTATCAAAACGACTTTGTATCGAAACAACCAGTTCCCGAATCAAGTTGCAGTTAGGTTCATTATACAATGCGAGCTGAACTGGAACTTGATTCTCTCAGCTTTGTTACTCTAATCACTATAAACTTCAGAGTTGATGATTGTCCATTCGACTTTTCTGCAAAATACTCCTGCAGGGTGCATGTGCCTTAAAACTGCTAAAAACTCCTCGTGTGAAAAGGTTGTCAAACTTAAAAACTAAATGTATCTTTGTTTAATTCTCTTTAGGAAACTCTGACCCACTTCAGTGTAGGTTCTGTCCTGAGGTAGAAAAACTATTTATCACAAATGGCTCTGTATCTGGGCTTAGAAAGGATCTTAATGGTGTCTTGCTGCTGGACAGCATTTTACAGCCACCTGTCAAAGGTTCTTGCAGTGAACCAGTTGTTCTCGAGTTTACGCTGCCAGATGTGAGTAATATATCAAAATTTAATACAACATATGGTGTGTCATGTGATATTGGGAAACTAAAAAGTGCAGATGAAGAAATGAGGTGTAGCCAAGTTTTTTTTAGGAGTGACTAGTGTCTGATGTTAATACCAGGATTAAAACATGGAGTTAAGTGTTTGATGATAGCTTGTCAAATGAACAATAATTGTTTTGATAAATTTGAAGCTAAAGTGCACAAATGCTCTCTTATACAGTGTTATTTTGTTTCCCTGAATTGGTTTACACCAAACAAATCCTGGTACACACAGGTGGGGGGGGGGGGGGGCAGAACAATGATTTTGGGGCTGTTTTTGAGACGAACTTTAACAGAGTTTAGTTTCATGTTTTGCACAGGCTAGTGGTATTTTTGACACTTTGACCTGGGGCCTTTAGTTGACTTAAGTCACAGTAAATGTCCTTGTGGCACTTTCATGGCATTATATTTTGCTAGGCTCTTCTGTTGGTGTCAGCAATGGAGTTATGTATGTCTGGTGGAGAAGAGGGTTTAAAAGTAAATGGTTTAAAGGAAGTTCATCTCATGCTGAAAGAAGAAGTAGAGAAGTCCCAGTCACTGTTGAATTCCAGCCATGATAAAGCAATCAAGGTACATGTGTACATATGCAGTTGAATTGAGTTGTAGCATGACTCCTTCCCTTACATTCTTACAAAAATGTATAGTGAACCCTAGGTTGTTGGAGTCGCAAGCAGAAGCAAAGAAATAATAATAATAATAGTAATAATAATAGTAATATAAGAGTAAGTCTTAACGAACAGGAAAAAATACCAAGACTTAAAAAGAGAGTGGAAGCGTCTATGAAATTGTAAAGAAGTTGTGCTTGTACCGATCATCATTTGTGCCCTCAGAACAGTCAGTAAAAGATTCCATCTGTATCTAAAGAAAGCAGAACTTGATGGAAGTGTAATAACCACAATTTATAACAATAGTAATGATGCACAAGATTGAAAAGACATTGAATAATACTCTACAATGCAGTACTTGTACCTAAACAACTATAGAAATACCTACAGTTCTTTGTCTACTATCATTAATCATGTGCCAAGCAATGACTTATAAATAATAATGGTCAACTTCAGCCACATACATGTAAGTTGAGACCATAAGTGCATTTTTATTACTGTTAATTTTCTTTTAGTGGTGCACCTGCCAGATTAAGTATCCCTGTGGCTCTTTGGACACTGCATTTGGTGACCTGACCAGATATTTAGAGAAAAACCATAAAAATCATGCTGCCCTCCCTGTGGTTTCTGCTGTACACTTGAGGAACATGTGCCTGTTCGATGTGCAGGGGAAACTGCCCATGTGTTTGGAAGCAGAAAGAAGGAAGACATTTGTGTCTTGGCCTCACAAGGAATACAGGTACACGTACAGTGAAACCTGGACAAAGACAATTTTTGTCTTGGCTTGTCTTGAGGAATACAAGGTACAGGGAAAGGGTCGTGGATCCCCCAAATTGAAAAAGACCAACTGGCAGATGTTTCAGAGTCAAAGGGGGGGTCTTTTTTTTAGCCCTTCTTCAATTGTAAAATAAGGGGGCCATTAGAATAAGTGCTTTAAAACTGAAAATGCTGTCAGGGGATGATTGTGTACTCCTTTCATCTGATACTTTGATACTTTATAGAACAATAAAGGCATGCTAAACACATCGCCCCTTGACCCTGAAATATTAAAAACATGTGCAGGGGTGAATTAAGGTGGACATTTACACCCCTTGCCAAAGATTTGTGGATCTGCCCTTGCCAATCAAATTGTTAGCCTAGCAGTAATTTTTCAAATAATCGTATTTGTGAATGACCTTCATAGCTCTCCAGGGTCAAAAGAAATAAAAAAGACTTGCCTGTTCCATTGTACCTTTTGTGCAAAATAATATATGAAATGTTACTTACTTGCAAGGAAAATCCTTCTGTTTTCAAACCCCACAATATTCATTATCATTCCCATAACTTTACCTCAATATGACTACATGTAGTTGAATGCCGGGTGAGTCTAGATAGTAATTTTTTGTTTTGTAAGTTACATTTTATTTTTGTATTTGCTCTTAAGGTGGGCATACCCTGAAGCTATGGCAAAAGCTGGCTTTTACCATCAGGTAATCTTGAGTATAGTATGCAGAATGTATACATGGCATAATGTTTAACCTGTACATGTACATTGTATTAATTTGAAGGACTGCAAGAAAGTTTTTAAACTATAGTTAAAACTATAGTCCTTACAAGGGAAGGTATACTATTGCCAGATTTGTCTGATGAACTGAAACAGGGTTTAACCCCAAAAAGACTTACAAGGGGTGGCGTGCACTATAATCTTCCGTGTGTAAAAAAAAACCCTCAGACGGGAAGGCACACTGATGACTGGCTTGTGTTGTGGACTGACAGGGGTGTTAACCACAAATCTGTTAAGGAGAAGCCACTTTGGTCTCTGTAGGTGGCAATGATTAATTTTAGTCTAAATTCTCTTTCAGCCAAGTAACCGAGGAGATGACAGAGCTCTTTGCTTCACTTGTAATGTTTGTTTGGTGTGCTGGGAGCCAACAGATGAACCATGGTCAGAGCATGAACGTCATTGCCCAGATTGCTCATTTGTTAGAGGAGACCACACCAAGAATGTACCTATGTCAGGTAAGGGACGATACTGGTCAGTGTTCAGTCTGTAGGCATATACCTAGTAGTTTGCTAAGTCAAAAAAATGATGTAGCAAACTACTGGGTATGTGGTATTTTATTTAAGCTGACACATGTTTTGGGCAGTGTGAGAGGTTTTTCAAGTAGTGTTTGCCTTAAACTTAGCTCATTCATCAAGTTTGTTACTCTCTTTTTCCCCTTTATTTTTTTTTCTACTGGTATATGAACTTCTGTTATGTGTGCTTGTTTTCTTTTGCATAGGGGCTAATGGCTGGGTTGATGGGTTTTGCTGCCAGGGGGGGGGGGAGGGTGGTGTTATCGGGTGTTGTCCAATCAAAACTTACCCAAAGTCTACAGCCCTGGATACTACTGTTCATCACTAGTACATCTATTAATTATAATTTCACTGCCACATGACTTCTTATCATATTACAAGGGGTTGGGTGCATGAAACTTAAAAGTACTTTTTGTAAAGTGATCCTGAATGATTTTGTTGTTGTTGTTGTTGTTGTTGTTGTTGTTGTTTTTTGTAGTATCACTGGCCACTGCACCAGGTTATGACCATCAGACCGCGGCTCAAGTCAAGGTAAGTGTATGAAAAAAGTAAAAAGAAATGTAAACTGATATAAGTTCTTATGGGCCAGAGCACAAACTAAAATTAATGAAATGCAAGCTAAAGTAAATCACAGAGAGTGACTTGTCAGTTTTCAGAAATGATAAACCGGCAACTCTCAAAGCATCCTCAACTAATTGGAGGTACTTTCTGGGCCCCAGTTGTTCAAAAGGTAGATAATGCTATCCAGTGAAAAAATCTCTATCCAGTGGATAGTGCGATTGGTTTTTCTAATGATTATCTGCCGGAAAGTGATTTATCCAGTGGATAGCACTATCCAACGTTTGAAAAATTGGGGCCACGTCATTTTAGAATTTGGTCTTGTTAGTTTTGGAGAGATCAGAAACTGTAGAGGAGTAACCAGAGGAAAGCCTTTGAGAGCTCTGAAGAGTGCCAACAATAAACTCAACTCACATATGGCATCAATGCTGGGAATTACAACCAGGTAGAGTGCTCTTAGCACTGCACCAGCCCTTTTCTCCTAAGGTGTTAAGCACCGACTAAACAATCCAAAATTTTCATCCAACATTTTGTTGGAAGAGAATGTTTCACTTTTTAGCTCCCTCTCTTCAACTTTGCATTATTTTTAAATTTCTTCTGATGCTTTTCCTTTGGTATTTTTATGTGTCATTTTGCATTGTAAACAAATGTTTGGTAGTTTAGTGGCCAACAAAGCAAGCTCAAGTGGGAAAGGCAACCAACCAGAAACCAAGTTCATAACCATAATAAAATTAATAAGTAAATAAATAACAATTTAAAGGTACAGTGTGTAGCACATCCATGTAGTGTTCTTTGTCTACCATTCCTGGTCAACTTGGGGTTTGGAAATGTTGGTTTATTTTGAGGAGAAGGGAAAACTGGAGTACCCAGCAAAAAAACCTCTCAGAGCAAAGGAGAGAACCAATAACAAACTCAACCTACAGATGGCATTCACACCCGACCACATAGGTGGGGGGTGAGTGCTTTCACCACTGTGCCACCCTTCAGGTGCAATAATTGCAAAGCCTCATTTGGATGCACTCTGTTCAATTTTTATTCTGACATCTTTTTCTCATTTAGCCACACCATGTTGTGTTGGACACAGACATGATGTTGGATGAAAATGTTGTGTTGTTTTCGCAGGGCTTTATGAATGTTGCACTGTGCAGTTCAGGAGTGCTTGCACTCTTTAGTTTTAAATAAGGTTACCATATATCTACAGTTGTATGCCTTTTTCCAGCATTTGTTAAATTACTTTTCTGGTTTTCTCTTTTAGTTTATCAGTGAAAGCTCATGTTGCCATTATATAGTGACATGTAGTGAAAATGGCCGAATTATCATCTGGAACATCCAAGACGAACTAAAGGTTGGAAGTGAATATTTAAATATTGTTTTGTTTAGCCAGGCCAGGCATACCCAAATAATGCTAAAAATTTTACAGCAACAGTGTAGTGCCAAAAAGGTAAAATTTGTATAGTTTTATCACAGGAAATAGGAAATGAAGCCTTAAAGATCTACAATTTAAGTGTGGCTTAGGATTTACTTGACTTTCTAAACATACCGTTCTATAACAGGTAGCCAAATGAGAGCCAAGGACGTATATACACATCCTCTCCTTACCAAATAAGAGCCAAGGACGTATATACACATCCTCTCCTTACCACAGGATTTCTTCCGGTTGCTCAGCATTTTTGTCTGTGGTTGTTTGAAAGGGTCTGAGAAGGAATAACGTTAACCACTGACCTAAATGTTTTTTTGAAGGAGGTTATTAAAGGTTACATCACAAGTTGATGTTGTGTTGTCAAGTATTGAAAGAAGCTGCCATGTTAGTTCTGACTACCTGGCCAAACAACTTACATTTTCACTGTATTTTCTTGTTTAAGGTAATTCCCTTGAAAAGGGAAATGTACTATCCAGATTTTTTTCAAACTTGACAAAAATGTCAACCATGTATAGGACATTCATATTTTGCAGTAAAAGGATGGGGTCACTGTGCTTATTTTTGCCCTGTGTGCCCATAATTCTGCGTGTTATTTCCTAGTTGCGCATGAAATGCTTGAAACTTGAACAACCGAAAAAAATTGTTGAATTATGGCAAAAAATAAGAATTTTACTGAAACCTAAAGATGACTATTTCAAGCAACCAACATAAAATAATGACTCTTTCATCCGTTGTGTTTATGTCTGTCTTTTCTTTTCACCAAAGATCCATACTGAGTTCCAAGTAGCGTTACCTACTGAAACTGACAAAATGCAAGAGTGTGACATGTCAACAAACTTAGGCCCTCCAAAGAGCTTTGTTGCTTGGTCAGAACCAGAGAAACTGGAAACACAGGAAAAATGTACAGAACAGGAAAGAATGTGAAAAACATCAGCGAGGAAGCAGAGAATCAGTGTGATGAAGGCTGTGACAAGGAAACACTGTCCTCAACGAATTCCTGTGATCAAGGCCTCGTAAAGAAAGGTGCTGCCACTTGTGACATTAGAGACCAGCCCCAAGATCCACCTACAAATTCTCCAGACCGATGTCCATATATTTCCTTACAGACATTGTTGATAATTCTGATAACATTTTTTCTGGATTGACCTTTTTTCTCGTTTATGATAATTTTATCAATTAAGCTTTCTGTGTAACTGACCACCTACCCCTCCCCTAAGTCACAATTTTTCCCTAAGTGAGAGTGTTAATGTTAACTTAGGGGAGGGTTAGGTGGTCAGTTAGTCAGAAACCTCAATTGATGCGATAATTCTCATAACCTTTTCTCTTACCCCTCCCCTTAGTCTTAATTTTGCCTAAGTGAGAGTACGGTAAGTGTTCATGTTAACTTAGGGGAGGGGTAGGTGGTCAGTTTCTCAGAAACTTCAATTGTTTTGATAATCTTCATAACCTTTTCTTTACCCCTCCCCTAAGTCTTAATTTTGCGTAAGTGAGAGCTAGTGTTCATGTTAACTCAGGGGAGGGGTAGGTGGTTAGTTAGTCAGAAACCTCAATTGCTCCGATAATTCTCATAACCTTTTCTCTTTGATGTCAGTGTTTGTTATTTTAGGAATGTTGTCTTTGATGTCATTTTCAGGCAGTGGTGGCATGGCAAAATGTTGGATTACTGCCCTTTGCTACTTTTTAATTTGCAGCTGAGCAGAAGAGCACAGATGTTCCATCTCAAAGTAAAGATCCAGAAGAGCAAAGTCTAAAGGACAAGCTGAAAGTTTGTGCCGTGTCTCTTGTTTGTTCGTGTGGAAAGGATCCCACCAGCACTGCAGGGCAGAAATGTCAATCATTTAGACACACAGCCACTTTATTTCTTGCAGTATACGTTGAAAAGCATTCTCCTTCAAGTGATACTGAAAAGACAGAGGGCAAACACATATCGTTTTTAACAGCAGAGGGTTGCTCCTGTCCTTACATTTTGGTGTATGACATTATGGCAAATAAAGAAAATTCTGCAAAGCCACAATTCAATGTAGATAGCTGTATTGAACTTGAAAAAGAAATGATGTTGCAGGACCCGTATACAACTTCTGGGAGTGAAGATGATTGGATGTACGATCAGTTGCCAATTCTTCCACCGGATTCTCTTAACCTTCACTCTTCTGTGCTGCAGAAATTTGCCGAGGCCATCGCTGGGGAGGAAAACATCAAGAAGTCAAAGGTTAACAAATGTAAAGAAGGAAATAAATGCGCAAAGCTTGTTCAATGCTTGGAGTTATCAGGAATTTGCAATGGTCGGCTTTGTAAAGTAACAGAAATTGTTCCTTTTGGGGATGGTCAGAATATTTTAGTTAATCTTCATTGTTTTAATAATTATTTTATTGACAAGGGTTTACACATTAGTGAAAACAACCCAGAAAGTAAAGAATCAGGGCAATCCAGTGACAATTGTACAGCTATATCAGGAAGTGATTCTGCATCAAATGGGAAATGTCCAAGACCTGAAAGTCTTCCTCAAAGCACTCTTGCAGTGTACAAAATAGCAAGCAGTGGTGGGGAAAGAACGTTGTCCTCACAGCCCACATTAACAAAGCAGTTTCCCTCTTCTGATGGTATTCTTAGTAACTTAGTTACCCTCCCAGTGGAGAGCCACGAACTTTTGCGACACCCAGCTGGCCATTTTCAAGAGCTAGAAAGCGTGTGTTCCGAATCCAGGCAATTTCTTGTTGGTGCTTTCAACGATAGTGTTGTAATAATCGATGCAGATTCTCTGAAAGTTGTTACTAAGTTTAAGGCCTCCAGCCAAGGTACAAAGATATCGCATATTTTAAACTGCCCTGGAATGGACTGCCTCTGTGTGTGCTGTGAGGATGGAGTAATGCACTTTTTGGGATTACGGAATCGGCTGCAGGTTAAAGAAGGTACAGTGACAGCAGAAGACAGCAAAGATGGTTCATCTATCTCCGAAGCACCTCTGGGAAGCTGTAGTTCACAGTCAGGTAAATTTGATTAGGAAGCTAGTCGAGCCGCCCGAGTTTTTACTCTCCTGAATTGTTAGTGCAGCTTTTTTTTATATTTTTACAAATGTGGATAGAAATTTATCCGTTGGATAGTATTATCCACCCTTTTCACGACTGGGACCAGATGGAATAGACTGGATCATGTTACATTTGTATAGTTTATATAAATCATGGTTTGACTTCGTTTCTGTAGCTGCTGCTTTCAACCCAGATCAGCCCATTTCTATGGAATTTCTTCAGCATTTGGTTCAGCTGACGGACTTTGTGACACTGATGCCAAGGTTTACAGCATCTGTTCCCTCCTCGTGGGTTGAAGTTCAACAAGATCAGCAGCGTCTTCATCAACACACCTTGGTCGATCCAGTGTTGCATACCAGAACATGGAAAGTACGATCAGATGGCAGTAGGTATGTATGAGCCATAAAAGAGCGCTGTCACGGCAATGTATTTCACTGGGTTAATAGGTAGGTTAAGTAACAGCGACGGCGACGGTTAGGTATCAATTCTCGTTAGGTTATTTGCTCAAACAAGCTAGTATGTTTTTAACCAGGTAATGTTTCATTTGCTTTGTTGGTAATCAACTGTCTAAACAGGGATATTATCTATTTAATTTTATTCATTATCGTCCCTATTCCTCATCCTTCCCCACCCTTCGAAAGTTAGCCTTTTCCAAGCCCTAGGATTTCACGGTAACGATCGTCTCCACTCCTTCTTTCCGTTGATATCAATGCCATCAATACTTCATATCTTGATTACTTTTAAACGACGTTAGGAGCCACAGAAAGTTTTGACGAAGCTCACAGTGGAATGATACGCCTGTAATGATGTAAAAAATTAGAGTTATTGAGGAAGGGGCCGTGGGGGTTAATTTTTTCCCTGCCAACTCTATTCGCACATTGTATCTTCATGCCTCGAGTTCTCAATAGAAGAAACTCTGAGACAACATGCACGTATGCAAGCAGTACAGTGTAAAATTGTTGTTAATTGCGTCTGTTTGTACTGCTAAAATTCAGTGCCTCATCTGTTACCTATTAATCGAGAAATTTCTTTTTCTGCAGATTTCTGGGGAGGGAGCAACTGGTGGAGGTTGTTCTTCCGAGATATTGTCACGTGGGCCACATCGATATCAGATTCTCGCTCAGCCCCATGATCACTCAGCCCACCACAAGTGTGTACCTTCTGAACCCACCTTACGTCAGCTCTTTTAAGTCCTGTCAGAACGCCTCTGCCCCTGCCTTGGCAGAACAAGACAAGAGAGGAATGCTGGCCTCTGCTCAAGATCAAGGCCATGTGGTGTGTGGCCCTGTAAGTTTAAAGCTAGGGCTTGACAGCACTGGGCGGCATGGGCGTGTCACTTTGACCAGCCCGAAATTGGTCAAATCCAGCGGTCGAGTTTTCTTGATTGTGTTTGACAGTCAAGGGCCGAGTGAAGATCTCTCTGAGGTGTCCATCACAGTGACACGGTTTAAAAACAACTCCACTTTGGAATGCCACAAATTGAGAAGCAGCTTGCTGGAAAACAGCAGCGTCAGGCTGCTTGATATTGTTGTCGGATCTCTGCCAGTGCACGGAGCAGCTAGAGACGAAGATGGCAGGAAACTTGCTCTTGAACTACTCTGCTGGATTGCTGGCGTGTGTGTCAACTACAAAACAGGGTTAGATTCATTATTACTTACCTTAACATCTTTTAAATGCACGGCCGAAAAGTACCACGTGTACTGATGCAGGGTCCAAGAGAGTCTGGTTTTTGGGCAATGATTTACCGTAAACTGCTGCTTATAAGCTCCCTCCACTCAAGGAAGATATCAAGTTCAGCTTACTTGAACACTTTGTGCCTCGTTGGACGATGTCAAATCGCTCCTGTGCCCAGACAACCAATGGCAGCGCCATTCAACCATAATCCGACCTGGTAGACTTGATCGCATGAAATTATGATCAGTCACGTTTATTTGTACAGCTAAAGTCGCATCAGAAAATAATAGGCCATTTCCGAGTTCCAAAAAATCTCACTTTCAAAGCGAGGCTAAGTGCGAAGCCATTGATATGAAAATGATTTTTAATTATGATGCAAATAAAACTCATTTTCACGACAAAGGTTTCGCACTTGGCCTCGTTTTGAGAGTGAGATTTTTTGGAACTCGGAAATGGCCTATTGGAATCAAGGTCAAATGTAGAGCTTTGTTGAGTAGGACCTTTTTGTTTTGTTTTGTTTTGTTTTGTTTTTTTTTTGACTAGGGATTACAGGGATATGACATTGATACAGGAGGTGGAAGCTTACCTGCCTAAGTTGATTCAAACGTGTTATCTCTCTTCTGGGCGAAGTATCGCTCACAAGTGTAGCCGACTTCTGATGATGTGCGCAAGGTAGACAACCAATTTTTACTATTCAGAGTTATTTTTCTTCCTTTCCTTCGCCGTCGTATTTTATTCAAGCTCCACGTTTCCCTCGTGATTTACAGTCCGCACATGAAGCGCATAAAAAAGAGGCTTGTTGTTGCCTGTAAGTAATGGTAGTAGGACTTAAGTGGACTAAAGTGTAGCCGAGGACGAAACGAATTCCTGTTACCTATTATTTAACTCATCAATAGAGATGAGCGTGGGGGAAGATGCCTGTGAGGCTTGCGGAGCCCCGAACGGCAGCTCAGTGCAGTGTGCAACCTTGACAACCCTGTGAGTGGCATCCACCCAGGCACCGTCACGCAGCTAACCAGTGGAACCTAACATACTTCCCATAAGCAGGGGAAGGGTAGGGAGCAGAAAAAAACTATACCAGCACAAGCCACGAAAGGCAAAGACACGCGATCGTAATGGCATGAGCTCAAGAGAAAGGCTGTAAAAAGACCCATGAGCGCCTGCGATGCGATTAGGGCGCCCCCGCATGTCTCCGACGAGAGACTGCCGGCCAGCCATGTCTCGAGTTTATACTAAGCCTAAATTTCATGTAGCCACAGTTCATCACTGTAACAAAATTTGACAACAATACAGAGCTAACTTGAAGGTTTCGTTAATCAAAGCATAGGATCGTCCTTTTTTTCTTCCCGCATCTCTGTGTCTGGATGTCGGGTGAAACACTGCCTCCTGTGTTTGATAGTGGACTGGGTCAGTGCGAGTTGCACTGTGGCACTTTTTTGGGGGACAAATTGTAACCTAGATTCCTTTGCGATCTCTTAACAGCCAATAAAAGAAGCGACAGCATCCCAAAACAGTCCCATAATTTAGTTCGCCACAACTCCTACCCAGCCACACGAATATCCTCAAAATGTCCAATATTACCTCTAGTGCGTTACCAGATGTACTGAGATTTTTTTTATAAACTTTTCTCTTCTTCTTTTTTTTTTTTCAGGAAAGCCGTAAGTACCAGGACGTCCACTGACTCGACATCGTCTTTCAGGAGATCTCTGTTGAATGCAATCCTTGATGTTTTACAAGACACCCCATGTGCAGTATCATCTGGAGCTGTCCACTGGCTTTTTAAGTTGCTAACAGGGTTTGCAGCCCAAGCAGACGCCTCTCTGACAAGTGTTGTTTGCTTGGAATTGCTGGAATTTCTGTCATCAAAGCTTGCTACCACAAGATTTCCTGAGCATCTTGCTTTACGTTCCAGGTTAGATTGCCAACAACCGGTTCGCTACTTGTTGCATTCGCTACGTCCTAGTTCGCGACAAATTCGCTACGCATTACTTTTGGTAAACCACTGAAAATAGTCCCTTAATCGCTCTAGAAAAAAATCTTTTAATATATTTCTGGTTCTTTTAAGCTTGCCCGTCCAAGGGTGCAAGTTTTGGACTTTGCCTTTGGGCTGCTTTCAATCGATATTAAACAATATTTACTTCGGTTATTTGTCAGATATGGATTGTATGGCTGCCCACTTGATCCTGTCCTATTCGATTCTGTGCCGCAATCCTGCAACCAACAACAAAGTTCGCCAGTTGTCAGCAACCTGACTGCACCATCTTTGGCCAGCAAGTGTGTGAGTTCTGTTTCTACTTCCACTGTGGCCTCAACTTCTGAACAAGTCTCATGGAGCAGTGTGAATTCGTCGCTGGCTTCTCAGGGTCTCCTGGAAGTCCAGCCTCTTCATTTTGTGTGTTGTTCTACTAGCGATGGTGCCAGAGTGGAGAGGGGTGATATACAGCCAGTGAAAGGGAGCCTGGGGCCTGTGGGAGCACCTGTTGCTGTTCCTTTTATGGCTTCAGCAATGAGCATGCCTCCATCTACAACTTTGCCAACTGATTCGGCATCTTTGGTTGCTCTGGAACAAGAACTTCAAGTGTTAAAGGTAACAGTGTTAATTGATTAAAACGCACTTACCGTCAATTCTCTCTAAGACGGACATATTTGGGACCGGCACTGAGTGTCCGTCTTATAGAGAGTCAAATAAAAAGAGTAAAGAAAGGCATGGACCAACTCTGAACTCTAGGTGTCCGTTTTAACATGGTGTGTGTCTTTTAGAGGTGTTCGTTAAGAGGCAGTCGTCGACTGTACGTGTTAAGATACCTTACAAATCAAAATCTCCGTCTCGTGAACAGTTTCAGTCAAGTTTTATTCAACAAAAACGAGACTGTATTCCAACCGTAGCCTTTCATCTCTGCAAAGAAGCTTTTCAGCACAAGTTGAAGTTGTTGTGGAGAAAGTGAAAAGAACAGTGACATTACTGACGTTATACGATGACCTACCCTTTTGCTTTTCTCTCTCCAGTCCTTTTTTACTGCAGGGGATAGATTCTCTTCAACTTAACGGGATGTGCGAATTAACAAAGTTCCAGGAGGCGTTCAAAAAGTCTAGATCGGGTTAGCTTTTGAAACCCAGTCCCTAACCCTTTGTAATGTAGTGACTAAAGGGATTGATCGAATCCAGGTTTTCTTGACGCCTAGTTCCAATTAGCCAATACCTTATGGCTGTAAGAATAGGCTCCAATTTCGAAGGATAAATGCACGTTGTTCTAGATGTTTAATTTGTATCGTTTCTTCCGTTACTATGGCTGCTGACCGGGTATTACAGTCAAACCCCGTTAATATTGAGGCTGTGCGGGCCATAGAAAGTGTCCGTTTTGACGGGGTGTCCGTAATAGCTGGTTCAATTAAGCGAAAATGTAAGGGCTTTCTTTCCCTAGGGACAAAGCAAACTGTCTGTAATAATGAGAGGTTTTACTGTACTCTGTGTTCCTTTTGTAATACAGCAGCACCAGCAGCAGCTAGTCAGCCTGCAGCAACACAAAGAGCAACTGGAGAAGCACAAGAAGGAGTTGGAAGACCTGTCCTTGTGGTCTTTGTGGTCCAAAACTGATCCATGGATGCCTCCGCCCCCCAGCGTGCAGGCATTTCCACCACCCACCCTGGCACAGCTTGCCTCTCCATCAGCTTCCTCTCCCATCAACCTTGCTCAACAGAAGAAGCAAGCAGGTTCTACCCGGAAACAGGAAGGGACAAACGGAGCTCCCGTGTCACAGCCTGTTCAGCAGCATGTCATGCAGGTATAAATAGTCCCCCCCAGAGGGGTGGTACTCCCTATAATGGCCTATACGGGGAGGCTTCGTCCGAAAGGGGTACCTTTTTCAGGCTTCGGGTCTAGGAAGGGGTAGGGATTTCACTAGTTGAAGCATATGAAAGGGTAGAGAAATCCGTCATTTCGGTCGGTTAAAAAGTCCAAAAGGGCTACCAATGCATTTATAGCTGTGGAAAGTGATTTACACGGCATTTCATTTACAGCAGTTGAAAGGGATGCAAAGTTTGAAACTAGGTATGTGAAAGAGGTACCATTTGTCAATGGAAGGTCTACGAAAGGGGTACCTTTTCTGCCAAAAATGGTATATAAAAGGGTACGGGGTCGCACCTCTGGCCGGAGCCTCCCAGTATAAAACTTTTTTGAGGACCCCTCCCTTCCTCGGTTTTTCACCTTTCCACATGGACCCATTCGACATCGCCGGAAAGAGTTCCTAGCAGGTGCTGTACAGCGCACACTTTACCTAAGGAATTTAAAATCACTTTGTCAATGAAAATTTTCGCAGTAGTTAGGTAAGAAAAGAGGTGTACTGCGCTGATGAGGTTCTGTTTTCTCTACAGCTTCCTCATCCCCAGGTGCTTGTTATTGACCGTCTTCACGCAGGCGCTCGTCACCATGTTGTTGTAGACTTCGGCTGTGTTGTCCAGTTGACAGATATATTAATCCCTCAGTGCACGGACATTATGTCGCTGTCTATTGATGTTTGGTCTCAGTGGGATGATCCGGATGTGCAGAGGATTGCCGCGGTGTCAGATATTAATCTCTGCGCGTGTGTTCTGAAAGACATTTTACCACCGCCGCTCTGCAGATACGTCAAGGTAAGCCGTCTACTTCTTTTTTCTTTGAAAGGTATCAAAATAAGAACATTTGAGGCGAGGGCGTTCCTGAAAGATGACATTTCCTGTGCGAAATAAAAATAACGTAAAGCCAACCATCCACGCAATCAAGTGACAAGCTATCAGTGAATTGAATTGACCATCAACAAACCTTTTTTTTAATTTATCGGCAAATCTATGCTGACATCACCGAAATATATTTTTGTTACCATAGTATCATGAGCTTATCATTCAGTGATAAATTCCCCACGTCAGGGCCTTAGGCTCTCGCCTCGCGAGGAATAGGCTCATGTAAACAATGATTTGCCTATTTGTGACTTACCTCCACATTTCATTTATTTTCACAAGGTGACAGTTGTTGGAAGACCAAAAAATAATGCAAAGGCTCGAGTTAAGATTGGCGAATTCTATGGTTATGCATTATGTGGTCAGACGTCCTTGAATGGAGAAACTTCCCTGCTGAATGCCAGTAGTCAGGACCAACAGTGCCTACCAATACTGCAGAATCTTTTGGAGGACATTCACTGTCACTACAACTTGACTTGTACCCAACTGAGGATGCTGTTACAGTCCGCAGAACCACGGAGCCCCAGGTTCGATATCACTGGAAGGGGTGCATCGCTCACTGAAGAGGAAAGGAAAGTCCACAAAGCGTACAATGAGTGTATGGAGCTCCAACACCAACTCAACCTTGTCGAGCAGTCAATCTGTAGACTGACGTCTACTACAGAAAGCGGCCGTGCGGCTTCGTTCCTTGATGATGCCAAGTATGACCACATACAGGTCATTTGCAACTGTTTGTTAGACACTGTGGTCACCCTTATGGGTGTTGGTCCTTCTTTAGATGGCTTTTTGGCAAAGTCCAAACTAACAGTCGAATGGCAGCCCTGGTTGAGTCAAGTGACGCCAGTGATGTGTGAAGGTCTGTTCAGGAATCTCTGCGTTCATGGCTCTCCCCAGAAGCGTGAGAGGGTTGGAGCCCTTCTTCTGAATGCGTGTGGAAGTAGACCATGGTGGGGTGAATTTTTGTCCAGCGTTTTGAAAGAGTTCTTTTCTTCAAGCCAGAAGTGTACATTTCCTCAAGAAAGGTACGGTAGTGAAACTTTTGTATTTAAAGTGTGTTGATAAAGAAAAGAATGCTGTAATGAGGTTGTAGTATTGTATGCGATCATTCCGCGAAACACGTTCCAACAGAAAACCTGCTGAATACTGAATATTCTGCTTTTCTGGCGTGCTGTGGTATGTGGTGGGTACACTCAAGTCATAAAAGTTATCTCTTGTTTATGAATTCGCCTTAACTTCGGCAATTCAGTTTAGGGCCAAGTATTAGCTATTAAAGTGCATATGACACGAAGTTTGTTTTGTCGTATTTTATTCTTAAATATGTGTAAAATATGAATCCGAGATTTAAACTCGTCAAAAATCTTGCAAAACTTATTTTTTGTCTTGGAAACACGCAAATTTTCCTCTTGAAATGGCCGCCTTATCGCAAGGCCAAATTGAGAAGTATGACGTAGAATAATTGACAAGAATGTCGAATAATCAACAAGATGGCAGCAATACGAAGGATCGTCGTTGTCTCAATCTGTTGTCCTCAATCACCTTCAGAATCTTCAGTTGCTTCGCAATACCTTTTTCACAGTCAAATACATTGCTTAATTCCACAAAACTCAAAGCAATGACTATAATCGGAAGCGAGGCTGAGCAAATCACCTGACGTCACATGATGTCATCAGCCTTTCTTGGGTCCTTTAATTCGTTCCTAGTCTCTCGAGGGAAAAAGCAGTTTTAAATGGCCAAAATTCAAGAAATTGTTTGAAGGACACATTTGTAAAGTTCAGAATTGTTAATTAAACTATCTGAGGACCGAATTCAGTGTCAAACCATTTTGCACTTTCTATTTCCAGGTTGTTTGCTGTAATAGTGAATTTGAGCCAGCAGTCTCCCTCCGTGGAACCAGTGCTTACAAGTTTCTTGAGTCTCTTAGATGATCTTCTTCCCCTTAAGAAACTCAAAGTAGATATAGAGTCAATAGACCTGACATTGGTTGGGTGGCTGTTGCTCCTCTTGGCGCATGTACTGGACGCGTGTATAGTTCAATGCAAACCCTCAGCCACTGCAGTAGGTAAGGAAAATAATTTTCTCTTTGTTGGGCTGCCTGTGACCAAAACCCAATAATGTCTGAGAAGCGTGTACGTCGAAAAAGGACAAATTGGCGGATGCATAACCAAAAGGGAGTTGCATGTTGCATTCCCCCTGCGATAGGACGATTACTTGACTTTTGGGGGAAGGGGGATGGTCTTTCAGGTAAATACAATCAGACTTGAAACTACTTGAACTTTTTAATAGGCCACTGTATCATGCAGCTGGTAGACCAATGTACCCCATTTGGGGTCTCATTTGTTATGTTATGTTGCTTACTTGAAAGTCAAACCCAAAAACCCAGTTACGACTTATGGACATTTCTAGCGACAACAATTTGCCGTCTGTCCCCTTTGAATACCTTGGCTGATAGGAGATTTTGAATGACGCTGAAGACTCTGACAGCCTTTATCTCAATTTTAAATGTCTCACTTTGTGTCTCACTTTGGTAGTCTGCTATTTTGTAGTACTAAATGAAATTCAGTTTAAAATGGGTTCAGCATATTTTAATTCTCAATTTTTTTTGTCTCTTAACAAAAAACGATGGTTCAAATCCACGGCGTGGGTGTCCTGTGGGTAAAAACGTGCCAACACTTTTTGTCCAACAGTGTAGGTTCCCAGAATTGTAATTTTCTTTTCCACTATCAGATGACGCAGACACTTCTAAAGTATCAAATGGCAAAAACGGAGGGACATCGACATCTAGCAAGAGCAAATCGTCGAAATCTTCCAAGAGTAGCAAATCCAGTAAACGAAGCCGATGGGACTTCATGCTTCCGATGCCGTCAAGCCAACCAGCGAGCTCTGCAAGTGATATCAGCTCTTACCGCTATCAGCGTACTCATAAGTTGATGAGCAAGTACGCACTACCAAAGAAGACATTGACTGAGTCGCAGTTACAGCAGAGCATTATCAAGGGCAATGGCAAACAAGCTTACAGGGTAATGGCTATGGTTTTACTATACGCTACTCTGCTTCACAGGCTATCAGGCTTGCTGAGAATAGTAAGTTAGGGATGTCACAGCATCAGCGTGCGTCTCGACGGATCCTGAGAGATATTGAGATTTCTGTGAAGAAGACTCCTCTGTATTTTACGCGGATTGCCGACGGAAATTATAGGCTCGCAAGAATGTCTTGACTAATTATTTCTAATAAGTGGTGACAGACTTGATAAACTCGCACGTGTATAAAGTTCCTGTCACGAACTTTATTTATTTTTTCATCATGTGAGAGACTCATCCAATTTGTATGAAATATTACGTTCCAACTAGTTACTTTCAATCAATCTCGGCCACGATTTTAATACTAGTAGTGGACTGGAAATATTTGTGTCAGTATAACTTTTCCCATTATCATTCCTCTATCATTCTTCTGCATGTAGTAAAAAATCTTGCTAAAATTGCATGAAGAATGTTCCACCAGTGACTCACAGCCAGTGTGGACGAAATGTAAATCTTAGCCGAGATTCACTCCCACGAGCGTAACCTTCTTGTTAACTTTCTTTTTTATGCTTCAGCAAACGAAAGACTTTTCCAAATTGGTTAAAGGATTCTCCAACCAGTTTCTGCCAGCCACTGTAGAGCAAATTTGAATCTCACTGTAAATCTCATTTTCTTTCCTATATTTTTCTTCAGCATATGAAAGACTTGTCCAAATTGCGTCGCCATGTTGACGAGGGAAAGCCACAGGCTGAAAAATCAACCCACCAGCCACCAGTGTTTTCTGCAAGTTCACCGCTTCCAGCGGATACCACATTACCTGTCATGCGCAAGATGATCAGCTTTATTCTTAGTATGGACTCTACTTGCAGCGTGGAGCTGTTTTTGATTTCTTGCAAGGTACGTTACACTGAGAGAACAAAACCTGTTATGTTTGTCCTAGTTGATAAGGTAAACTGGGCGCTGTAAAAGCAATATACTTGAACTTGGCAGCGTGAAAAGCAAACAAGTTGGAAGCAAATCTGAGTTTCTGATAAGATTCGAACCCATTCCATCCCGGAATACTGGTGGAGAGAATTAAGTATCCTACTTTTTTGATTATTCAGCCCTTTCGAATTTACTCCTCGACCAAGTTATGTCGAGATTATTTGTCACTCCAACTTCCAAAACCGTGGACGAAACTGGATGGTGTTACCATTCAAATGAAACCTCTTTAGCAGTACTTTGACTTGGAACCAGTAATTTAGTTTGTATTTCAAACTTTTGAGTCTGTCTATGAAATCCTATTTCGTGACCATTCAATTAATACTCCCTTGTTGAACTTTAGCATAGTACAATTTACTTCTTAAGATTTTACACAGAGAAATGTGAAATTTTTTGAGAATTTTTTTGGGGTACTGCTTCCCCATAGCGCTTGAAACTTTGATTTTCGTATTTGCCCATGATATTATTGATTTATTCCGTCCTTCCCTCCTTGTGATTTTTACAGGTTGTAGCCCACTTGGCTTGTGTAAGTGAACCAAGTGTTTGCCTTACTGATGTCATCACTGATGACCAGTTGGAGCAGCTGTTAGAACTGTGTGTGATGTCAAGTGAATCCCAGTCTGGTGCTCACTCAGCGGGACCCTGGACTTCTCATTCTCTTACCTCCCTGCTACAGGATCTTCTTCAAGGTGTGAAATCATGGTACTCTCCCTAAGAGCTAAGTTTGCGGACAGCGTGCAATCCAAATACCTGTCTTTCAATGTGTTATTTTAAAAACTGTGTGGATCAATTTGGGCTTCCTGGAAACTGACAACCTACCCCTCCCCTAAGCCATCATTTTGCCATAAGTGAGAAGTAAGTGTTAATGTCAGCTTAGGGGAGGGGTAGGTGGGCTGTTCCCCATAAATCCCCATGATCCTCATGTTCCCCATGATCCAACTGTGTTTTGCTCTGCTTACGTATGCATCACATACCCCTGCCACGCCCTCCTCCGTAGAGGCTCCCGCTGGGTATCACAATAAAAATACCAATAATTAAAAACTAGTAACCGCGCAGGGGACGATGGGAAGAGGGAAAAGGCGGGAGTCTCGGGCCTACCTTTTCCTCTTTCCCCTTCCCATTGTCACCCGCGCGCTTTCTTTTTCCCTCTCCCCAGCCTCCCTACGATCCAAAGAGGCCTCTGCTGATGAGAGAGCCCCTGCAACTGAGTAAAAGCAACATACATTTGTATGCTTTTGTTTGAATTTCGAAATTGAAAACTGACCAGTATTGTAATGTTGTTTTAGAAGATCTCTGTATTGTCAGTGGAAATATTCCATTACTCAAGAAGTTCTATGTACTTCGCGTTGTAGCGGAGCACCATTGGTAATAAAATTTGGTTATCTGTGCATCCAAGAAATTGTGGATTGACAAAATCGTCCTTCCCTCTATGTTAGCGAATGTGAAATGACACACTAACTATGAGTCCCAAGCGTATACTATCTATGTTTAAATTGATATTAGAGATCCATGTTATGGTCAGTTAACAGCTGTCAAAATAGGGTATCTGCTGAGCAGTGTCACTTGACTCCATCGCGGACTCTGGTCTACCAATTATTGAAGTGGCGTGTTTTGTAAAATGTATCTTCTGACCAGATATTGCTTCTTCATGCTTTTCAATAGATCGTCGGCTCAGTTCCATTTTTTCAAGAAGAATTCAGTTTGCTTCTTGTTGATCGCGAAAGCTGAATTTCTTTTATAAAGACGTTATTAAAAAAAGCCCACGAGAACTTGGCTTTTGGCCTTGGCTAAATCTATACATTAATATTACCACTTCTTCCATTGATAACAAGGTCTGTTTTGTGCATGTGTTGATGTTCCTTTTCTCTCCCCTGGGGTTTCTTAGGAAGGCAAGGTAACAAAGTAACAGTCAAACCTAAACCAGTAATTACGCAAGGTCCTGTGGCTCAAGAAAATGACAGCGACAGCTCTACAGTGACTCACGGCATTTTGGTAGACATTGAAAGCAGTGATTTCTACGAGGACTATGAGCTGCCTTCTGAAGGAGAACTTCAGACCCCTGGTTGGGTAGGGGAGTTTGTAGACATTGGAAATGGGAACGATGTGCCACAACCAACGCCAGTGCACGAGAAACCGGCCGTGCTGTCTTCTTGGGAAGCAAAAGTTACTCCACCTCCCATTAAGCTGTCATCTGCCATCGACATGCGACTTGAGCTTGGTCTTGAGATGGAAGCAGAGCAAGATCTTAAAATGCTGGAGCTTTTGCAAGCAGAGGCAATTGCCAAGGCTTTGAGCACAACAGTGCCCCCATCACGGGGAACGCCCAGTCTCACGAGAGAGCGTCCCACTCAAAATGGAAAAACCGGTTTAGCAGAGTTAGCTTTGCAGTCCTCTTTCAGTAAGATCTTCTCAAAACCCCATGTTGATATGTCATCTCTTTTGAGCGTGTGGCTGAAGATTAAACTCTGCTGCAGCAGTTTGAAACTTGACACTGCATCGATTAGACTTTTGCTTTCTCATTTGGTGAAGCAGCCGGAGTCATCTCTTCAAACCCGCCACCTTTCTTTGCAAGTTCTTACAGTGGTGTCTGATCAGCAATTGAAAGCGTGTGCTGATCAAGAACTGTTTACATTTCTCAAGAATGAAGATCTTTTGGATTTTTTAGTAAACCTTTTATCCCAAATACCGTCATTTGGGGTGCACTCTATTTTGCCCAGTCCAAAACCTGTGAAAGCATTTCTATCGTCTTTGCAGTCGGCCATCGAAAGTCACAGTGATGTCAAAGTTGGCATGATTTTCCGGGACCTGTTACTTAAGGTCATTCTTGAACTTTGCAAAAGAAGGTAATGTTCCGTAAAAACATCTGCAAGTAACTGTGTTTGTGTGTGTTGAGAAAACCAGTTCTCGTTTTATTGATTTTAATGTCAATTCTTTACTGATTTTATCGTTCTCCGTTTATTGATTTTATCCCAAAAATGTGACTTTCTTATTTCACATCCGATAGGGCTCTGTGTATCACGATTGGTGGTATTCTATACCTTTAATGAAATCTCTTAAATTAGCAGTTTGTCGTATCGGCGCAATGCTCGCCATCGATGGAACTTATTCTGTGTCTGTACAATGAATTTGAAGATGTCATAGCTTGAAAATAGGTTTTTTTGCTTTATCATATCTGGAAAATCATAATCAGTTTTTCCTAAGGTCCCGTTTTCCTGAGGCCAGATCAAATTCTCCTCCTTTATAAACTGAGTTGTAGTTTTCGTCAACTTCTTGCAGGCTTTCCGACAGAGGGACAGTGGTACAACTACAACCAGTCATTGACCTCTTACTGGCAAACCCGAATGTTGCATCCCGACAAGCAAAACCTGATGTCATATTGAGCCTGGTGAATGTTACAGCCCAACTAACTAGGGATTACCTCAAACACAAGAAGAGTGTTAGTCTTCTGCCGTCTGCTGAGATTCTTATACCAACCGCAACTGGAACTGGTGTGGACAAGCTAGATGACAGTGCTTGGCTTCTTCAGTTGTTCTTTTTAATAGTTGAAATATTGCAGGACTCTGTGACCAAACTGCATGAAAACACACGAAATCATGAACCGCTTGTTGGTAGTGCCGCAGTGGATAGCAGTAAAGGATCGACTGAAGTTCAAGATATCACGAACACTAGTAACAGTAGTAACACGCTCATTGACAAGTTGGTTTCTACGAAAGAGATTCTTCTATGCCTGATGGAATGCCTTAATCAATGCTCTTCTGACAAGCTTTTGGGATCACCTAACTTATCCGTGCTTTTATCGCAAGACAAATGGCCTGCGGATGTGAAAATCTCCGTGCGGCCTACTTCGATTGAAGATGGAGTCCTCCAACTGTTAACCGTAGTTCAAAATAATGTTACTGACAATGAAGCGGTAGTTGATGGAATTATTACATTCCTTCAAATGTCCAGCGCAGACACCTTACAGTCAGCACGTGTCAAACATCTCTCAGATCCTTTCTTGTGGCTCTTGTTCAAAGTTTTGAACTCTTCTCAGGCAGTAACTCAGTTTAGCCAGAAAGGTAAGTCTCAGTGAATGCAGACTACGAGTAGTCCCCCATTTTTCCTCAGGGATAGAAGAGCGAGCGAAACGAGAGCGTGCGTGAAAATCACCCCACGCGAGAAAAGGCGACACGCCTCGTCTCGCCTCTCTCGCGTGGGGTGATTTTCACGCGCGCTCGCGTTTCGCTCGCCCTACTATCCCTGAGGACAAATGGGGGACTACTCGTAGTCTACAGTGAATGGGAATATAATAGAATTGGCAGCTTACTATGTGTGCCACGTTTTTGCATCATCAACATTACCAAGAATTTGGTATTGTCCTATGGCTACCCTTCAAAACGGTGGCCCTGGAACCTTTTTAGCGGTGACAAGCCACCTTCCCAATTAAGTTAATAATACCGCCTTCTTGTGTTTCACTTCCTTATCAATGAAGACCCACAAATGTGTCATTACTATGGCTCGGAGCGTAGGAAATTGCATTTTAGAGAGTCCAGTTTTGAAAAATTTCCGAGGGGAACGTGCCCCCGGAACCCCCTAGAAGCAAGTGCAAGTCCGCCAGCTGAACCTCTGTATCCGTACTTCCAAATGCTACCGAAAACCCTGTTTGGTGATCTCAAACGGGCTGTCCCCCATGCGACATGTACGACAAATAGCCTACGTTCGATATATTAAAATTCTAATATGCCTCCGAAGCTTCCTGGTCATTTTTATTATTATTATTTTGTTTGGTTTTCCTTGTACTCAGGTGTCTTCTGGAAACTGCGAGACAATGGAGTCGTGAACAATTTGCAATTTTGACCCTAAAGCCTTACAGTCATGTTAGAATTTTAATATATCGAACGTGGGGTATTCCCAAACTTGATGACTTTCTTTGTTCTGTCTGACTGCCTTTGATTCCTAGGTGGCCTTGACACGGTGTGCCAGTCAATTGTCTCTGGGCAAATATCATCACTGGACAACACCTCTAGTGGCTTGCTATCTGTCATGCAAGAGTTATCAAGACAATCAAGCAGAAGAGAAGCTGCCAAGAGCACAACAGCTGCAGAGACTGACTGGACCAAGAAAATTGTGAATTTTGCTCCTTATGGTCAGTGTATTATGCGTTTTAATAGCGACCTTTAGCTACGGGAACGTTGACGTCCCGGACATCATTATAGCAACCGGATGTTCGATATCTTGCTTAATAAAACGTTTCTGAATGCTTTGGTTTTAACTCTCACGAATCTGTTGAGTTAGAGCACTAAAAAGGAGAGAAAACATCAACTTCCGGTTGCTGTTTTTTTATGTCCAGAATGTCAACGCTCTCGTGCTTAAGGTCCATATACTCTGAGAATTTCACATTTGGGTATATTGTTGAACTGCTTTTTAATTTGTAGTCAACAAATACCAAAATAAACCAGTTGAAAGGAAAAAACGAAACTATAAAACTGCAGTGTTGTTGTTTGGCAAGTTGTAGCTGCAAGTAAAACTCCCCATGAATCGTCCGCACACAGTCATGAGTTTGTATTAGTATTACGTTTAAGATAGCTAGTAAAAAGACTGACTTTTTTTCTGTACCTAAGTTTGTGCGTGAAACCAATGTGGTTTTTATGAAGTGGTTTTGCCATTGCTATGAAAAGGAAACGCATATGTATTTAAAAAGACGGAGAAGAGTGGAGAAAGCAACCAGGAAATGTTGGGTTCTGGTGTGAAAACGCATTAGAAACAGACCTCTCTGACTCCTCGGCGTTGTTGTCTGTCTGTTCGAGGCTCAAATTCAGTCTCGTCCGGTCGTCCGAAGCAAGTAGATATTCTTGCTTTGCAAGTAACCTTTTTATGTCCATTTGTCGAATGGGTAAGCCTTCTTATAACAGGGGCAACCAAGCTATGGCCCCGGGCGAGCAAAATGCGAGACCTGGAGTTAAGACCTTGGTTAATTTTCGTTTTGTTATTGTTTTTAGTTTGTTTGTGTGTTTTTTCGAGTCCTGCCGTTGTATCTGCTTATCACCGAATGTTATTCTTTCCTCAGGAAGCATTAAGTGTCCTTCATCTCCAAGGCATCCTCCTGATGCTCTGTTGAAGGTCACAGCTCAGCATCGTCGAGCGCGGTCTGCAGCGTGGTCTTACCGCTTTCCATTAAATGAAGAATGGTGTGACCTTGTGATTAGTCTTCCTACAGCCATTTTGTTGCATGAAGTTCATATACAACCACATACAACGGGACTTTCAAGTAAGTGCTGGCCATGTTTTTGTTCACAAGGGCTATGTAACAAATTTGTGTAATCACAATCTAGTGGAGCACTGAAACCTCGTGAAATTTCCTTTTCCTGTCCACAAATATGATAGAGGTAAATCTGCAATGGTAGAAATGGGCCGATTTTTGCGAGTACTTCTTACTACAATCAATTGTAGATTCCCCTCCCTCTTAAACTTTCTAACCACTGAAATTAGGATCGAAGTCAAGAATAGCGATACTTAAAGAAGTGCGTCATCTAGGTACGTTTCAGGGCCTAGTTTCTGAAAGGGTTATTAGTGCTAATCCAGGATTAATTTTCGATACTGTACTGTCAATGACGTCATCATATTGACGTCGGTGACAATATATCGCTCCAGTTACATGTTCGAGACAAACAAATGTTTAAATTAAAAAATTCCACTGAAATAGTGGATCGTTTAATTCTTCCCTTTTAGCAGCTGGGCCAGAGTCCGACGATGAACGAAATTCGAGTAGTATAAAAGCCTGCCCAGTATCACTCCCGGTCTCAAATTATACAGATAGCGGCACCTGATTGGTTCTTATGTGTTGCTATTGTTCAACAGCCAATCACAGTGTGCTATTCTTTGAGATATTTGCTATTTTAAAAACCCTTGTTTTTGCTTACCGGCACCTGATTTAAAACTGGATTGCTATTTTTCATCAATCACCAATCAGATTCGATAAATATTTGCCTTTTATTTGAATGTTTTTATTAAAACTGGATTATGGAGCGGTCGATAAAGAGTCATTAATTTTAGAACTATTATGCTGTGCTAAGTATTTATATGTAACGTTATCAGCATGTCCTTCACACGTGTCGCTAGACGTCAGTAACGATACTCAAGTTCTTGTACCTGTTTGTGAACCGATTCTCACCTCTGGCATGACAGTTATCAAACTGAAACTTCAGGATCCTCAAATTGCCCAGGTAAAAACTTTCTTTTCCTTTTTTTTTGGCGTTTTTTGGTGCATTGTATGTACCATGGGCGGTTATTTTTCATCACATGGAACGGCTATGTGCAACACAGGACGACCAGTCCAAATTTTGATGGGGAAGGCAGGCATTCATATAAGAACGGATTTATCAAAATTCACGTTCCCAAAGCGGAATCGTTAGGAAAGATCCGTTCAAGATTGACGCTATAGTTCCGTGTCAGTGCTGTTATAGGTTCGTCACAGAAAATGCGCTTTGGTTCATGTATTCAGTTTGTTTCAAAGAGTGAATAGAATAGATTTAATGTATGCCATATCTTCATATTAAACCATCATGACTAATTTTATTGATTTAGTATTATGCAGTTAATAATGTTGTTTTTATTATTTTTTCCTAGCACATCCATATTCACTGTCACTGTCCACGGGACTCGCGGGGTATGGGACTGTCTCAGATCAAAGTCTTAGGAGCGTCACAAGTCAATCACAAAACGGCTAATCAGAGATAATAATAAGTATAATTAGCAACAGGAGGATATTCACGGTGGCGCAAAGATATGAATTTTATTTTTGAGTGGCAAAACAATAACGAACGGCGCGAGCGAAGCAGCTAGGCATGTATCATTATATAGACAAAATGACATCGATAAAATAATAGAAGGAAATTACCAAAATTACGTCATCGATAAACTCAGGTGTGAGATTATGGAGAATAAACCACTCGGGTCCCGGATGTAGTTTTTATCAATTTTACGAGTGGTATATTTTCCAGTGAAACACTCGTGTCTATATAATAAAAAACGTTACTTTGGTTTTCTGGTTTGTCTCAACGGGTCTAAAAAAACATGTATTGCTCTCCTTATTGTAGGCTTGGATGGGTACAGTTACTTGGTCAGTGCCTTTCAAAAGGGCCTGATCTGGACTTAAAAGAACCTTCGACTCTGTTGACAGACGTGTTCAGTACCTGTACGTCCTTACTGTTAACACCACAGAGGTAGGACTACTGCTGTTTCTTGTCAAAGAAAGCTAGTACCCCTTTAAGCCCTAAGAGTAATCAGCATCAAATTTCTCCTTTTAATAGAATGCTTTGTAAAACAGAGTGGTGTCGAGAATAACGGACATGATCACACAAAATGAATTTGCTTGATATTTTATCAACCTCTCCCCACTACCCCTGTAGGAATGAATAGGGGTAACAAATGAGAATTCAAATTTTGATCATAGGGTTTAAAGGGTAATGCATCGGTCTTGTAAACGAAGCAAACGTGAAACGTCAGAGTTATAAAAAAAACTTAGAGACAGATCTTGTTCTGTAGTTATGGATCAGACGTGCGTTAGCAAATTGATTGAGTACACTAAACTAGTGCTGTCTGTCTGTTGATATCATAGAATAGATAACTACAATCTCTGAAAAATAAGCTACGTAGGGGAAGGCAATTCGATTTAAGGGAGAAGTGTACGGCGTGTTCCTTAGACTTACTAAAGTAAGTTTTTACAGTTTTGCCGTGTTTAAATGTTAATCTACTTTTCCACATTTTAGTGAGGCATATTCCTCTTGTCTGGAATTGGTGCTCATGAAGTTGTCGATACAGTTTCCTGAACTTGGAACCGTGCTGATGAAACAGCTTCTGAAATGTTCAGGTGAAAAGCAGAAAACAAGGTCACCTGTTGTGAATGTAGCTACAGTGGAACTTATATATCAACTTGGAAAGAAGCAGGATTCTTCATACGAAGACAGGTCTGACATAACGATTTATGGTCTTGCACGATGTTATATGAAGCAACGTATGCTGTAAATAAAATTCAAGTAGCTTTCGGTTCTTCATTCTTAGATTGTCTGACTTGCTTAGCGTTCCCACTTGGCCTGTCGCAAGCAGAGCCAAAATCGCGTGTAGTTTGTTTGCTCGCGTTGTCCGCGCAGGTATTTACGTAAGTTCGGATTCTTTCATTGGAATTTCTGGGTTTCTTCTTGTGCTGTTTGGTATTATGACACTTTGTAGATGTAAATATTATTGCCCATTAAAGTTCTTTTGATCACAGTAGGTGTAATATTTTCTCTCGTGTTTACGAACACAAAAATGACGAATACTCCCTTGACAATCTAGCGAGACGTTTGTATCACGTGAAAGACTAAAGCCGATGCATTTAAGAACTACTATTCACTACATAGCAAAATGAGAGAGAACGAACCAAAGGCTCGGTCAACATTTGACGAAGTTTTTATTTCAAGATATCATTTCGTTTATCATAGTAACCTTTTTTTTGCTGTATAATTCTTTCATTTCTTTCATCCTGATGTAGGTTGTCAGTGATGTCGTCATGGTTAATCTCCTTATGTGAGTGCCCAGCCACTACCATGGTAGCACCTGGTCAGGTGCAGGCGGTAGCTGCCGTAATCTGGAAGGCCAAGGACACCGAGTCTGAATCCATTGTTACCAAAAAATTTTCTGATACGCTTTTCAGGTGCGTTGCTGTGTTAATTAACCAAACTGTTAGTAAATATTTCATGGTTATCCTGACGCTCTAGTCCGCTACATAGCCGTTTTTAGGGTCGTCACGCAACGCTCCTCCCCAGTTGCGTGACGAAACTAAAAACTGCTCCATTGTGCATGCCAAAATAGTCTGAATTTGATATGTACAATTCACCCTCTCTGGTGTACTGTAGAGCTGGGAACATCGACATACTGTCAACTGAAGGTTTTGTTAGGCCTATTACAGTACACTTTGACAATGAAGTGTCCTCATCAGGAGGGTTGACTGTCTACGAGAACCTGTTGATTGGGCAAGAAAGAGAGTGTCGGTTGTCCGTATTAACGGGTGTCCGTATTAAGCGGATTCAATTTAGGGAAAATGTAAAGGCTTTCCCGAGGGACAAAGGAAAGCGTCTGAAATAACTAGGTGTCCGTAAAGCTGGGTTTGACTGTATTTGAGAAATCTTCAGAGAGTGGTGGGTGAGGAGGCTTAACTGCTGTTCGGGACTGCTGCTAACTGCTGTTCCGCTACCTTCCCCCCCCCCCCCTCGAAAAAGACTCTCTTCTCGGGAAAGAACAAGACAGGACCCGAGAAGGCGGCTGACGGCTTCACAGGTCTTGTGTCACCCCAATGTTTTTGTTTCCAGGTTATGCTGCTTTTACGCGAAAAATTCATGCTTCTGAAGCCTTTTCTTAAATTTTATTTCCTTTTCTTTTCAGGAGGCTGTTTGAGTTGTCTCAAAATGTTAGCGATCAAGATTCTTTAAAGCAAAGCATTGACCACCTCATCGGTGCATTAACATACATCTGTCCAGAGTATTATGAGGTACTTTTGGAGTTAACCGGGATCAAGAACCTCCTACAAGAACATCACAAGAAAGAAGGAAACAAGGATAGCATGTGGTCAACCCTTTTGTCGCCTCCATCGCGGCTTGTAACACTTGCAACCGCTTCTCAGTCCTCCATTACAAGTCGGATGCTGTTAAATTCTGGCCTTCTTGAACTGTGCGTTGAAACCATTGTAGACTTCTGTCATTCGATTGGAGATTTGACCCAAGATTCGCTTGTAGTGAGCTCACCAGAAAGGAAAAGTGGTGTCCCTGTTAATCTGCTGCCACATCTTTTGCGTTTTCTCACGTCTTGTTGCCAAGAACCAGCGATAAAGGACTGGATGGGAGAAGGTGGTTACCAATTTTGGTTTCCTCTTCTATCGAAGCTCTGCGGGGGACATAGTGATTACAGTAATTTGCAAGGGAGATTACCAGGCATAGCGTCTTCCATCTCAAGGTACAGTAGCTTCGCGGTTGAAGTCGCAACCCTTGAACTGCTGTGTAGTTGTGTGCGTTTTCATCCTCGAAATCAAGAGAAAATGGCCTGCCTTTTGGTTGAAATTATCGAGGGACAGGGTTCTTTGTCGTCATCAAACTTGTCGAAAAAAACAGTGAATACTACTCGAGTCAGTGGCTTCATCCGACAGTTGATCTTGAAGATGTTGTTGGAGGACGAAACAGTTCCTATCTGTTTGCATGTTGAAAATGATTCAAACTTACAGTCGTTTAGGGGGACGGATTTTTATCATAGACCTGGTTGGCACCCTCGCCTTGGAGCAGGACACTCATTCGTGTTGCTTTCTGCTAAAATGTCATCAAATCTTCAAGAGCTAAGCAGGCAGATTCTTTTACCTCAACCAGAAAAACATGTTGAGACAATTTCTGAGGAAAAGACCTTTAAATCGTCAGCTGAAGGAAGCACAGACCCGTGTGACTTTGGTCTGTACGAAGGATTTGAATTTCTGGAGTCTGTTAGCCTTGCTGCGGGGCTGAACGTAAAGAACAAAAGGGCGGACAAAAGTGACACGTTATCGGCCAAGGACAACCCTGCTACCTTACAGAGTATCAATCAAAAGAGTAACTTATCTTACTCACTTTTTCATGAGATCTTTGGTGATAAGTCTTTGCCACAGTCTTGGACATTGGCTCAATTAATGCAGTCCTTGATAAACAGTGGACTTCCTTGTGGAAGTTCGTTTCTTGAGCTGAGCTGTAGGAAGCAAGAAGAAACGAAGTTGGTAGATTCCTTGCCAACTGTTACGTCGTTGTCGACTCCCCTGGACATCTTTGCTAAACAGGATGGGCTTGCGCAGTTGTCAATTCACTTGCCACGCCACATCATTGTCTCCCCCTCAGTTATTCCAGCTACAGACCTCGAAGATAGGGATGCTGATGACAATGGCGTAGGTAGACTACCCTCGTACCCCACACAGCTTCCGCTGCCTCTGGTTTCTCTCCCCGCATCAGTTGCCAGTACTGTCCCAGCTCATTCTCTTGTTGCATTTGGCTTGTTCATTCGCCTTCCAGGGTACAACAAAGTGCTTTTACAGGATCGTCGCAGAGCTCGCTATCTTCTGAGGCTGCTTATGGGCACCAAGCAGGATAGTGATGGAGGTAAGAGGTAACAGGTCGTTTCGCCTGAAAGTCGATTAGCCCGAAGTTGTTTCGCCCAAACCTAAGTCGATGCGTCCGATGTTTATTTTGTTGTTCTTTAAGCCTGAGAAAGGAGTAAGCGTGAAAAGATAGTGACTACACATGCGGATCAAAAACTTTTTCTTGTGAAAACTTCACACACAAAATATATATCAAAGCACTTTAAACCCTCGATTTAGTGAGAGAGCGATCTGGTGGTTCACTCTTTTAACCTGGGCTTTGATGTCCAGGACACTATTTAACCCTTTCACTGCCAAATTTAGCAAAAAGCAAATTCGACCAAATGTTCAAATTTCATTTTGTGAAATTTTGACAAACAAATAGCACTATATGTAAGTACAGGTAGAGAGCTTTCATTTGAATGGTCACATCATAGGATTTCGTCTGCACACTGAAAAGTTAGAGTCACCTCACAAAACTCCATCTTCCTCTCTGGCAGTGAAAGGGTTAATTCAAGTCTTCACGTTTCAAACTTGTTTAGGCCGATCAGGAGGGAAGAATGGGTCGGCTACGAAGTTTGTGCAGTTGCCAACAGTTTTTATGTCAAACATTCACTATAGAGTGCTTGTACCCTCTTAAAAAGGATTTTGCCGTAGAACGCGTGCTCATTGTTAATGTTTTCGTGTTGTTCAAACCTGGCACTTAAGTGTGGAAAGTGATTTATAGTTTTCAGAAGAGTCAGGAAAACTTGTTTTCTTGCGAGAAACTGGGTGGAAACTGCTTCTCAGATCCTAAAAGCTAAACCACCTTGCCCATGGATAGAATAATGTTTTGTTTGGCCGTTTTTTACCGAGCTGTTGTTTTTTATTCACCATGGGTCCAGTTGTTACAAAGGCCGATTGGCAGGCACGATAGTAACCCGGCGTTAAATTTTTAACCCTGGTTTCCCTGTTATTTTCTTGTTTGTGTTCGATGGGAAAATTGAGCATTTTCTCGGATAATTTTCTCTGTTATTTTAAGAGCTCCCAATCATCAACTTGTAGACAAAAAGAATTAAAACTGAACTGCTTTTTAAGCTTTCAAATCTGAATTCGAATCTCGCACTAACCCTGGGTTATCTTAACCTAGCTTTGAACAACTCGGCCCTAATCTGTATTTTTAACGTGATGAAAGGGAAAGAATTTCTTCGGACGTAGACACTGTCAAATTTGAGCTTCTTATAACTGCGGTCAAACCAAATATTGTAACAAGCGAAGCACACCAATATAAAATCTCACGAACTGTGACTAGCCTAGCATAAGGCAAAACAAACAAATGGCATAGAATATTTACTTCGTTCGGTTTTATGCATGCTAAACACGTTTAAGCCAACAGTAGAAGCCGTGAAATGCAGAGCAAGTAATTCTGAAACCATTCTGTCATTCCCAATGTATGTTTTTGTTGTAGAATCTATCCTGTCCTCTCCAGTAGCCAGCAGCCTGTCCACCCTGCCATTCCAGATGTTGTCCACCCTGTTCCAGGATGATACATTGACTTCACTGGAGAGTGTAGCAGTTCAGAGGGCAGCTATGGAAGTTGGTGCCATACAGATGGTTTTACTGTGCCTGGCAGTGCTTAGTCACCACAAGCCGCGTGCATCTAACCACTCTCACAATCTGGCCCTGCAGGCACTTTCTGCTCTGACTGGAAGGTAAGCTTAATCCTTTAGACCCCAATATCCACGCACAAATTCTCCAGACGGGTCTGCATTCATTTTCTTAAATAATTAGTTGGGAGAATTTGGTATTATTTTCCTTTTGGTGATCATTTTATAACTTCTCATAATCTTTTCTCTTGATGATGTAAGAATATTGTTAGGAGAAAACTGATGTTGGTCACTCGTGGGACTTAGAGGTGATGTTACACGAGACTATTTGTGACGACGATTTTAAGGGCAACCCAGCACATTATGTGGCGACATTAGTGTGTTTTGTGACTCCTGAATTTTATGTGGATAAAATCCTGGGGTGCGATTCAAATGAAACCTATTCAGCAGTCCTTTCACGTGGTAATATTTGTTTTTCTCCATTTTCCAAATTGAAATTTGGAATTTTTGCTGAAGTTTGACTTTCGACCATTCTGGGAGTAAAAGTTTAACCTTTTTTTCGTCCCATACTCGGGTCATGACGAGCTATAACCGTTAGGATTGTCTAGCTGCTCAGTCCTACCACTTTTCTTTAATTTGCATTTCCTTTCTCATGGTACTACAATGTTGTACGCTTGTCTCGAGGAAATATGATTTATTTTCCTTTCCAGCGTATGTCGTGATAACGATACAGGATCAGGCAGTGAGAGGAGCTACTGGGCTAAAGGAACAGGCTTTGGCACAGGATCCACCTCTTCTGGCTGGGATGTGGAACAAGCCATGCTGAAACAAAAAGCTGAAGAGGAACATGTTACTTGTCTACTACAGGTAAAAAAAAAAAATCCGTTGATAGCCAATTTTTGTGCGTTTTGATTGGGTGCCGTATTAAAACTTAAAGTCAAAATGGCGTCTCGTCTCGCGACAGTTTCGGAAGACGAGATTTTGAGATGAATGAAGCAGCTGTACCAACTTATACGAAGAAAGCTATAAAAGTTAGCTTTTATTATCGATGTTTATTGGAAGGTAGATTTTTTTTCTTTTCCTTTCTTTCCTTTCTTTCTTTTTGTCCTTTTGTTTTGTTTTTGTTTTTGCTTTTGTTTTACCTCCTGAATTTGTATAGAATCGCAAATTATATATTCATCTCTTAATCATAAAACCAGCTCATCTCATTTATCAAACTGATTACGGTTCGGTAGAAATTCACCATTTTTCACCTTCTCCTCGGAGGACAGTTTTTTAGGATCAATTTAGGTCCCACCTACCCCTCCCCTAAGCCAACATTAACACTTACTTCTCACTTAAGGCAAAATGTTAGCTTAGGGAAGGGGTAGGTGGGTAGTTTCCCAGAAACCTAAATTGCCAGCCTCATACTGAATAGTGAATACTAGGTCTCTCCAAATAGTTATTTGTAAGTGTGCTTATTTTGTAGGTTCTTGCAAGCTATATCAAGACCTTTAGACAAGAGCGCGAGACTGATGAAGTGGAGTGTTCAGAATCAAGCCTCGCGTTGTCACTGTTAGAGTTGTTGGGGGAATCGTGTCTGATTCCTGCTCTGTCGTCCTACTTGAGGAATGACTCTGGTTTGTAGATGTGCCTCGCTACAGTTAATATCATTTCTCCCGTGACAGTTATTTTTCTTGATCCTGAATTTACGGTTGTTTAATTCATTTGTTGTTGTTCATCTTTTGGTCACGTGACAAACATGTCCGTTATCACTCGACAAGAAGGGAGTCAGAAGCTCGTGTGAATCTCCTGTGAATCTCCTGCCCCTAATCCTGATTGGGTAGAAGGGAAACTCGGGGGTGTTTATATTGTAGGTAAAATCTGTTCTCAGGTCAAACCAGTGTTCACCATAGTTTGATTCAGAATTTCCTGTGTTTTCAAGCCCTGGTTATTCACAGCAGACAAAGAAAATTCTGGTTTAACTTGAGAGCGGTTTTGGCTGAAAACATTTATAGCTTAACTGTGTGGTGGAATCCCGTTAGTTCGAAGCTTCAGGGGAAACTGAAATTGGTTCCAAAGATTTTCTGGGAGGTTTGAACAATGAGACGTAAAATTACATGGTCTGGTTGGTTTTGGTTTCTACACAAATTTATTCGGTGCAAATATGCAAGGTTCTAGAGACTAACCGTCCAAAGATGGTAAATACCTGCTTGAGTTTCATGGGGTTGTAAATTAGAGGGCAAACGGAGCCTTTATTTAACCTTTTCTTTTTCATTAAAGTGCTGGACATGGCAAACGCCATGTTCCTCTGTATTCGGAAGGTTCTAAAGACTAACGGTCCTGAATGTCCTCCGTGCCATTGTCCTGAATGTCCTCCGTGCCATTGCCTTGTGCCCAGTTCTCTTGCCTCTGTTGCTTCCTCGATCAAATGGTTATTCGCCAAGTCACCAAGACAGAGCTTCGTTAGAGGCTCCTTGTATAGCCACACTTCTGGACAAGATGAGGCAGTGTGTTGACACTTACTCTAGAACTTTACGGTTTGTATCTCAACATTCTAGATGACAATTTCACAATATAAAACGAGACGCTGTCAAAACGTATACTTGGACTTTGACCTGTAACGTAGTTCTTATATTCTGAGCTTGGGCTGCCTGTGGCTTACTTTCGCAAGAGCGTGTTTGGTGTACAATGAGCCCACCATCGTCAGTGGCAGACTGCGCACGCGCATTTGACTCCAGTTGCGTTCAATGGCTAGACGAGATTCAAACTTGGGTATTTCCATTGGACGCCCAGTTTTAAAATAAGGATTAGTGAACTCGTCCTCAAATTACATGCACTTACCTCAATATTAAGCGTGTTTCAGACAGGTTGTACAGTTGACTAAGTAGCCTTTTAAACCATGAAATAACCTTAACTTGTCGGACGAATACAATTTGTATTGATCCGTGGAAGTCAGCTACCTCGTGAAAAGGAAGTAGCCGTTCTTGTATTATTTTTTGACAGCTCAACTCAGTGGAAAAGAGAAGATCCCACTCCATCCTCCACCAGTGCGTCAAGCACCGCAGGTTCAAGCACAACAACCGAGGAAGACACTTCGGCAGGTGCAAGTCCATCGGGAACAAAGGCACAAATGCAAGGCTCAACAGAGGAAAAGAAGGACGCCGAGGCAGAAGGGCTAGCGCAACTTATACCGGACATCCAAGAAACTGCAAAGCTGTTGCAGCAGGTAGTTCAGAAATTTCGTAAGCAGAAGGCCGTCCACACCAAGTCAACGGAAGGAACCGGAAAGGAGCCTGAAAGCGAAGCTGCATCTCTCTCACCCGAAGAGAGGTATTTGGCCAGCATGAAACCTCTTCAGTTTGGTAAGTGTTGTCACGTTTCTGAGTTCCTCGTTGGGGGTGGGAAGTGAATAGGGAGTCTGCCTAAGCTGTCTCGTCGGCGACGACACCAACAACGTAAGAAAAAGAATAGCTTTGAATTATCAAAAAGAACAACTTTGCACGTGCTGTGCACTTTTTGATACATTTCTTTGGTGTCGCCGCAACGACGTACCGACGTAAAAATGCCTAATTTCGCTTTCTATGGAGGACGTAAATAAGCGAGGAGGGATTTCTCCTTCTCTTTTTGAACATGGATATTTTTACAGAATTCGACTTCAGGAGAATTCGGCTACGTTTGACAAAGTGAGCAGGTTGGTATAATCGCGCTGTAGTTTCGAAAAACGCAAAGTCGCTTTTTAAATAACGTTTTTCGCCGCCTTCGCCGTCGTGGTATCTCAAACTCCCTGATGTGGGATTCATGACCGCGAAGAAACAAGAGGCTCATCATTGCGCGATTTTAGTTGCTTAGGCCTTATGCCTTCGCGCCTCCTTGTTTGTGTCTGTGGTCTCTGTCTGCCATGAACTATGCTAACAAAATCGTAGAGGGATATTTTCTTACAATCCAGTTGTCTTTTTCTTTTCTTACACCGTCTTTCTTCTTATCAGGAACTCACAAGATTGTGGTTGAAAAAGATGGAAAGTTAGAGTTCGATTCTGGTGGCTATCATTTTGCGTCTTCCGTGCGGTCAGCGGGTAATGGTACTGGAAGTGGTGGTATGGTGCGGGCCAGACGTCTAGCACAGGAAGTGTCCTCATTAGCAACGTCACTTCCGCTTTCCTGCAGTTCGAGTGTGTTTGTCCGTTGTGATAAAGAAAGACTGGATGTAATGAAGGTAATGACCAAAAAAATGTGAGAGTCGCCATAATTGTAAAGTTTAAAGAAAGGTAAAAGGGTTTTTTTTTTAGGGGAGCTCAAAGTGTGCGCGCGAGCATAGCCTCATAGCTAAGAAAATTTGGTTATCTATCGTGACCGTACGTCCGTCCGACCGTCAGTCCGCATTACAAGGCAACCAATGTAAAATCTCTCAGTTTCTAGCTAGTGTGGGAGCCTGCGACCTGGTATTGCACGTCCATGTTGTGGTCAATTGACAGCTGTAAAAACAGGTTATCCGCTGACCAGTATCACATGACCATACCGCCGGCTCAGGTGCTTCATGGTGTTTTTTTTTTACTGATCGCAGGCTCAACTCCAAGTGGATTTCTTTGCGATGGTTACAAGTTTATTGTTTAAAGTAGTTTATAAATTTATTTACGCTTTTAGCCTTGGGTAAATCTACGTATAATTATCATTTTTTTAGGTGCTTATAACAGGTCCTTCGGATACTCCATACGCCAATGGATGCTTTGAATTTGATGTGTACTTTCCCCAGAACTACCCTGAATCTCCCATGTTTGTCAACTTTGAGACAACTGGTCATCACAGTATTCGCTTCAATCCAAACCTCTACAATGATGGAAAGGTAACTGGTGCAAAGTCACAATTTGATCTGGTCGATATCATGCGTTTTATAATAAAGTTCAGATATAACGCGAACTCTGATTGAGTGAAAACAGTGCTTTATGAGAGCATAAAATACGGAGTTAAAACTGTCACCGCCATCTGCTTATAGTTTCTTTTTAAAACTGGAATTAAGTAATGCGTGGGGAATTTAACGGCTTCTTTGTCACATAACAAATAATGAAGCCTCTGTCCTCTGTTCGGTTTCTCTCTGGAAGCGACTAAATCACTCAAGAAGCCAGGAAAAACACTCGACTACATCTCTCTACGCTTCGTGCGTGCTCTTGCCGCTTCCTGCGTGCTTTACAACAGAACAGAGCACAGTCAAGGCTTCTTTATTTGTTGACTAGAAATTGACCCATTTAACTCATAGTGAGAGCAGGCTGACGGCTCTGAAGGCTAATTTTGTCGTATTTCTTATGTGGCAGGTTTGTTTAAGTATCTTGAACACTTGGCACGGTAGACCAGAGGAGAAGTGGAATCCACAGAATTCAAGCTTTCTTCAAGTAAGTGAAGAGCAGCTCCTATTCTTTACTTTCACGGTTGCATTCATTATTTTCAATTCAAATGGCCTGTCTCCGACGTACAAATAGGGCGGAGCACAGGGTGAGACTGTAGGAAAAAGCGGCGCAGGAACCTTTTTTGTCTCCAATCGTTTTATTTCGCTACGTTCCCCATGATCGCCCGGAACTAACTTAAATCCAACGTGAAGTTGTGTTAGGTTTTCTTTCCTCCCGCATCTAGCATTTTTCACCTTTTGCTCGCCTAAAGTTGAAGTTCGTTTAAGTCAGTTATGCTTGGTGAGCGTTCTTAGCCTAAGAGTTTTTCCAACTTAGGTTCTGGTGTCAATTCAATCGCTCATTCTGGTTCACGAGCCATACTTCAATGAACCTGGGTACGAGAGGTCGAGGGGTACACCCGCTGGCCAGCAGAATTCAAGGGAATACGACGCCAACATTTGTCAAGCAACTGTACGCTGGGCTATGCTGGAACAGTTAAGGAAGCCTTCGCCCTGTTTTAAACAGGTCAGACTACAGCATATTGTAAATAAGTACTTCGCTGATCAACAGCACATTCTCATTGATATTCATTAGATCGGCGGTTAAAATGGCGACGAAGAATGGCCAATTTGGTCCAGCGCGTGCGTCATTCAGCGGCAGCAATTTGTAAAACCTCTGTTAACCGACGTAATCCTAGACGTTTCGCCATAAACGGCATTTTCAGTGACTTAAAGCGTAGGTAAAAATTTCTTCCGGGTTGCATTGAAGCTACTATGTACGTTAACGGTGTGGACGAAGCCGATTTCAAGCTTTCGGTTCTAAAAAACGAAAACGTCTCAGTATGCTACATCCGCCCAGTGTTCTGAACTAGGACAAGTTTTTTCTTTCTCGTGTTGTTAAGAATTTGAATGATACTCAGGGCGTTTGTTATGTCTTGTACATGCAATTAGGTTATCCAAGCGCACTTCTACTACAAGAAAGATGAAATCCTGGCACAGTGCGAACGATGGATCAAAGACACAGAGAGTCTGTTAGCCGGGAGACCCGTGGGGCGAGCCATATCTCATCATGTACAGTCCTTGAAGCAGAACACAGTTCTGCTGAAACAGGAGCTGGAAAAGCTAGAGCCGCCTCCTGAACCCAGGGAAGGGGAGGAGGACAGTGATGAAGATAGTGATTGACACTGTCACTCACTCAATAATAATTGACATTGTCACTCGCTCAATGACGGAATCGACAGTTGCAGCAACTGTTAAATTCACAGAGTATTCGGCGCGGTTAAGTGTTAACCTCCATAGGCGCTGTGGTTTATTGTGCAATTCAAGGCGTTGTCATTTGCGAAATGCGAAATGAGCTTTGACACACGTGGAACCGACACGTTTCATTTACCACGCCTAAGAACATTTAAAATACACGAAAACTACTGCCAGGTATTTATCCTTCAAAGGAGCAGGATGTGTGCGTGCGTGCGTGGTATAACATGACTACCGGGCCATTGCTGTGTAAAAGTAAAGGACGCGATTGCGTGTGGGACATCAAGCGGTAATATGAAATCACTTTGTTTCCTTGTTTGTACACCGCATTTACTGAAAAGAAAGTAACTGCTCTACCATCAAATAAGAACAAGCTGAGTTATCGAATCAGTGACTGTTTCTTGCCAGCGTCAACGTTGTAATTATATTCCAACTCGATCTGGCTTCGGTTTCATTCCCAATTCACCAGGTCACCTCTGGAAATATCGTGGCACTCGTGGGCATGTTCTCTAATTAAGCAAACCTTAGAACTAAACTCTGATTAGAAAAAAAGCTAGCTAAAAGATGCAGCTAGCCTTAAAGCAAGCACATAAGGTTGTATGCAATCCTTCTGTGGACCAGTTTCAGTTCCGATGTTTTTAGTTAATTACCCAAAACATAATATGAATATGTGATTCAGTTGATTAACAGATTATTTTATTACACTGGGGTATCCGAACTCTCCTGACGCACCGCACTATATAAGTGGTATTTGTTTAAAGACTCCTGACTTCACTCCCTACGTAATTTTGATTTACAAAGTATCCTCGTGAGTTACTATAAATTGTATAGAGACCAGTGCGCTATAAGGGCAACTAAATGGTTACAATGATAAATAGATGTCGCAAACAGTGGATACTAGATGGAGGGACTGAATCGCAACAGCTAAAACCAGCCCCAGTTGTTCAAAAGCTGGATAGCGCTTTCCACTGGATAAATCACTATCCAGCGGATAAGTACTAGGGAAACCAATTGCGCTATCCAGTGGATAGAGATTTATCCAGTTGATAGCGCTATCCACTTTTTGAACAACTGAGACCAGATGTAGTGACCAGCGGGGTTTGGCAGAGGTTTTCAATGTCGTAGGGTCGCAAAGGTGGTTTCAGTATATGTTGTAGAGAATTTCTGTACTGGGTTGTGGGGCTCCGAATCGCTGAATGGTACATTCGCCGCTTTAAAAACGGGAAAGGAACTAGTGCCGAAATATGCCCGCAATTGATTCTGGGATCGATACTGGGGACGTGCCGGTCAGCTATTGGCTTTTTTTCTTGTCCCCAGTAACAGCCCCACAAGACCAATATTATCACTGATGCACACGTGTCAACTCCGCGGTATGGCCATTACCTGTCCATGGCTGCCACTACCGGGGTGATATGGTTGGGTGCATGCGTAAGGTACTGGCCATACCGTGGAGTTGGTTGCTTTAATTGGTACAGTCCCACAAGTCTTGGCAACCGTTTACTCGGACCAGTTCCCAAAGTGGCGAATTCTGCCCACTTCGACAAGCACCCTTGAAGGTTTACGTAAAATCTTTAAATTTATTTAAACATAGTTAGGTACTAACTATGCAGAGAGTTCGTTTCAGGACTACTGTTATTAAACATAAGCTAGTTACCTGCGCGGGTGTCAAACGTTAATAATTTTTTTAATCATTCATTGTGAATAGCCAATTCGACTTTTTAACATTAAGCAGCATGACTCAATTTAGCTCAATTCTTTTGCTCTCGGTCAAAGAGTTGTACTTAAGTTCCTCCCTCTCGGCTTTGAAGAGGTTGAGACTGCTGGCATAGGGGAATGAAGCCATTCGTGCCAAGTAAATTTTTCTTCTCCATCTAATAAACTTGTTTCTGTTAATCACGTCATGATTTAGTACCTTTTTGGGGAAGGAAAAGAGGGCAGATAGGGTAAGTCTCTGCCAGCTTCGAATAAGGCATTTGGAGGTCAAGTGTCGTCTCCATGAGATCATCGTCACGCGACCACCTTTCTTCACTTTCATGTTGTTATGTGGGATACACTGTTCAGTTTTGTATCAGTAATTCTGGTAGAAATGTGTGGTCATTCAATATGGTTTCAAGGGTTTTAAGGTTCTTTAAAGTCAATCCTTCCAATCATAGCGGCCATCGTTCCAAGTTGAAGGAAGGGTCGGCGTCGCACCTTACTTACCACAAGGGACAAAAGTGTTGACACACTACCATTATATGGCACCATTTTTGCATAATAGACATGTCTACTCGCTCCCCACGAAATTAATGTTGTATTCCCTCGGACGTACACGCAAATTCATACCCCCACCGTGGTACAAGGGGAAGGGGGTGGGGTGGTTGATCGAAATCACAATACTAATTGTACGTTTGTGAAATCGTTTTTCTTTTTTTTTTTCACAACCTTTTCCATGCGACCATACATCAACATTCATAGCGTTCATAGTTTTACACATCACTTTACTTGATCAAGCTGTTTAATGCATTTTAAAACTTTTGTTAAAATATTTCAATTTGGTTGAAGATGACTTTGCTTACATAAAAGTCTTTTAAAAGCCTTTCGAAACTCCTTGTTCCTAGCGCAGTAAATTAAAGGATTACAGACCGAGTTACAGAGTGCAAGTGATCTAAAGGCGTATTCCATTACGAATTTCATAGCGGGTGAACTCAAGAAAGGCATCATAAAAAGTCGAAATAGAAACAAAGGCACGAACGAAAGCAGGACCACTCCAATAACAATTCTCGTAGTGTTCAAAGCTTTCTTTTCCTTTAAAAATGTTTCTCTGGCTTCCGTGGAGATTTGTTGAGACGCGATTTTGAGCATCTGAGAACGAGCTTCTCGATAAACGGCAATCTGACAAAAGATCAGGATAGAAATACTAGCTACTATTAAGAAGACGCGAAAAACAGAGTTGAAGACATTGTTAAGCGAGAATAAATAGGTCAGAACAGTCATCAAAGCAGCAACTGACCAAACAGTGACCGCACTTGCAACCAAGCGATGTTTGGTGATAATTTCAGGATATTTATAAGGGTGCATAATCGCAAGATAGCGTTCGATGCTTAGCAACGCTAAATGTTGAATAGAAGCAGTTACAGACGTTATAGTGATGGCTCCCTCTAGGAGGCACACGGAGTAAGAATCCACCGAGCTTCCTCCAAGACGGTGTATCTGTTTTGCCACCGTCAGCGGCTGTCCAATGGCGCCAGTCATCAAATCGGTTCCAGCTAAAGAGGCCAGCAACATGTTGCAGTTGGTTTTCAGCCGGGAAGATGTCTTGACGGAGATCATTACCAGGACATTTAAAAATATAGTACAAGCAGACATGAGAAGATTGATGACGGATAAGAAAATAAGCGATACAGTCACTGGGGTGGTTAGATATGCTGGAAGCCAATCAGGCATACCATCGTAGACATAATTGCAAACATCTAATTGCGATATCTGCTTGGAAGAGTTTGTCATTTTCAAAGACCTCAAATTTCAAATTCTCGGCGTCAGCCGCAATAAAGACTTCATGTGGAGGTGTTGCGTTTTTATAGACAACATTAATTAAAAAATAAAGGATGCACTCTTCTACTTAAAAGTGAAAGGAAGTTATTTCATTTCAGTGGAGTCCCAAGGAAGTAAAACAAGTGTTATTATGAAAGATCTTTTTTAAGCTTATGTTATTGTCGATGGCACTTATTTTTTTTTGTTAAAGCTGTCACTGAAACAACAAAAAATTTCGATTTTAATTCTGTAAATGTGCATTTGCACGAGTCTGTCACTGATTTGTTTGTCAATGCCCAGGATCAACCAGATTGTGCAAACTTTGCACGGAGAATTTTCGAACAAGTATGTTATTACGCATTGTTACGGTAGTACATAAATTATTAACAAAAATACTAAAAAAATAAGTGTCTATTCAAAATTTGGTAGACTAGTGCCACATTTAAAAACTAACTATAGTTGATGAGAAATTTTTAAACGTGTTTCTTTTCTGCATATGCCTTAAGATGAACAGTATTTGCTCTTTATTTTTGTCAGGAAACTTCCGTAAACTGCTGCTGATGAGCCGCCCCCAGGTAAAGGCCCATCTACCTGTAACTAAAATACATGCCATTATAAGCCCTCCCACGCCCCCTCTTCCCAAATATAACCCCCTCTAAAAATATATTGCATCTTGAAGCTTAAAAACCAGTAAATGCAAGACGTATTTTAATCAGCACTATGATAGCTTGTTTCGAAGTGCATTTTTTTTTTATTTCGGTTAAAAAAGCCCCCTCGGATATAAGCTCCTTAGGATATAAGTCCCCTCGGATATAGGCTCCCTCGGATATAAGTCCCCTGGGATATAAGCCCCCTCGGATAGAAGTCCTCCAAAACACCTTACAAAGATATATAAGTTCAGGGCTAATAAGCAGCTGCTTACGGTATACAACAATAACGCATGTCACTGTCTTGTCTTCCTCGGGCAAATCTTTTCAATGGCTACATGTTAGTAAGTAAGGAGAAGCGTAAGCGACAGTTGAAAGCCATTAGTTCAAAAGGCTGAGTTGTCTAGAATTTCTACTGCCATTAAAATCGGCTGTCAAACTGTCAGACATAGCGTAGAATGGCTGTCAGCAAGGTTGGATTGCGAACAATTATTTAGGAAGTGTTAGAATCGTGAAGCTTGCGTCAAAAATAAATATTAAATAGAAGTAATTTGTAATAATAAAACACCTTCCTTTTTGCACAACAGCTGAAACCATTATGCAAACCCTGTGGAGAGAAATCTGATTTTAATTGCATCGGAAATGATAACTGTTTGTGTTTGATCTGTATGCGGATATTTGGCCCTAATGAGAAAAAGAAACCGAGAAAATGTATCGGTCAAATCCTTCTTGTCTCAGGCTGGAAAGAATTTTATCAATACTGTACATAAACGTATGTGTATCTCCATACTTCGGTCTTGCGAAAGTCGCGGAGTTTAATCATTTATCCTACAATATAATAAACTTATTTTGTTGAAGAGTAGCCTATGTACAGACGTCCCCCCTCCCTCAGAAAATATCCCGATTTTTCTGAGGGACAGGGGACGTCTGTACACAGTCTAGTTGAAGAGAGACGGTCAGTAATTCACCTTTTATAACAAGTTGTTTTGTATGCACTTGGTTAATTAATTTTAAATAATATATCAATATCAACACTAAGCTACACCGTTTATTTCTCTTGATTGCATTTAAAAATATTTCTAAAATACTAAATGAAACGAGTTTAGAAAATTTTTTGCCCTTTTCTTTCCAAAATAAGGGCCTGAGAAATTTTCAGCTCTCACCGGCTACTCCGAAGTATCTTACTTAAGCTGATTTTAGACTTTTGTATTCCCAAAAATAAACGTAATTCACTATTATTTGTCAAACTAAATCGAGTAATGAATGGCGATTGCCCATTGGCAACCCAATCCCCTCCCCTTAAGTGCACCTTGTAAAAATATTTCCTCCCAGTGGAAATATTATTTAGGGGGGTGAATTGTGAAGAAAAAGAACACGAAATTAAAAGATTTCAGTTAACAACTTCTTTGATACCCTTGATTTTGGTTAAAACAAAGAACTTGGATTTCAGTGTTTTATTATCTTTTTAAATGTTAGCAAGTAAGGAGTACTGCACGAATGACAATTTAAAGTTATTAGTTCAAGAGGTTGAGTTATTTTCAAGCCCCTTTTTTGACCCCTTCAAGAGACAGCTGGATTCCGTGCTGACTGATTTCCGCAGCCACTCAACCCACTGCCAAATAACACAATGTTCAATGGCCATTGCCGAAAAAGTGCTTCGAGAGCATATTGTTGGAGAAGAAGCTTTCAGTAATCAGTGACAACTTTTAAGAGAAAACCCAGAGAGCTTTGTCAGAACAAATTTATAGGAGTGTTTTGCAGCCGAACAATTTTACGTCATTTGCGGTAAATTTGGATTTAAAGGAAATTTTTCTCTCTGAACTACAAAAGACCGAGAAAATGTTATCTAGATGAACGTACAAACCTACCGTTTTAATAAGAATGAGTCTCTTTGATTTTAACGCGGTCTTTTAATAACCATTCCTTTAATAAATCATTACATTAGAGCCGCCATACTGTTTTTCGTTCCTTGGATCTGACCAATTGGAAAAGGCATTCTCTTGGAAATCTACAGCGCAACAAATTATGGATCTTCTTGCCTCTGAAGTTTTACGATTTATTTTCATTTACTGCCGGTTTACGTATTAGTTAATTACTTTTACAAATTATTTCCTTTTGGAAAAGATTGATGAAGTTTCCTTTTATCCGTTGTTCTTTCACTCTTTCAAGCTGGTCCTATCTGGTTTTGCCTACGTAACAGTCTTCCAAAAGCCTTTCGGAACTCCCTGTTCCTAGCACAGTAAATTAGAGGATTACAAACTGAGTTACAAAGCATAAGCGATCTGCAGGCGTATTCCGTCACCAATTTAGTAGCTGGTGAACTTAAGAGAGAGATAAACATAAATCGTTGTAATATGATAGGCAGAAATGAGAACAGAACAACGCCAATAATAACTGTCGTGGTGTTCATAGCTTTCTTTTCCTTTAAAAATACTTCTTTTGCCTCCTTAGAGACTTGTTGACTTTTTATTTTACGCATCTGAGCGCGAGTTTCTCGATACACAGCAATGTGGCAAAAGATCAGAATAGAGATACTGACTACAATTAAGACGGCGCGAAATGAGAAAGGCAAAATATCTTTAACAGTTAACACAACAGTCAAAGCTGCGAACGACCAAGCAAAAACCGCGCTTGAAATCACGCGTCGCTTGGTCATAATTTCGAGGTATTTGTAAGGATATGTTATTGTGACGTAGCGTTCGACGCTTAGTAGCATCAAATGTAGTATGGAAGCGGTGACAAAATATACACCGGTGATCCTTGAAATGTTATTTAGGAGACAAACTTTGTAGAAATGTGCCGAGTTTCCAGAAAGGCGATATATTTCTCCTGCAACAACAGGTGGCTGTGCGAGCGCGCCAGTCATTAGGTCGGTTCCAGCTAATGAGGCCAGCAAAATGTGGTAGTTGCTTTTTAGCCTTGGCGACGTTTTGACCGCAATGATAACCAGGGCATTTAACACCATAGTACAAGGAGACACGATCAAATTGATGACGGATATGAAAATTATTGATGCAGTCACTAGGGTGGTTAGATGTGATGGGTGCCATTCAGGCATTCCATCGTGGACATACGGACTGCATGAAAAATCTGACTGCGATATCTGCTTGGAAGAGTTCATGCTCAAGGCCTTACAATTTGAAAGTCTTGCCATCCACTGCAATATCGACTCGTGATGATGTTTGTTTTGTACGGGTGAATGACGTACACTTGGACTACTTTTAAAGAAACTATATCTATTAAGACCCATTAAGCTACCACCCTCTTTTAAGCTGCCAGTCATCAAAGTCCCGAGATAATTGTAGAAAAGAATGAGGAATTAAACGTCTATTAAAAGCCCACTTCTGTCAAGCGGCCGCGGCCATCTTTTGGCCGTCCCAACGAGAGTTAATTTATCCATTGTTGTCACCTTTATTAAGCGGTCATCAAGTGCTTGATAACTTAGTTTGGCATTATTTCAAGAATAGGTAGGTAAAGTCGTACACGAGCCAAAGCGCCACACGGCCGGAGCTTATTTTCGGTTTCCGTAGCAAAGCAAGCCTTGGAGTATTGCTACTCCCTCCTGGACGGGATGCTAGTCCATCGCAGGGTTACCCCGCAGAAGTATGTCGCCAGTACACATTTATATACATCTGGGTGAAGAGAGACAAATAGGAGTAAAGTTCCTTGTCTAAGAAAACAACGCAACGGGCGAGGCTTTCAACTCCGGACCTCCAGATCCAGATTTAGAGGTGTTAACCGCTCGGCCATACACGCCTTCAATATGATAAGGAAAATACAGTCCGAGATGGAACTTGCAAACCGATTGTTGTCCAGTAATGCTACCCCCATCGCGTTTTTGTTTCAAAATAGAGTACGATGTTTCTGCTAAAGCCATTATGTTAATGTTTTACTAATTTATAACAAACCTCTATTGAGTGGCCAATTCGCCATTTAGCGGTCACTTACAGGTACTCAAAGGTGGCCACTTAATAGCAGGTCTAACGTAATTCTTTCCAGTAAAGAAGAATACCTAGTTTTCTTACATATGTTGATGCTGATTGCACTTATTGATAAATGCTTTGAATTGTTGATCGAGTTGTCACTTAGTGAAACTTCTAAAAAGTAATTTAATATATTTAGTTCATTTCCTCAGAAACCCATTTGGTCGAGTACCTCATAATTTTCCACAAGAACTTTTTGACTCAGCCAAAGCCGGATAACTGTTTGGAACTGTCATTCAGGATGAAGAACTTACCAAGATTGTTCCAGCCTTGAAAGGCAAAAGTTTATGAGAAGTTTTTACAATAGCGCGTAACGTTCTGACTAAAATGAGAAAATTGGTAGTTTGCTATGCAAAGACATAATAGAGTGTGGCATTTAAAACTTAACAACCGTAATTAACTAACAAAATTGGCAAAACATTTCGTTGTTGTACAGTTTACTAATTAATTCCGGTTGGATTAAAGTTCCTGGATTTCAATATTGTGCAATTTTTCAACGACTAAAAGTTAGTAATAAATGCTAGCCGAAATAACAATTGACAGGCATTAGCTCAAGAGGGTGATAGGTTATAATTTTCTTTTATGTGCTAGAATCCGTGCTGACTGATTCCCACAACAATAAATAGTCTGAACTTAATTGAAGATATGATGGTCGCAGAGGTAATTGCAACTGCAAATTAACCCGAAAAATAGCAAGTAAGGAGTACTGCACAAATGACAATTTAAAGCCATTAGTTTAAGAGGTTGAAGTACTTTCATGCCTCCTTTTTGATCTCTTTGAGAGAAACTCACTGCCAAACAACACAATGTTCAAAGGCCATTGAAAAAGTGTCTTCGAGTTGGAGAAGAAGTTTTCAGTAATCAGTGACAACTTTTAAGAGCAAAACCCAGAGAGCATTGTCATTACAAATTTGTAGGAGTGTTTTGTAGCCGAACAAATTTATGTTCTTTTCGGTAAATTTGGATTTAAAGGAAAGTTTTCTCTCTGAGCTACAAAACGGCACCGAGAAAATGTTGTTTAAATAAACGTATAAACCTACTATTTTAATATGAGTGAATCTCTTTGATTTTAACGCTGTCTTTTGATAACCATTTCTTTAATAAATCATTACATTAGAGCTAACCTAGTTGAATCAAATTTCCCCCGCGGCACGACCAACCAGAAGCCGCTAACTACCCAGATCTGGGTAGTGACGCGTCATCAGTATGCAATTCTCAGGCGTCATTTGGCGTAGAGGCCAGTGATGGTGTTGCCAAATGTCGGCTGTTTTCTCAGGCTACATTAAAGCCGCCATATTGTTTTACGCTCCTTAAATCTGGCCATTTGGAAAAGGCATTCTCTTGGAAATCTACGGCGCAATAAGTTATGGATCTTCTTGTCTCTGAACTTTTACAATTTATTTTCACATACTACCAGTTTACGTATTAGTTAATTACTTTTTCAAATTATTTTCCGTTTTGAATTTATTAAGCTGTTCCCATCTGGCTTTGCCTACGTAACAGTCTTTCAAAAGCCTTTCGGAACTCCCTGTTCCTAGCGCAGTAAATTAGAGGATTACAAACTGAGTTGCAAAGCGCAAGTGATTTAAGGGCGTACAGCAAAACAAATTTCCAAGCGGGTGGACCTATCAGCGACTTCAAAACTGGTCGAAAAATTATTAAAGGCACAAACGAAAGGAAAACTACTCCAATAACCATTGTTGTAATGTTCAGGGCTTTCTTTTCCTTTAAAAATACTGCTCTGGCTTCGGTGGAGATTTGTTGAGTCGCGATTTTGAGAATCTGAGAACGAGCTTCTCGATAAACAGCAAAATGGCAAAAGATCAGGATAGAAATACTGGCCACAGTTATTACTCTGCGGAAATTTAAGATGAAAGTATTGTTAACAGTGTATACGGAAGTCAGAACAGTAAACAAAGTTGCCACAGCCCAAACAGTCACTACACTCGCATTCAAGGGAAGCTCGGTGATTAGTTCCAGATACTTGAAAGGATATGTTATCGCTAGATAGCGTTCGATGCTTAGCAGCGCTAAATGTTGAAGAGAAGCAATAACAGGAGTCATACCAGTAATCGCAGAAACGTTTCTCAGAAAGCAAAATGAGTAAGAATTCAAGGAACTTCCCTTGAGGAGGTATATTTCTTCTGCTATCAACAATGGTTGCGATATGGCGCCTGTCAGCAAGTCGGTTCCAGCTAAAGACGCCAACAAGATGTGGTGATTGCTTTTCAGCCGTGGTGATGTTTTGACGGCAACTATTACAAGGACATTTAGAAGTATAGAACAGGGAGACACGAGCAGATTGATGACGGATAGGAAAATCAACGATGCAGTCACTGGGGTGGTAAGATATGTTGGCTTCCACTCGGGCATCCAATCTAACACATTACTGCAAAAATCTAACGGCGATATCTGCTTGGAAGAGTTACTGGAAGAGTTCATTCTCAAGGTCTTACAATTTCAAAGCGTTGCCGTCGGTGCACTGCGATAACAAAATAGGAAATTTATCAGTCTGCCATTGATGACGTCATAAAAATAAAATTTCTGAAATTATGGGATTTGTCAGGATATTCTGAAAGAACAATGCCCAAGAGGCCTACTTGCCAAAAATGAGCATTTCGGAGCAAATTGTCTCTGAGATCGTAGACCAGTTATGCTTAGAAAACTCCATACAAACCCTTCTAAATTTTTTTGGGGTCGACCCATTTCATTTCATTATCCTTTCGCGGCTAAATGCTAGTAAGTAAGGAATACACAAATTAAAATTTAAAACAATTAGTTCAAGAGGTTGAGTTATTTTCATGCCCTCCTTTATGATTCCGTGCTGCTGACTGATTTCCACGGCCATTAAACTCAGCTGTAAACTCACTGCCAAACATGAAGCGTTCAAAGATCATTGACGAGATGTTTTCGAAAGTATTGTTGGTGAAAGAGCTCTCAGTAATAAGTGGCAGCTTTTGAAGCAAAACGAACAAAGTCTTCGTCATTACAAATTTCTAGGAGTGTTAACCTGCCAAATAAATTTGTGCCATTTGCAGTAAATTTGGAAAGACAGGAAATTTTGTTTCTTTCAATAACTATGAAAGCCCGAGAAAAAGATATTCAAATAAACGATACATCTACTGTTTCAGTATTTCATTGTGAGTCTCGGTCCTTCTAAAAACGCAGTTTTTTGATAGACACGCTTAATGTTCGCTCAAAAACCGGAAGATGAAGCAAGCAATTTTTATTTACCTTTCAGTATAGAAAAAGTCATTACACTAAAGCCGCCACATTGTTTTTCGTTTTTTTAAATCTGAACCTTTACAAAAGGCATTTCCTTGCATGCAAATGTATTTTTCCTTCAAGCGCACGGTGCACACAAATTAAATGAATGTTCCTGCCTCTGAAATTTTCCAATTTATTTTCATGTACTACTGGTTTACGTATTAGTTAATTACTTTTATAAATTATCTGCTTTCGAAGAAGGATTGATGGAGTATTTTTATCCGCCGTCCTTTGAAGTTGGTCCTATCTGACTTCGCCTACGTAATAGTCTTTTAAAAGCTTTTCGGAATTCCCTGTTACGGGCGCAGTAAATTAGAGGATTACAAGCAGAGTTACAAAGCATTAGCGATCTGCACGCGTATTCCTTAACCAATTTGGTAGCGGGTGAACTCAAGAGAGAGATAAAAAAACTTCGTAGTAACATCATAGGTAGAAATGAGAAAAGAACAACGCCAATAATGATTGTCGTGGTGTTCATAGCTTTCTTTTCCTTAAAAAATACTTCTCTCGCCTTCTTAGAGACTTGTTGACTTTTTATTTTACGCATCTGAGCTCGAGCTTCTCGATACACGGCAATCTGGCAAAAGACCAGAATAGAAATACTGGCTACCATTAAGAAGCCTCGAAATATGAAAGTGAAAAAACTGTTCACAGATAACCCAGCAGTCAAAGCGGCGAAGGACCAAGCGAAGATGGCGCTTGAAATTAAGCGACGCTTTGTGATGATTTCGCGGTATTGGTAAGGATATGTTATTGCGACGAAGCGTTCAACACTTAACAGTGCCAAATGTTGCATGGAGGCAATGACAAATGTTACACCGGCGATCTCTGCAATATATTCAAGGAGGCAATTATTTCTTTGGTAGGAATCTAGTAAGTCTCCATTGAGGCGGTATAATTGTACCGCAACAATCAGTGGCTGTGCGAGTGCGCCAGTCATCAAGTCAGTCAAAGCTAAAGAGGCCAGCAAAATGTGGTAATTGCTTTCCATTCTTGCTGATGTTTTGACCGCAATCATTTCTAAGGCATTTAAAAATATAGTACAAGGAGATACGAGCAGATTGACGACGGATAAGAAAATCATTGATGCAGTTACTGGGGTGGTTAGGTATGCTGTCTTCCATTCGGGCATCCGGCCGTGATCGTTTAGGCAAGTGTCAAATTGCGACGTCTGTTTGGAAAAATTCATTTTCCAACTCACTTTAATTTAAAAAGACTCGGAGTATACTGTAATACGGATTTATGGTGTCTTGTTGATATTTTAGTCAATTATTAACGAATTGATAAATAGGACTAACAGGTGCGCACTTGGAAGACTTTCATTCTTTTCGGCCAGGTGAAATATGTTTCACACATGTATGACATGTGTGTATTAAAAGTGTGTGTGCTTTTTTTAAAATAGACGGATGGCAATTACACTTCACGTTTTTTTGAAGTTAACACTTAAATGCACTCTCGAAAGGAGCTGTGTCCGCCGGTAGAGTGGCGTTCGTCTAGCCAGTGGGGAGTCGTCATAGCAACGAGGACGAATGACGGCAACGAGAATGTCAAAAAAAGCAACAGGTTCAACCTCGTTCCCAGGTTCTACCCGTCGAGAGACCCTGGTTGGGTCTGGTCACGTGTCTCCCAGAATCTGGGAGATTACAAACAAACGATTTGGAGGAGGCGTAGATAAGTGTGAGATTTGTCTCTGGAGAGCGGAGACAGGTCAGTGGAAAGTGCAGCCATGAAATAGTTCCCGGACTAGTCAAGACAAAACCTCGAACGCCCAAGATAATGCACAAAAGCCTTTGACAGCGAAAGCGTAAGAAACTGCAGAATATCTGGATGTTAATCTATGGGGGATGTTTTCCTCTTCAAATATTGACACATGCGGAGGAAATCGCGGATTCACCCCTTGTGCAGTCAAAAATAATTTAGGCAGTGGTATTCATACCGAAACGCACGGGATTTGAATTGCCGTTTCTATGTTGTGGAGGCCACATTACTAGAAAACAAATGTATGTGTTTTCAAGTCTACGATTATGCGATGCGAAAGGGCGTTGCCGTCTTCCGCTAGAGGACACTCGAGCGGCTCGTATATCTTGTCCACTCGGGATTTCCCGCGTTGAGTCTCGCAAAGAAAAGTTCTCAAAGGTTTTTGGCCATATAATAAATCCTTTATATTGACCAAGTTTATTCGGTCAAGATGGCTGCACTTTTCGCATCGATTGGTTGCTTTACCATATAGCCTGCGTAGCAGGCGCTTGGAAGTAGTGTCTCGTAGTGTCTCGCTTGGAAGTAGTGTCCCGTTTTTTCTTGTGCCCACTACTTCCAAGTGCCTGCTATGCAGGCTACTTTACCCAGGAAATGGTTCAAAGTAGGCCAAATATATTCACACTTTTTCACTGATCCTAAATTGCTTCATTAATCCGTTTATGAATCGTACCTTTTAGACAGATAACCGAATAATGTATGTGCTATACTAAAGAAAAAGGGCAAATGAGCAAAAAGGCTTTGTCTCTGAAAATAGCACGATCTCAGTGAGCTATAACGGCCAGGAAAGAACTAATCATCGTAATTGGTTTTTGCACTAAGTTTAAGAAGCGGATTTGTTCGTAAAATTGTATTTGTTTTTATTTTTTATGGTCGTGTTTGAGTCGTCCAAATAGATTGTCAAACGTAAGTTGGATCATTATTGAGAGGCTTGCTCAAGTGATGATTTTTAAAATTCAGTGAATTAGCCTCAAATTAGGCTTCAAAAAAGACACAAAAGTTTCATGCATCCGTCCACTATTGAATGTTGCGTGACCTTGTAAATTATCACGTGACATGTAATATAATTCGTGGTTCCGCGGCTGATTCAACATGTTCGTCTATTGATTGTGCTGTGATTTTGAACATTTGGCGTAGAAGAGACTAACGAGCTGTCCGTCGAAGGTTTCAAAATGGCTTCAGCATACTTCTGGATTCCAATTTTATCAGCCGCTGGAATTATAGCTATTTGCAATGTTATAATCCGCTTAGTGAAGAGCTATCGCCGAGCAAGACACCTAGCCGTGTTTCCCTCAGCACCAAGTGACTGGTTTACGGGGCATCGCAAACACGTAAGGCTTTTTATATTCTTCACGATAGAGACATATTAATATACAGTCGATGTTACAGTTTGTCTTTACTTTTACATTACTTGTTATGTTAATTCTGACGACCGCGAGATTATTAGAGCAGCATTAAGAATATGAAGTGACCGACTGATATTCTAAAGCTTCTAAACCGTTTATAATTATTGAAGTTAAATCTTTTTATGTCGGAGCTTTTCGTGAACCGTCAGACATCGTCACAGGAATCGAATGAAGAGAAACTCAGGTCTGGAACAGTTTTTGTTCAGTTTATTTCAGTTGCCGATTGTCTCGTGACTACTGCTGTTTTCTTTGAAGTGTGATTATATTTGGCATTTATTAATATGCGAAGTCACGCAAGTCACGCAAGGGAAGAAGAAACAGTGAAAAAACACTGGTTTTAGGAGTCAGTGCTCCAGCCTGAACCCCTTGAATCGCAAATCTTCTTTCTCGGGAGTTCGCGACTCGAGGAGATTGCTGAAATTCAGGCTATCAGTGCTCTAGATATATAGGCAATTTGATAAAGAATAAATAAAGTGCAAGAAATAAAAACGGTTGCACTCAGTGTTTTCGAAAACCCAAAACGGAATCGTACCGAAGGTTACGACAAGATCGCAAAACAAGCCCAGATGGCCCTAAAAACACAAGAAAACACAAAATATAATAGCATAAGTAAGCTTATTTTATTTCTATTCTTCACAATAAGTTAAGATAAAGGGGAATTTTTTTCTATTTCTAGTTTTCTGGTCTTCTCGGATAAAGATGAAGAACCGCCGAGGAGTGCATAAAAAGACATTTATAATTTTATTTGTATCTTCTTGAGAATGCGAGTTGTGCGTTATGTTTTAAATTGGAGAGCGTTTCCCTTACGTGACCAGCATATATGCAAATTTATTGGAACAAAAGAAAGCGTTTCAACGCCCATAGGAAAGGCTTGGTCTTGGTAAATCAGTGGGGACCTTGATAGCCTGAGTATCAGGCCTTCCTAAGGGGCTAGGGGAGAGGAGATTCCCTTTTTCGTTTCCGTCTCTCCCCTTTTCCCCCAGAAACGCCTGATACTCAGGCCAGGACCTTGATGATCTAACATCGGCGACCCCAATGAAAACCTATTGCTTGGAAGTCTCGATCCACCAAAATTCAAGTTGGTGGTTGCCACGAATCCTGCCCCCCCACTTCTCTCTCTATTGTACTTGCCCCACCACTTGCACAATGGTGGGGGTACGGTTGAATTTGCTCTTACAACACCTCGAAACACTGACCTGGTTACATTTAGAAAACGTTACTCTTCAATCCCTTTTTTTGTTGTTTAGATAAAGAATCACGATGGGGCCCTGTTGAAGTTCCATGTGAGATGTGCTACGGAATTCAAAAAGTGCTACGTTGAATGGCGGAGTCCTACAGTGGGATTTCTAGTTCTTTGCCACCCAGACACTGTTAGGGTGGTCCAGAGTAGTAACGCCCCTAAAGCACCTACTTACAATTTTGTAAAGCCTTTCATAGGTATGTACGTTTTTTTATGGGTAAAAATAATCCAAGAGGACGCAATGTGTCTAATATGCCTTCTGTCTTCTTTAAAAATAGCCTCTAGAAGACGTTTAGTTAACTTAGCCTGTGTACAGAACCCCTCCCCTCAAAACAAAACAAAAAAATCGGGGAGAGAAAGTTTTTTTCTCAGAGGGGAGGAGAGCGTCTGTACACAGGCCAGTGTAAACATAGCCCAAGTAGTTGGACATGATCGTCAGGGGGAGTGTAGACCTAATTAGGACTGTTGTTGACAGTGACTCTTGTTTTGATAACCTGTGCGGTAGTCACTAGAGTCAACTTGCTTTGTCTATCCTAATTTGATAACATTAAACTTTGGTTATTGACCTAATTATGACTGGCCAATTGAGTCGCGATGACTTTGGTCGTCTTTCCGTTAAGTTCTGATGTTATTGGCTGTGAAAACCTTTGCTTTGAGTGGTTCATGATACAATTCCGATTGTGATGTCTATCGCTCTAGAGTTAGTCAAATTTGTTGGTTTTGTTCAATGAGTTTATTGTTCTGTAAAGTCCCGTGGCTGCGTATACTCCGGCCCGAGGTCAAACCCCTTACCCTGTTTTATACCCTTTTTGACTGAAAAGGTACCCCTTTCTTATAACTTCCTATTGGCAAATGGTACCCCTTTCACATACCTATAGCTTAGAACTTTGTATCCTTTGAAGTGCTGTAAATGCTCTGTCTTGAATAAACCACAAAATTAGAACGTTTTTTGACATTTCACAGCCATAAAATGCATCTGTTAGCGTTTTGGGCTTTTTTAAGACTGAAATGACAGATTTTCCTACCCTTTCACATACCTCAACTAGTAAAATCCCTACCCTTAACGTTCATCTTCCTGAACCCTAAGAAAGGTACCCTTTTCGGGCGGAGCCTCCCCTTATAGGCCATTCTAAGGAGTTCCCCGCGGGCCTTGAGTTTGTAAATACGGCGTTTCATTTAGGGAATGCAAGAATCAAAGTTTGGGTGTGCCCTACATTTTATTATCATGTGACTCGTACGGCCCCGTCGTAATTTCGTCGGAAAACCATATGAAAAGAAGTCCGGTATGAGGGCCGTAGGCGTCAAGTGATTGGCTCGAAAAACGGGTACGGCTCTGCTAGAAAAGCGTGCTTATGGACGAGTCAGAAAATTAAAAAGCACAATGGTCATATGATAAGAATGCTTATTGACTGAGTTAGGTCGAGCCGGACCAGAAAATATTTGGCTCTCGGGCAGGACTCACGCACCTCGTTGCACTAGGTCCGTACGTCCTGCAAATATTCACCCCTCCCCCCCCCAACTCAGTCAATAAGTACATATTATTGATCCGAATATGTACCTCTTCGGCGACTTTCATTTTTTAAAGGGGACGGCCTGATTGCCTCCAATGGAGCTAAATGGTTCAGAATGAGACGCCTGCTGACTCCAGCGTTTTATTTTGAAATTCTTAAATCTTATGTCGGAGTTTTTCAAGAGTCCACGAATGTTCTCCTTGTAAGTACCCAAAGGTCCAGTAGTAATGATAGACCTTCTTCACGATACCTGCCATCTTTACACGCGCTTGAGTAGAGATAGGATAAAATTAATGTCACTTCGAATTTCAGGGGGCAAACGAGTGAAAGAATTTGCCAATAAGAGTAATCGCGGTCGAGGTTTTTTATTCTCAGAAAACAAGACGGCGATTTTAGTCTTGGAAAATCTACAATTCAAGTTTTAAAACGTTCTACCTCAGTATTGCTCGATGTCGCTATACTGCATCCAGAAAGAAACAATGATCAGTTCCACTCATAGTTTGCCATTATCGTCTTTAAGGTAAAACATTCTTTATTTTCTGTTGTCTAGAGTAAACAAACTCGACCGCGATTTCTTGTATTGGCAGCTTTTATTACTTCTTTGCCCCCCTGAGAAACCATGTACCATGGATTGCTTTTATCGAATCAGTCCTTAAAAGCACGTGCAAAGATGGCGGATATCGTGAATAAGGTCTATTTGGAAGAAATAACGACCACTCCTTTCTTTTATAAGTCCCGTTAGTACTTTATACGTCAATTCAGAAGACTAACAACAACAACAACAACAACATAAGCTTTATTTGCATGACTATAATTATGTAGTTACAGTATTGCAAAAGCTTTAACATAAAAACAAACAAACAAACAAACAAATCAGAACAATGATAATGCAATGCAATGATTACTATAGTGTCATCAGCATGATTTGATAACAAATTAGTACGTAAATCATTACATAATGAGACAAATTTGAACAAATGTGAATTTAGGGAAAAATTCTGTGAATTCATCAATTTAATTATTAATTCTGTGTAAGACAGCTGATTAAAGTCGGCAAAATTTTGTTGGATTTGATTGTAGAATTTCTCCCTTGGGATTGAGTATGTTGGACAATGGAAGAGAAAATGAAATTCGTCTTCAATTAAAGGAAGGCATGACCCATTGGCCCCGGTCTCAAGTGCCTCTTTTCACTCAATAGTACACCAGTTCGAGACCGTGCTTTTAATAGTCTAGATTGTCTTATCTGCCCAGTCCAGTTTGCTCACTTTAAAAAACTCTGATCTAACAAGCGACTAAGAGACTTGGATAATGGATCGAAAAACTGGGGATTAGGGTTAGGATCGGATAGGACCGCTACAGAAAGCTACGCTATTAGGATCAGCCAGGATTCTAAGGAGGGTGCTTGACTTCCAAGTACCGGGAGAGTGTCCCCAACGGACCCTTGGTCATTGGTTATGATTCGCTCCCTTGGGGTGTTTGTCGGTATGAGAACACAATAATAATGATACTACTACTACTACTACTACTACCACTACCACTACTACTACTACTACTACTACTACTACTACCACTACCACTACCACTACCACTACCACTACCACTACCACTACCACTACCACTACCACTACCACTACCACTACCACTACCACTACCACTACCACTACCACTACCACTACTACTAATAATAATCTGAGTTAGGCCACAACCTAGGATTTCATTAAAAGGATCACAAGCTAGAACCGTCCGCGAATTAACTGGCGCAGGGCACACCTAAATTGCCGGAATGAACAACTAGGCATTTTTATTATCTTTTTAGGAGAAGTGGTCTTCACAGGTCAAAGGAGAGGTGGAATTGTTTCATCACACGAGTTTGATGACATTAGACTCCATCCTTAAGTGTGCCTTAAGTTACCATAGCAACTGTCAAACTGAAGAGTAAGTAACATGTATTGTCATTTACCTGGGGTTTAGCGCGTCCTTCCATTGGTTTCTTGGAAGTCACATGATTTCCAACATAAAACTGTTTCGTGCCAACAGTCTTTGAGCGAGAAACAATGCGAAATGTATGACGTCGAAAGCTAAAAGTGTACTTTTGCCCACAAAAGGTGGTACAAACGTGCAAGGGAATATATAAGAATAAAAAGAGTGAAACAGGCAAAATTGCTCAATGAAGCAAATACTATATAACCTAGTGTTGTTTTCTATCTTTCAATGACCCTTCTCGCAATTTGAGCGCTATAAAATCATTTAAAATAACAGTGTAGTAATAGAGAGACCGTTTAACATCTCACTACAAAGACTTTTGCTCTCTACAGGAAAAAGAACTCCTACATAAGTGCAGTGTACGATGCAGTGGACGAATTTTTTATCAGAGTTATGTAAGTGAAGTTGTTTTGATCCCGGGGGATACTCTCTTATGTAAGCCATAAAGGTATACGCAGCGCGAAAGATAATGCCATGGTCTTTAATTTTCTGTGGTCATAGGGTACGTTTACAGTATGCCTGATAGCTCTTGCGCCGGCTCGAAACCATACTGGATAGGGCGTCCGTTCACGCTTGGTTTCCACGAGACTTCTGTATCGTAACGAAGCTGCGTCGCGTTCATCTCTAAAGTCGAGTGTCACAAATCGCACAGGCTTTGTGCCACATTTTGGCTCAGTCTGAACAGGTATTCGGACCGTAGCGAAAATGAATAAATAGGAGCGAGGACTGGAATCCACTGAGACGGAAGTAAATATTGAGGAGTGAGAACTGAGATTTAGTTCACGATCGGTTAACCGCTCAGGCACGACGTTCGATGCGTGCAAACAGCTTGTTCCAGTTCTGTACCCGGTGGGCGTTGCTGTTCATTCCATACCAGATACCTTTTGGTACTGACACGAAAAGCTATCCAGTATAAAGTGAATACGGCCCTTAAATAGTTCATAAATTTGAACCATTAACTGATTCAGTTACCGAATAAGAAGACCAAATATCTAGAATGTTGATGATTCCCGGGCGCCCTCTCTCCCCTTCTTTCCGCCCCCTAAGTGCTCATGGTACTTCTAAGTAAGTAAGTTTTCACATTCCTTTTAAGGTCATTTTTCACTGTTAACCCGAAGAAATGACAGTAATCTGAACGACCTTAATCGTTATTTTTATCAAAAGTCACGAAATTTTTATTTTTCCAATCGGGTTAATCTATGGCTTTGATAAAACAATTGCAATTTCTTCATTCCTTCTTTCTAGGAAAAATAGGCCGACTTAATATGGGAAACTACTCTTTATATAATATAAAAACCTGATTAAAGGAAATAGCAAAATTTGCATCTTTCCAAATTTTAAATTGCGTCATTCTTCCTTTAAAGCTAAAATAGGCCGAACTACAATGTTTGGTGAAGTCTTAGATGTAAAACTAACCATTCTAGACTATAAAAAACTCAACTGAAGAAAATCGCAAAATTCCCATTTTTGCAGAGGGGTTAGTCCATCGCTTTGGTAAAAATTGTAATCAGGTTTATGCATTCTTTCTTTTTAGCAAAAATAGGCCAAATAAAAGAGTTTGATAACGTTCCAGATAGAGAACTAGCCTTTCTAGACAATAAAAACATCGATTTAAAAAGGTCGCAAAATTTGCATTTTTCCCAAGGGGTTAGTCTACGGTTTTGGTCAAAAAATGTAAATTTCTTCATTTTTGTTCTAAACTGAAATAGCCCGAATTAAAATGTTTCTGGCGTTTTGGATATAAAACTAACCTTTCTAGACTATAGGAAACTCGATTTAACAAAATCGCCGAATTTGCATTTTTCCAAAGGGGTTAGTCTATGGTTTTGGTAAAAAAAATGTAAATTTCTTCATCTTTGTTCTAAACTGAAATAGCCCGAATTAAAATATTTCTGACGTTTTGGATATAAAACTAACCTTTCCAGACTATAAGAAACTGGATTTAACAAAATCGCCAAATTTGCGTTTCCCCAAAGGTGTTAGTCCATGGTTTTTGTGAAAAAATTCTGTTTTCTTTATTCTTTCTTTTTAGACAAAATAGGCCAAATAAAAGTCTTGGTGACGTTCTAGATAGAGAACTACCCTTTCTAGACCATAAAAAGATCGATGTAAAAACGCGGAAAAATTTGCATTTTTCTAGAGGGGAAGCCAAAATAGGAAGACTAAAAGTTTTTAGCGACGTTATAGATATAAAACTAAGCTTTCTAGACTAAAAAAAACCTCGATTTAAGAAAATCGCTAAATTTGCATTTTTCCAAAGGGGTTCGTCAATGTTATTTGTAATAAAATTTTAAATTTTCTTTATTGTTTCTTTGTAGCCAAAGTGGGCCAAATAAAAGTGATTTCAGACATTTTAGATAGACGTCAAGAATTTCTAGACTTTAAAAACAGCGATTAAAAAAGCCGCAGGATTTCCATTTTCCCAAAGGGTTTCGTCCATGCTTTTTGTAAAAACTGTTAAATATGTTTTTTCTTTCTTTTTAGCCAAAATAGCACAAATGAAGTTTTTCGTGACGTTCTAGATAGAGAAATAGGCCTTCGAGACTATAAAAACATCGATTTAAAAAAGTCGCTAAAATTCCATTTTACCAAAGGGTCCCTGGGTTTGGTCAAATATTGTAAATTTCATCCGTTTTTCATTAAAACTAAAGTAGGCCGGGAAAAAATGTTTGTGACGTTTTGGAGATAAAACTAACCTTTGTTGTAGACTATAAACAACTCGATTTAAGAATACCTGTATCGCTAAATTTGCATTTCTCCAAAGGCGTTAGTCCATGGTTTTTGTCTAAAATTGAAATTTTTCTCGTTCTTTCTTTGTATTCAAAAAATGCTGAATAAAGGTGTTTGGTGACCTTCTAGATAGAAAGGATAGAAAGCAAGCCTTTGTGGACTATACAAAGATCGATTAACAAAAATTTCCAAAATTTGCATTATTTTAAAAGGATTAGCCCAAGGTTTTTGTCAAAACTTGTGATCTTTCTCATTACTACTCTTCATTCAAAATCTGCCAAAAAACGTGTCTGGTGACGTTCTAGATAGATAAATAGCCTTAGTAGACCATAAAATTATCGATTTATAAAAGTCGCAAAATTTGCATTTTTCCAAAGGGAAATTTTTTGTCAAGAATTGTGATTTTTCTCATTCTTTCCTTTTAGTCAAAATATGCCAAATAAAATTGTTTGGTGCCGTTCTACGCAGAGCAATAGGCTTTCTAGACCATAAAAACATCGATTAGAAAAACGCGCAAAATTTTCATTTTTTTGTCAAAAATTTTAATCTTTCTCATTCTTTCTTGTTATTCAAAATATGCCAAAAAGTGTTTAATGACGTTGTAGACCGATAAATGGCCTTTCTCGACTATAAAAACATCTATTTGAAAAAGTCTCAGAATTTGAATTTTTCCTAAGGGGTTAATCCATGGTTTTTGTCTAAAATTGTAATTTATCTCATTCTTTCTTTTTACTCGAAATATGTCGCATAAAAGTGTTTGGTGATGTTCTAGCTAAAGGAATAGTCTTTCTAGACTGTAAAAACTCCGATTTGACAAAGTCGCAGAAATTGCTTTTCTTTAAAGGGGTTAATGAACTAGTCCATGGTTTTTGCCAACAATTGTAGTCTTTCGCATTCTTTCGTTTCATTGAAAATATGCCAAATAAAAGTGTTTAATGACGTTCTAGGTAGATAAATAGCCGTTCTAGACTATAAAAACATCAATTTACAAAGTCAAAAAATTTGCATTTTTTAAAAGGGGTTACTCCATGGTTTTTGTCAAAAAATGTAATTTTGGTAATTCTTTCTTTTTAGTAAAAATATGCCGAATAAAAGTGTTTGGTGCCGTTCTACATAGACAAAAAGGCTTTCTAGACGATAAAAACATCGATTAGAAAAAGTGGCAAAATTTGCATTTTTTTAAAGGGGTTAGTCCATGGTTTTTCTCAAAAATTGTAATCTTTTCATTTTTTCTTTTTGTTCAAAATACGCCAAATAAAAGTGTTTAATGATGTTCTAGATAGATAAATAGCCCTTGTATACTATAAAAAGATCGATTTGAAAAAGTCGCAAAATTTGCATTTTTTAAAGGGGATAGTCCATGGTTTTTGTCAAAAATGTTAAGTTTTCTCATTCTTTCTTTTTAGTGAAAATATGCCAAATAATAGTGTTTAATCCCGTTCTACATAGAGAAATAGGCTTTCCAGAACATAAAAACATCGATTAAAGAAAGTGGCAAAATTTGCATTTTTCCAAAGGGATTAGTCCATGGTTTTTCTCAAAAATTATAATCTTTCTTATTTTATCTTTTTACTCAAAATACGCCAAATAAAAGTGTTTTATGACGTTCTAGGTAGATAAACTGCCTTTTTATACTAAAAAAACATCTACTTGAAAAAGTCGCAAAATTTGCATTTTTCCAAAGGGGTTAGTGCATGGTTTTTCTCAAAAATTGTAATCTTTGTCATTCCTTTTTTATTGACGAAAAGGCGAACAAAAGTGTTTTATGACGTTATAGATAGATAAATAGCCTTTGCAGACTATAAAAACACCCATTTAAAAAAGTCACAAAATTTGCCATTCTAGAGCAAAAAACGCCTTCTACGCTATAAAAACAAGAAGTTCAAAAAGTCGAAAAATTGACATTTTTCAAAAGGGGTTAACCCATGGTTTTGGTCCATAATTCGCCATTTTTCCAACTTTTTATTTTAGTCAATATAGACCAGGAAAATGTCTTTTACGATATTCAAGAACGAAAAAACATTAAAACACCTTTCTAGGCTATAAAAAAAAAGTTCAAAAAGTCGAAAAATTAATATTTTTCCATGGGGGTTAACCCATGGTTTTGGTCCAAAAGTGGCCATTTTCCAAACTTTTTTTTTCTGGCAATATAGCCCAAGAAA